TCACATACTACTCCTCAAACGATTCCATTAGCGCTGCCTCCAGAAAATCCTACAAATCTCTTGGGAAGACAAACGGACAAATGTTAGCGTGCTGGGAGACTACCAGCATTGAAGCGATGGCCCTCTGCCATAAACTCCACTGGACCGGCCACGTTGTCCGGATGCCCGACCACCGTCTCCAAAAGCAGTTGCTCTATTCTGAACTCAAGACCGGAAAACGGAATGTTGGTGAACAGGAAAAGAGATTTAAAGATGGGCTCAAAGCCAACTTTAAAAACTCTGGCATAGACACTGAGAACTGGGAAGCCCTGGATCTTGAGTGCTCCAGCTGGAGGTCAGTTGTGACCAGCAGTGCTACAGAATTTGAAGAGGAACGAATGGAACGTGAAAGAAACGTGCCAAGAGGGAGGCGCGTCAAGCCAACCCCGACCGGGACCGCCTTCCACCTGGAAACCGATGCCCTCACTGCGGGAGAACATGCAGATCAAAAATAGGGCTCTACAGTCACCTACGGACCCACCGCCAGCACACTAATCCTGGAGGACTATCCTATTCCAACAACGAGGGATCGCCTAGGTAAGTAAGTAATCTCGGAGGTTTATGACATTCGCTTCTCTTTCATATACATTGAGCCCACAGGGTATTTCACACATTTATTTATTATTATTATTATTATTATTATTATTATTAAACTTTATTTGTACCCCGCTAGCATCTCCCGAAGGACTCGATGCGGCTTACAAAGGCCAAGGCCTCAACACAACAACAGCAAAAGAATAACAATACAATTCAAAGCAAATTAAAAACGTAAGCAATACCAAAACATTACACCATTATGCAATAAAAACCAGGGCCGGGCCAGTGATGGGTACAGGTTAAAAAGTGCTGGGTGCGGCAGGTGGCATGTTGGATTTCTGGGCGAGTACAATGTGCAGAGAGTCTTAAACTCTAATAAAGTGCTTCATTTATTTATTTATTTAAAACACTTATATTCCACCCTTCTCACCCCGAAGGGGACTCAGGACGGAACACAGCATATACACGGCAAACATTCAATGGCGGGACACACATTCACATACAATACATAAACATTAAAAAACATTTATCAAAATATTAAAATACACCATTTAAAACCATCCTAGTCATCCGCATCAAATCTAATTGGCCTGGTCATCTTTCCTATTGTCGCTTTATTGCCCTGTCCCGAAAGCTTGGTCCCACAGCCAAGTTTTTACCATCCTTCTAAAGGACAGGAGGGAGGGGGCCGACCTGATCTCACCAGGAAGGGAGTTCCATAGCCAGGGAGCAATCACCGAGAAGGCCCTGTCTCTCGTCCCCACCAATCATGCCTGTGACAATGGCAGGACGGAAAGCAGGGCCTCCCTGCAGGACCTAATCTCTGTGATGGTTCTTAGGGGGAGATGCGTTCGGACAGGTAATTTGGGTCAGGGCCGTTTAGGGCTTTATAGGCCAAAGCCAGCACTTTGAATTGTGCCCGGTAGCAAACTGGCAGCCAGTGGAGCTGGCGTAACATGGGAGTTGTGTGTTCCCTGTATGCCATCCCAGGGCTGCCTCTCGTTGGACTATTTGAAGCTTCCGAGCAGTCTTCAAAGGCAACCCCACGTAGAGTGGGTTGCAGTAGTCTATTCTCCGTATATGTTCAGAATGCGGCAGCCAGGTTACTCACAAGAACGCCCATGAAATGCCATATAACACCAGTGCTGCAACATTTACATTGGCTTCCAACTGAGTACCGTGGCCTGTATAAGATGCTAGTTCTGACCTTTAAAACTCTTTACGGCCAGGGTCCATCGTACCTTAGGGACCGCCTCTCCTTCTCCCATCATCGGAGGTCGCAACGACCAGCCCAACGTGACTTACTCCATATACCGGGTCCTAGAGAAGTGCACTTGGAAAGGACCAGACGCAGGGCTTTTTCTATTTCTGCCCCTGCCTTGTGGAATTCCTTGCCGCCCTACATGAGAGCCATGCGTGACTTAGGGCCTTTTACTCTCGCACTTAAGACCTGGCTTTTTACTAGAGCATTCGATCTCTGTTAATTTTTAATTTTTGTATGTGTATATTTTATCTTTTATAATTTAGCTGTAAATCGCCTAGAGCATTCTCGGATGGAGGGCGATTAATAAGTTATTAAATGATGATGATGATGATGATGATTATTATTATTATCTTTATTTAAAATGTATACCTGGATCCATGTAGAATGTGTTGCAGTAGTCTATCCTAGATGTAACGAGAGCGTGGACCACCGTGGCCAAGTCTGACTTCCCAAGGTACGGGCGCAGCTGGCGCACAAGTTTTAATTGTGCGAACGCTCCCCTGGCCACCGCTGCAACCTGGGATTCCAGGCTCAGTGATAATCCAGGAGAACTCCCAAGCTGAGAACCTGTGCATAATATTTATATTAATTTTGTGCATCATCTGAAAGCAAAGGTGTCACTATCTCAGGGATATCTGCCCTGTGGAATTAATACAGTTATGCATCACCTTAACGTAAATGGCTCATTGCTATGGCATCTTGGGAGCTGTAGTTTTCCAAAGCCATCTCTGTCAAAGAGTGCTGGCGACCTACCAAACTACAACTCCCAGACCTCCAGAGCATTGAGCTATAGCAGTTAAAGTGGAGTCGAAGTGCATTAATTCCACAGTGTAGAGGGCCCCAGACACTCAAAGGGAGTTCAGATTGTGGAGTACTTCAGACATTTTGGGTAAAGGGCCGTTCAGCCTGCACCAGCCACTCACCATGCTTCAGCCGCAGCTCTTCCTCATACACTCGCTCTCTCGCGGCCGCCTTCTTTCAAACCATACAAACAAGACGGGCCCTGGCTACGCCAAGCCGCTCCTTAGCAACCGAAGCCACGCCCTCCTCGCACTCAGACAGGATTTCCTCTTCTACAAACTCAACGCCCCTACTTCCGGTTTTTCCAAAATGGGCCGCCTTCACCAGCACTGCTTTCCTATTGGTCCAGAGTGGTGTCACTCTCTAAGAAACATGACGAGAGTAAAAGATCCGGTCTATTGCTTTTCATTGGAAGGGCAAACCGGAAATCTCGCGGGGGCGGGACCAGGCCACATATCTGAACGTCATCAATAGAGTGTAGGATGAAACCCTAGACGTAGGAGAAAAAAAGTGAAGATTATTCGCCAATGCCGAGAAGACGAGCTTCCGGGTTGCTTCTGAAGATGCCCTTCTCCTATCTTCATTAATCTTCTTAAACAGGCCCCTTCCCCATAGCTGAATAAAATCTGCTTTGAACTGGAATATATGGCAGTTTGGACTCAGGGCGCTTCCACACAGCCATGTAATGATTCACAATATCTGCTTTGAACTGGGTTATCTGAGTCCACATTGCCATATAACCAGATTCAAAGCAAATAATGTGGGATTTTATTCAGCTGTATGGAAGGGGCCTCAAATAACCCAGCAGGTATTGTGGGATTTTCTGCCTTGATATTCTGGGTTATATGGCTGTGTGGAAGGGCCCTGAAACCCTTGGAGTTGTCCTTTGGTGATGCAGAAGAAGTCAAAGACCTTGCCAAACTGACTTAGGAGATCCCTCGTTGTCTGAGTAGGATAGTCTTCCAAGATCAGTGTGCTGGTGGGTCTGTAGGTGACTGTCTAGCCCTATTCTTGATCTGCATCTTCTTCTGCAGCGAGGCATCGGTTTCCAGGTGGAAGGCAGTCTCGGTCGGGGTTGGCTTGACGTGCCTTCCTCTTGCCACGTTTCTCTCTTTCACCCTCCATTCGTGCCTCTTCAAATTCTGCAGCACTGCTGGTCACAGCTGACCTCCAGCTGGAGCGCTCAAGGGCCAGGACTTCCCACTTCTTAGTGTCTATGCCAGAGTTTTTAAGGTTGGCTTTGAGCCCATCTTTAAATTTCTTTTCCTGTCCTCCAACATTCCGTTTTCCGTTCTTGAGTTCGGAGTAGAGCAACTGCTTTGGGAGACGGTGGTCAGGCATCCGGACAACGTGGCCGGTCCAGCGGAGTTGATGGCGGAGGACCATCGCTTCAATGCTGGTGGTCTTTGCTTCTTCCAGCACGCTGACGTTTGTCCGCCTGTCTTCCCAAGAGAGTTGCAGAATTTTCCGGAGGCAGCGCTGATGGAATCGTTCCAGGAGTTGCATGTGACGCCTGTAGACAGTCCACGTCTCGCAGGCATATAGCAGGGTTGGGAGGACCATAGCTTTATAAACAAGCACCTTGGTATCCCTACGGATGTCCTAGTCCTCAAATGCTCTCTGCTTCGTTCGGAAAAATGCTGCACTTGCAGAACTCAGGTGGTGTATTTTAGTGTCAATGTTGACTTTTGTGGAGAGGTGGCTGCAAAGGTAGCATTAATGGTCAACATTTTCTAATGTTGAAATACAACACTGCCATTAAGCTGTATTTCTGGCATTGGCGAGGGATTGGTTGGTGACTGCTTGAAGAGCACTTCAGTTTTCTCAATGTTCAGTGACAGGCCAAGCTTCTTGTATGCTTTTGCAAATGTATTTAGAGTGGCTTGTAGGTCTTCTTCTGAATATGTATAGATAACATTGTCATCAGCATATTGGAGTTCTATAACAGATGTTGTTGTAACCTTGGTTTTGACTTTCAGTCTGCTGGGGTTAAATAGCTTGCCAACTCTCCGATAGATGATTTCCACTCTGGTGGGAAGCTTCCCCTCAACAAGATAAAGTATCATATCGATGAAGATGGAGAATAAAGTTGGGGCAATAACACATCCCTGTTTGACACCTGATTCCACCTTAAATGGGTCACTTTGGGAGCCGTTGCTGTCCAAGACTGTCATCTTGTCAAACTACAATTCCCATAATTCCATAGCATTGAGCCATGGCATTTACATCTGCATTAATTCAACAGTGTAGATGAACCGTGGGTCTGCTTGAAGTCCTTTAGCAACAACAACAACACAGAAGTTCAGAGAGAGCAGAAGGATCAAACTCAGCTCAGAAGTTGAGGCCTGTGTGTGAGTCTATAGATCACTCTCTCTACACGGAAGCAAGAAGGTGGAGGTTGTGGCTTGGGAAAGCAGAACCACGAAGGATGAAGCGAGGAGTGGGTCGTGGGAGGACCCGAAGGTAAGTACACGGCCTTAGACAGAGAAGGACCAGTTTTGAGATAATCTAGATTATATGGCAGTGTAAAAGGGGCCTTTACGGTGAGTTTTATAGTCCCATTTTGTTGTTACAACAAACAAAACTATAAATACACGATGCATTTCCATACCAATAGAAAAGCCAGTCTTCAAATGGAACTAAATCCTCAAGAAGGATAGAAGGTTGGATCCAGTTTATTAAAAAGTGTGTTTCTTGCCATCTCTCAAGTACATGTATTTTTCAGTATGAGGGTTCTTTACTCTTATCAGCTGTTTGGGGGCCTTCCACACAGCCCTATATCCCAGAATATCAAGGCAGACAATCCCACAACATCTGTTTTGAACCGGGGGCCCTTCCACACAGCTGAATAAAATCCCACATTTTCGGCGTTGAACTGGCAGGGTGGACTCCAATAACCAGTTCAAAGCAGATATTGTGGGATTTCCTGCCTTGACATTCTGGGATATAGGGCTGTGTGGAAGGGCCCTGGATTCCAATAACCAGTTCAAAGCAGATAATGTGGGATTTTTCTGCCTTGATATTCAGGGATTTAAGGCTGTCTGGAAGGACAAACTACAAGAAAGGAGATTCCATCTGAACATGAGGAAGAACTTCCTGACTGTGAGAGCCGTTCAGCAGTGGAACTCTCTGCCCCGGAGTGTGGTGGAGGCTCCTTCTTTGGAAGCTTTTAAACAGAGGCTGGATGGCCATCTGTCGGGTGATCTGAATGCAATATTCCTGCTTCTTGGCAGGGGGTTGGACTGGATGGCCCATGAGGTCTCTTCCAACTCTTTGATTCTATGATTCTATGACATTCCTCTTTTTTTGGCTAATATATTTGCCAAAATCAATAGAGTCTAAATCAGGGGTCCTCAAACTAAGGCCCGGGGGCCGGATACGGCCCTCCAAGGTCATTTACCCAGCCCTCACTCAGGGTCAACCTAAATCTGAAACAAAAGCACACAACAACAACAAAAGCAGGCCCACACTTCCCACTGAAATACTAATAAGTTTATATTTGTTAAAACTGTTCATCATTTTAATTATTGTATTGTTTCTAAGTGTTTTTTGCACTACAAATAAGATATGTGCAGTGTGCATAGGAATTCGTTCATGTTTTGTTTTGTTTTTCAAATTATAATCTGGCCCGCCAACAGTTTGAGGAACTGTGACCTGGCCCTCTGTTTAAAAAGTTTGAGGACCCCTGGTCTAAGTGAAAATAATCTTATTCTTAGTATCAATTAACGTAGTAACTGCAGAACGGTGTGTCCAAGAATTAACCTGGTGGAATAAAGTATATGGTTGATGTGGGTTTTCTGGGCTGTATGGCCATGTTCCAGAAGCATTCCCTCCTGACGTTTCGCTTGCATCTATGGCAGGCATCCTCAGAGGATGCTTCTGGAACATGGCCATACAGCCCGGAAACACACACAACAACCCAGTGATTCCCGCCATGAAAGACTTCGACAGTACTTCCTACTTGTGTTCTTAGGGCCCTTCAACACAGCCATATAATCCAGACAATGGGTCCTTCCACACAACTCTATATCCCAGAATATCAGGGCAGAAAATCCCACAGTATCTGTGGGATTCCGATATTCAGACTCAGATAACCCAAATTAAAGCAGATCATATGGTGGGATCTTCTGCCTTGGTATTCTGGGATATAGGGCTGTGTGGAAGGACCCAATATCTGCTTTGAACTGGGTTATCTGAGTTCACACTGCCCTATAACCCAGTACAAAGCAGATAATGTGGGATTTTATACAGCTGTGTAGAAGCGGCCAGTATGTCTTGTCTTACTCTTGTTCCACTGTGGTGTATTCAGTGATCTATCAGTCGGGAGGGGTGTTATGAACTGATTTGAGAATATTTTTTGAAATGTAACATGAAATGTTTAAGATAACGTATCTGATAGCATTGCTAAATGTACATATATGCTATATGCATCCAGGCAGCCAAAATAATCTAAAACACACATGTGAATCACACAACCCATGGGCTGAAATCTGTCCAGCATGAAGTTTTCAATGCCAAGCCAGCATACAGTCTTACAATTACAAATGGCCCTTTGAAGGCAACCATAAGGCTGACGTGGCCATCAGTGAAATGAGTTTGACACTCCTGTTTTAAAGGCACCAGTGCCTGTCTGATCTTGGAAACTAAAAAAGGTCAGCTCTGGTTAGTACTTGGGTGGGAGATGGCTAATCAATACCAAGTGCTGTAAACTATATTTTAGAGGAAGGAAACAGGCAAATCCACCTCTGAATATTACTTCCCTAAGAAAACTCTATGAAATTCATGGTAACCCCATACATTGATAGATGACTTAAATGTATATGTACAGTATATACACATGCATCCAGGCATTTCTGCTAGATCTTGGATTAACGCTGATCTTAATCTGCACGCTCATCGTGGGTGTTTGTGTGAGTGAAATCTCCCTTGTGTGGTCAGTGTGCCATGGTAAATTATGCGTGAGAAGTCCTGCACATTGAGGATAACAAAGGATCTAGCTGCTACACCAGGTTATTGGCTTTGATTCAGTTTCTTTTTTAAGGTTTTACATTTCTCTTTTGTGTGCAGCTCCATCAACAAGATGACAGAAGTACAGAAATCAGAAAGTGGCAAGTATTCATCTTTCTTCATATATAGATGTAGTTCTGAAAGAGATGTTCTGCAGATATTTGTGAAAGGAAGGATTTGTTACCAGTGTTGGTCAGACGATATATTGTCTTCCCTAGTTTGGTGCCATACAAATGTAATTGGGCTACAATTTCCACCATCTCTACCATCATAACCATGAGACAAACTGAGGGTACTTTATGAGGATTATATCCATAATATCTGAAGGGAATTCGGCTAGGGAATACTGTTGTGGACAAAAAAGTTTTGTAAGGAAGGTGGGATGTTGGTTATCTGGTGAGTTGTAGCTGTTTAAATTCTGTTTGTAATGAGTGTTTAAATATGGGTGTTTTATTATCAACCATTACTTACTTGGGTTTTTAATATAATTTGTCATGTAGTATTTCTAATTATACATTTAGGCCTTTGTTTCTGATTGAGATCACTGAATAGTCTTTGACCCAACTGCACAGACCATCTAATGCAATTTGAAGCTACCTAGCATCAAGCAGTGACAGCCAGACCATAATCTCCCACAAAGGTGTGTGAAAGAAAGTCCTTGATCATAGAATCATAGAGTTGGAAAAGATCTCATGGGCCATCCAGTCCAACCCCCTGCCAAGAAGCAGAAAAATTGCATTCAAAGCACCCCCAACAGATGACCATCCAGCCTCTGTTTTAAATCCTCCAAATATGCATCAATGCATAGAGCAGTGTTTCTCAAACTCTGTTCCTCCAAGTGTTTTGGACTTCACCTCCCAGAAATCCTAGCCAGTTTACCAGCTGTTAGTAATTGTGGAAGCTGAAATCCAAAACACCCAGAGCAGCAGAGTTTGAGAAACACTGCTCTATGGTTTGTATAATCACCATCCGGGCCTCAAACAGGGTCCAAGATTTCCTATGTAATCGTCTGCACAACGGGAGCGCTTGGTGGTGCAATGGGTTAAACCCTTGTGCCGGCAGGACTGCTGACTGAAAGGTCAGCAGTTCGAATCCAGGGAGCAGGGTGAGCTCCCACCTGTCAGTTCCAGCTTCTCATGTGGGAACATTTTTAAGGGTTTTTTTTATTTTCAAAATTATTGTGAATAGTACTACACAAAATTATACAAACATTCAAAACATTTTCTCTTTGTAACATACGTTTACATCATTCCCCCTCTATCTCCTTCCCTCCCTCTCCTCCCCAGGAACAAAATAAATAAATTTTGGTGTATTTATTATGATTGTTCGATCATGAGGATAATCTTGTTTAATTCCTTGTATTTATCTTTCCCCTTTATTCTGTCAGTTAACCTTTTGCATTAAGGCTCATGCGGGGACATGAGAGAAGCCTCCCACAGGATGGTAAAACATCCGGGCATCCCCTGGGCAACATCCTTGCAGACAGCCAATTCTCTCACACCAGAAGCGACTTGCAGTTTCTCAAGTTGCTCCTGATACAAAAAAAAAATCTGCACAGCAAAATCACTTTCTTCAATACTAGTTTGAAACTGCATTAAATGGTCAATGTAAATGAGTCCTTTGTTTCCACTGAAATTATGTATTCTTTTAATACAGTAATACATTAAATAGCTTCCAAATGTTCCTTCCTACAGACAAAGGGAAGCTTTTAATGCAAGTCAATGCCAGTACTTTTCTCATTTCAATATATGATGTTAACCTTTACTTCTGCTTCCATCCTGCAGGCGAATATGCCACCTCACGCATCCGTGGGCCTGGGGATGGAATGGAAATGGAACAGCCACCAAAATCTGTAGAAGTCATCCACACCACAATCAACCATGTCCATAAAAGCCCACACAAGAAAGCTCCTCCTTCACTAAGTCCTGGGGTTCTTCAGCTAGGGACAATCTATGGCGATAAGGCAGTAGAGATTGAAGCTGTACGAATAGTAGTTCCCAAAACTGCTATAAGCCATGTGATTCCTGCCAAAAATGCAAAGACATCCAAGTCTGCAGGACATCCAAAAGAGACCCTCGCCCTATCAGATGAAATTTCAGATACTAAGAAAGAATTGTTAGAACTAAGAAATGAAATAGTGAAGCTTAAGAACTCTGAAAGAAGATTACTACAAGATAAGGAAGGGCTTTCCAATCAGTTGCATGTCCAAACAGAGGTAAGAAACCAAGAATTGGGATGGATCCATTACTTGCTATCTTTACAAAATATTACTGTATTCTATTGGATTAGAGCAGGTAGCAACTTTTTTCCATATTTTTTCTAGGTAAAAATAATAACGGAAATGCTAGAGATCTGCTGTACCTTGGAAAACTGGATTGTTCTGATAACTATTAGATTCATAGAAATACTTTTTTAAAATCCTTCCAGTCAAATTATAATTTAGTCTCTGCTTCTTGTTGCAGTCCCTTGCATATTTACTCAGTTGTGTCCAGTGAGTTTGATTCTTAGTACCTGTTTTTAGGATTGTAGCCTAAGTCATTGAGATCATACTGAGCTGAGGTACATGAGAATTCGCTGCAAAAAAAGGATTAGGAAATTCCAGTACTGTGTAAAGACCTAGTATATAAGCAATTGAACCCTGACTCTGTTTGTGCTAGAGTGGAGTTGTTGAAAGTGTGTGGCTTGGTGCACTAGTTAAAAATGTTTTAAACATGTATGAAATTCACATCTAACTTGAATTAGATGGAAATTAGCCATAAATGTATAATTGCAGTGGTTGTGTTCATCATTAAACATATCAAGAAATAATAAAGAGGCTGGGATATTTCTTTATTATATTTATCTTGTGCATCTGGACCACCCATTGTGTTCTATTCTTTCATTATGTTATTTTGCAACTGTTTATTTTATTTTGTTACTTTATGTATCTTATTGTGATGTAATTTTTGTTGCTTTGTATTTTATCTTGCTGTATTGTATTTTCAGGCTTGTCTCATGTTAGCCGCCCCGAGTCCCCTTTAGGGAGATGGTGTTGGAGTATAAATAAAGATTATTATCATTATTTATTATTATTTAATAGACTTGAGTCTAAATCATTTGATTGGTGGCACTGAATTATACAGACAAAACGAGAGAGTGTAAACTGAATATATCTTACCTTCTTTAATGTTAGTATGATTTATTTTCGAAGGTTTTCTTGGCCAGAATCACTGGGTTGTTGTAGGTTTTTCGGCAGTATGGCCATGTTCTAGAAGCATTCTCTTCTGACATTTCACCTGCATCTATGGCAGGCATCCTCAGACCTCACAACCTCTGAGGATGCCTGCCATAGATGCAGGTGAAACGTCAGGAAATAATGCTTCTAGAACATGGTCATGCAGCCCGAAAAACCTACAACAACTTAGTATGATTCCTTGTATGCTAGTGGCTATTGTGGCAAATCTGGTATTAGCTATCACTACACCTTTTTCTTATCCTTCATGAACAAGCATTTTGTGATGTGTAAAACATGCCAGGTGGCTTATGCATGCTCGCTGTATTTATGTCCAAATTAGATGTGATTCAGACTATCCACCTCTGTTTTAAGCATTTAATATCAGCCATATCAAGACAGAGAAGCATATTCTCCTTCTCTCGAGTTAATTTTTTTTTTGTTATGGGGGGATCACAACAATGTAGGGATTACATTGGTGACTGGGAAATTGCCAATGGCTTAATATGACCATGATTTTTCACTACTGAGGTACCTAATTTTCAGAGTTGCCAATATATGAAATGTTGTGAAATGATCAAGATGGCTGTGGGTTTGGACAAATTCATTGAGCGTTACAACGTAAAAGCTATTGATATCAACCCAATGAAATGCAAACTATCCTTTTCACTGTTCGCTAGCAAATTCTGCTGAAGTTAAAGGTTGAATAATTTTGTAGCCAAGCTACAAGTTAAATTACCAGGTTTGCTTTGGAACCTAAGCAACTTATTTCAGAATGTAGAGCTGTTTGTTCTTTCTATGTCCTATAAATAGTTGATATGAATTCATATGGTGTGATTACACATATGGTATGCTACACATACTCAATATTAGTATCTTTCTTAATATTGGATATGTATAGCATTAGTCACCTGATTTCTTTTTCAGTACTGTCTTAATGTGTATTAATTTTATGTATATTAATTTGAATCTTAATTTAAATTTTTATTTTAATTGTATATCTTTAAAGGCATTGAATAGTTGCCTTTGTATAAAGCCTTCTTGAGTTCCCTTCGGGGTTGAGAAGGGCGAGGTATAAATATGGTAAATAAATATGTTTTGTGATTTCGCTAATTAAACAACTGTTCCTCTTAGGTCAATCGGGAGTTGAAAAAGTTACTTGTGGCTTCAGTAGGAGATGACCTGCAGTATCACTTTGAGCGCATGGCACGTGAAAAAAACCAGCTGATCCTTGAAAATGAGGCCCTGGGGCGGAATGTGTCTCAGTTGTCTGAACAGCTGGAGCGGATGTCTATACAGTGTGATGTTTGGCGAAGCAAATTCTTGGCAAGCAGGTATTATGGAGTAAGATAGCTTTTTAAAAGATATCTTGCAAAATAAAGAAATACCCTGTTTCAATTTCCCCTGAAATCAGAGGTGTTAGTCAGACAAAGTTTTTGAAAGTAAATTGAAGATGGATGGGAGAAATGTTATAATGTTGTTTGAAATGCCACTTAGAATATTGCATAAAGAAAAGACTCTGCTTTTGGAGCTGAGTCAAGCCTTACAGTGCCAAGGAAAGGGGACTGGCAGACAGGGGAGTGAGTTCCCCTGCCTGTGTTCATGTCCTCTCTGCCTGTCTGGCCTTGCCTCTGTAGCTCAAAAGGGAGAGGCTTGCAAGCGGGAGAACTCTCCTGCCCACCTCTCCCTCTGCTGCTACATCTTCAAAGAGGGCTTTTTTTCACCACATAATAGTTTCACCACCACCCACCCACCCCCCCCAAAAGTTCGGTTATTATGCGGTGAAATACAATGTATGCCATAATAAACATATGATCAAAGTCTCTCATCTGCAAATCATTTAATTTTTGCAGCTTGAATATCAAATTATCAGTGTAAGCTATATCCTGCAAACATAAATGGCATATTAGCTGTTAATATACTTACAAACTAGTCTGTTGAGTAGTAAATTTATTTTACATGTCAAGATAAACTGTACTTTCTTCTACAGGGTTATGACAGATGAGTTGACTAACTCTCGAGCAGTACTCCAGCGCCAAGCTAGGGATGCACAAAGTGCCATTCAGGATCTATTAAGTGAACGGGACCAGTTTCGCCAAGAAATGATTGCTTCTCAAAAGTATGAACATGTGTTTTCTTTCTGAGCTATAACAATTCACCTCATGGAGAAAAAGCCTTTATTGCCAGTGTTGTTCATTATCACTAAGCCCCCTCCCTCTCTATATATATATGATTTCTGTGCAGAATCGTCTCATTATGTCTCTTCATTTTAATGGCATTGTCTTAAGAGGGAGATAATATGTATGGGTATACTATGTCAGGCTAAGTCTTCTCAGTGTAATCTGTTCATCAAAGCCCATTATTCTTTTCCCTTATAGGCTGCTGGAAGAGCTACTTGTCTCTCTCCAATGGGGAAGACAGCAAACTTACTATCCTAGTGCACAGCCTCGTAGTACCGCAGAGTTGGCAGCTGTCAATCATAAGCTTGCTAGAGCAGTGACTTCACATCTTCTTGGAAACACTGATAGTTCTAGCAGTCCAAAAAAGAGCTCTTCCTCAACAGAACTCTGCAATACCCCTGCTGAGAAAATGGCTGAAATGGTAAATATCCTTGACTGTAACGTTACATTTTTAACCTTCTTTTAGGCTTACATTTTGGAAATGTATACTAGTTTGATATTATAAGATAGTTAATTCCAAGTTAGCGAGCTTTTAATTTTGGCTCAGTGGTGCATTCATATCTAAAATATTCACAAACCTCTAAGAAATCAGTTTAGTATGACTGTTTACTGAGAAATAGGACAATTATTCTGATCCATGGAAAAGGGGGTGAAACATAATACTCAGCCTAAAGGAGTAACAATTTCATTCCAACTCTGATAAACACAGCCAACACAGATAAATGTCAGGGATGTTAGGAGAAGCTGTTGAATAATATCTGCAGGGTTGGAATTTTCCCATCCTGATCTAGAGAGGTAAACATCTATGTTTTGCTTCTCTGCATTCGCCATGAAAGCAGTTAGGAGTTTTTGACCTATGCTCATAGCCATCTTGTCTGATTTCAATCAGTTTTAATCCAGTATTTTAACCAGTTTTAACTGTTGCTAATTTCATCCAACTGTGTGTTAAATCAGTCGGCTGTTGTTAATCTTATTAACCTTGCATATTTTGCACACTTACAGGGTTTTTGGACCATATCAAAATGTTGTTGTTGTTGTTGTTGTTGAAAGCAGTTATTGTCCATACCCATTCACTTTTTTTATTACTCCAATCTAATTTTATTTTCAGTAGAAATCCCATTGAATTTGAACTAACTTTTTTCAAATTGGGATTTTTTTTCTTTATAATCTGTTCTATTGCATGATTTATTCCATAGCCTCTTAGGGAGCATAGCATGACATGTAGTTTCACTTCACCCTCATAGAACAGGGCTATTTGATGCAGTTCTATTGTCAATGAACTCTTAAAGGTTAAGCATATCACCTAACCATGTAACTTCAGTACATCTTCCCCAGCTTATTGTACAGCCAGAAATACAATTGCTGTTTCTGTCCAATGTGTCCGCTACTGCTTTAACTAGTATGGTAGTTTTAGTGGCAAACATTGAGCATTACAACCTCTGAAGATGCTTGCAACAGATGTGGGTGAAACAGCCGGAGAGAATGTTTCTGGAATATGGCCATACAGCCTGGAAAACTCACAGCAACCCACTGAGGATGCTCATTATGGAAAACGTACTATTCTAAGACTTTCCTTTTGATTTTCTTCCAGGTCTTAAGAATGCTGGAACCTGGCAGCTGCACAGAAGCACCATCTGAACTGCCCTTTGCTGAGCCTTCAGCCTCCTCTTTCCTTTCCCCAAAGAAGAATATTGGACGGTTTCACCCATACACTAGATATGAGAATATCACCTTCAACTGCTGCAATCATTGTCAGGGAGAACTGCTAGCTCTTTAAAAGTTATTATTTGCCTAATAGAATTGTTTTAAGGGGGATCTACTTTCTGGGTGGTCTTTTCTAAGCGTTTGGGTTGAGCTTATTTACTAGAAATGTTTGTCATACACCAGGGAAATATGTGGCTCTCAAGATATTATATGACTGTTGTTCTGATCTCCCAAACCAACACAGCTAGTGCTGAAGCTTGATGGGAGTTATAGTTCAACAAGTTAAAAGGCCACACATTTCCCACATATCAGCTTTCCAAACTCTAAGAGTTTTACCATCAAAGTAAGAATACTTTTAAGTCCCGAAATAGAGTTCATATATGATCTGTATTGTTTTCTTTAAGGAATATATTATTATGGGAAGCTCATGAGTGTCAGACCTTTGGATTTTATTGTCTTTAAGAGGTACTTTGTACTATCAGCTGAAGTATTTATTTTAATTGATGGGATGCGGTGCTTAAACTTTTTGTGTTACATTTTTGTTTCCAGTGCTGTTACATGGGCAGGTGCAAATATTGACTTTCGAGGAAAGCTCAGTTTTTATTTTGATGAAGATTTCTTAATGATCTTGAATGAAAAGGGTGTTTGTGGTTAAAGCAATTCTGGAGTTCATTCAGTGTTGATATAAACTGAAGCCAAAGAATAGTAAATTGACTAGGGTAAACTATTGCAAAGTTGATTCTTAATAGTTTACAAACATCTACAGAACACACTTTTAATTACTCTTCAACATATGTCCTGAGGGATCTTTAATATGGACAGCTTTCACTGGTGCTACTTAATCTTCCTCAGACGGCTGTTCTCTCATACCTCTAGAGTATGACGCTTATAGGGTGCTCTACTCTCACTTTTACTTTGGAAATTGGTAGTCTATTGCCAAATTAAAAGAAAAAGCTTCTTACCTATGTTTCTGGGATAATCATATTTCTATCCTTTTTATTATTGTACTGAAATGTCTCAAGTAACAGAACATGGAGTGAAAGGGGTTGGGTACCTATGTTAATGTGATGTATGGATACAGATACGCCTTCTCTCCTCCAACTTAAAATAAATGTTGGCGGCATACTTTCACTTATTGTTTTCTGTACTTCTTCCTGAGCTATACGCTTGAAAATCTTTTATTAAATCATTCAGATTAGAAATTAATGTGTGTTAAGTAGTTTGTTCTTGGAGAACAATTCTATAATATCAAAGTATATGTGTGCATCTTAAAAGTGACTCTTATGTATGGCTGTGAACAGAAGAAACAGAAGAAATTAATGTCAAATCATATCTTCCTCACCCTCTCAGTCAATTTATTGCTTGCATGTTTAGTAAACTTAAGCCAGTGAGTGCCTTTTCTGCAGAAAAATGTACAGGCATGTACAGTCTGCTCCTCAAGCCCTATGAGGAGTGGCTTAAAGTGCTGGGCATGCTTAGCCTGCAGAAGAGAAAGCTGAAAGGAGACGTGATAGCTATGTATAAATATTAGGGCTGGGCGGTTTCGTTTCGTTAATTCGTAATTCGTTAATAATTCGTTATTTTTTCAATTACAAAACGATAACGAACCATTCTGGAGCAATTATTTAAAAAAAAACGAATTTTCAAAAACGTTTTGTAAATGCTTCGTATTTCGATATTGTATTCGTTTCGTTATTGTTTTGAGGTCGTTTCGTTATTATTTCCGCATGTCTGGGCCAGTTTTATGGGTTAATTAGTGAAAAAAATATAATATCACACCAACAGTCAACAACAGAGGGAGAGGGAAGCTTCAGAAGGTTTTGGAGGTTTTTTAGCGTATTTCGCGGTCGCGTCCGCCATTAACGAATCGATTCGTTATTGTTTCGGAAATCGATTCGTTAATTTTTTACCATTTATGAAATTTCGTAAATATCGAACTTTTTAAAAGGAAAATTTTGTAATTATTTTAAATATCGAAACCAAAAAACCCCCCAAATACAAATCGATTTTAGAAACAAATTTTTCCGTTGTTACCCAGGCCTAATAAATATGTGAGGAGAAGCCATAGGGAAGAGAGAGCAGGCTTGTTTTCTCCTGCCCTAGAGACTAGGAAGCGGAACAATGGTTTCATACATACAGGAAAGGAGATTCCACCTGAACATGAGGAAAACTTCCTAACGGTGAGAGCTGTTCAGCAGTGGAACTCTGTCCCAGAGTGTGATGGAGGCTTCTTCTTTGGAGGCTTTTAAGCAGAGGCTGGATGGCCATCTGTCGGGGGTGCTTTGAATGTGATTTTCCTGCTTCTTGGCAGGGGGTTGGACTGGATGGCCCATCAGGTCTCTTCCAACTCTGTGACTATGATTCATGTACACATAAAATACAAGCATTTGTTCATTGCAGCAGCATCTACCGCAATCATCTTAACTTTTTAAAACTAACTTCACCAGTGCATTATTTTAGCTCTTTTACAATCTACACTTCATTTGCTTCTGACCTGAGATGTAATAAAAATTTAATTATGCACAGTAACTAACAAGCAAAGGATATTTTTTTAATGTATGAATATGCTGAATTCCACTGATAAGTCTTGCAGGCTTCAATCTCCTGCTTTATTGTAGGTAAGGGAGGATGAGGCTAATGTGTGTACATTAAAGAATATTGGGGCAGAAATTTGAAGCAGCTAAAGAAATGTATTGGAGGTGCTGGCAAAGCAAATTATTACCCCTACATAATAAGATCTTGGGACCAGCTCTGATCCCGATTTAAGGAGCATCTTCACTTACAACAGTGATACAAAGAAAATGGATCTTAATTTCTTTAAAATGATGTAAACTGCAATTGCAACAAGGTCATTTATTCCATTTAATGCTCTGGAGAACTAACAATCTCATCTCAACCCATTCACAAACAGAGAATAATTCTAAGTTTAAAAGTGGGGAAAGATTAATAAGATTGAGAAAAATTAAGCCATTATTGAAGGACTATAAAACACACCAGAAGAGAAGCTGCTTCCAAAAGGCGGCCACTCCAACTTTACAAAATAGAGTGAAGGACTCTTGGTATCTCTAAGTTTCAGCTATATTGGTCTGTGAAACGAAGAGATCTTGGTTCAGAAATTGAACAGAGAATATTCTCTATCTGTTTTGCTCTTCTTGCTTCTTGCCTAAGCTGCTTTGAATGCTCTTTGGCAGCTAATTGTTCTTCTCGTTTCTCCCGTCTCTTCTTCCTTAACCATCTGCAGAAAAATTAAATAGTTTGAAGAACTGAATCTGTAGTGATTAAATACATTTAAATAACTGCTTCCTTCAAGAGTGGGAGCATGTAATCTATATAATGCCCAACATTGTTGTTATTATATCACTCTCAAAGACTACCATGTGTTATTTACTAGTTTTGGACCAATAATAATAGTAAAAGCAATAATGAACCATTACATGATTTATTTATTTTATGTCAAAAGCATTGCATAAATATTAAAACTGCTAAAATAGAGGGAGCACACACAGCTAAGTAATTCTTGATCAAAATTGGGCAACAGCAACTCCATTGTCTATAGCTTTAAACAATTCCTCCTCTGAGCATGAGGCAGGGTATTGTGGGCAAGCATACAGATGCTGAGTTGTTTGTTCTGCTCCACAGTCACACAAGGTGGAGGATTCTTTTAGGCAATGCCATTTAGTCAAGTTGTCTTTTGATCCGCCCACTTCACTTCTGCGTCTGTTCAGGGACTTTCAAGTTGCCCATTCTTGGTTTGCCCCTGAAGGCAGACCCTCGTGGGGGGCCATCCATTCGGGATTTCCTGGTTTAGCTGCCCAGTAAAAACACGTCAAAACCTTAAAACAAGGCATTTCTCTCTAATGGAATACTTTTCCACTTAGACTTCTAGAGAGGAGGCTTTGTTCTAACAACTCAGGTCATTTTCTTTTGCAAAAGGTGTATCTTTTTTTTATTCCCAGTCCTCATCAGGAAAAGGAATGCACTGGCTATTAGTCTAGAGTCTTAAATTTTCAATTGACAGTTCTCCATCACCCACATTCCATCTTGAAGCACAACATCCTGCAGTACAAGAATATTTCTCTCTCATGGCCCACAGAACATGAGGAAAATCTGCAAAGTTAGGAGAATAAATAGAGGGAAACGTTCTTCCTGATGAGACAAGGGACTTTCAACATTTGTTTTCTGGAGAAATAATTCAAATTAGGCTACATTGTTCCTTTTAAAAGATAATAAATGCCACAAAAACTTACTGCTTATAAGCTCTCTCGTTTTCCACTGTTCTTGGAAGGTAGAACATACATTCCTCCTGCTGTTTCAGGATTTGTATATGTCTTTCTTTCATCTGCTCTTCTTGTTTTTTCTTAAGCCATGACCTATAGGCTTCTTCTGGATTTCTACTCTCCTGCTGTTTTAAAACAGAAGAATGTAAATGCTTCAAATTCAAATTCTGACCAAGGTTCTCCAACAAATAAAAAGCTAAGGCACAGATCAACTTATTCACTTTCCAGAATAACCACAACAGGAATACAGTAGTTTTAAATTAGGAAAATTGGTTTGTAAAGGAGTGATGCTGCAGGGAATGAAGACAAATGTGGAATAAATGTCTTTAGAAGAGAAAAGAACATTGCCTTCCTAGCATATATTATGTTGAGACCTGGCAGAAAAATGAGTTGTAGTTAGTTTTCATGACAAAAATTACAAAGTCCTCTAGACTATATGGAATAATACCACCTTTGCCATTATCTCTTGTCCTTAATTCCCTGGGAAGACAGATTCACAGTTGCTGGGTGGAAAAGAATAATCATTCTGTGTACATTCAGAGGCACATTTATTACATTTACAATAAATAGGGTTTGGCTCAGTGTAGATATAATTTTGAGACTGCTCTGGAAGTGAAAACATCAATTCACTTTCCCCAAATATCTTTATTATGTTTTGAGATCTTCGATATTATTACTTATAATAGCCTGTTTTTCAGTTCAGTGTGGCTGATAATGATGATGATGATGGTGGTGATGGTGATGAAAACTTTATTTGTATACTGCCCTACCTCCCTGAAGGGACTCAGGGCGGTTTCCAACAACATAACATTCAATTGCCAAGAAGAAAATCATGCAAACAGATTAAGATAAAAGCACCAAAAAACACAAAAATGTCCTCAGAAGCACTTTAACTATTCGTTGGATTGTGCTCCCTTCACTTCTTTTAAAACCCTCCTACTAGATATATCCTACCTTTGTTCATGCCCAGCGTTTATTTTTTAATTTTAAACTATTACATTTGGCCCGGCCTTAGGTTTTTAAATCTTTGTGTGTTATTGTTTATATGTGATTTATATTAATTTGTATTGTTTTTTGTTTACTGCTTTTTGGTTTTATTGATGTGTTGTTGGGCTTGGCCTCATGTAAGCCGCTCCGAGTCCCTTGGGGAGATGGTGGCAGGGTATAAATAAAGTTTTATTATTATTATTATTATTATTATTATTACTAGAAAACAACAATAAACATTTAAACCAATTGCAATTGTAATTCCATCAGACAAGGCTTGCACAAGGATGCCAAGAATCAGGAACATATACATATGTGGTGGCAATGTAAATATGTAAATAAATAAAAACTATCATGATATCTTACAGTCAAGCACATGATATCAACCAAGTAAAAAAGAATAATGGCGTAAGCAGTAACTAAAATTAAATTAGGGAAAAGTTTAAATGGTTGGTAAATGAAACAAAAATGATTTACTAATGTTTCTATTACTCATTCATAAAGCAGAGAGCAACACAGCCCTTCCCTTATTTTTCATGCCTTATGCATCTCTGTAAGCTACACTATACATGAAACAATGCTTGTTAAAATCACATTTCTGAACTAAGCAGCTTACAACAGGCTAACAGGCATAGAAATCTAAAATTACCCTGCTGCTTAAGTCTTCAAGCTCTTTTGCACGCTGAATTCTTCTCTCTTCCTGCATTTGTCCTTTTTTCTTTTGCAACCAAGCTTTGAAGACCATTTCATTCTCTCTCTTTTTCTGGTCTTCCAGTCTTCTTTTCCTTATTTCTTCCTTACATTAAAACAAGAGCAAATATTCAGAAGTTTTAATACTGCTTTTAAAAATTCAGAAGTATTATGATATTTCAGAGTAGAAGTAGCAAAAACTATTTAAAACTATGCTTGTCTGGGATATAAAGATGTAGAGTATTAACACTATACTATAATGATAACCAGTTTTCAATTATTATAATAAAACAGTTTCATTAACATGTGAGAGATATTAAGAATACTACTTTGTCAAACAGAAGTTAAATTGAGACATGAATGCTTCCAACTGGACTTGCTAGATATATAGGTAAAGGCGAATGGAGATGATTGTTGATTTATAGAATCATAGAGTTGGAAGAGACCTTGTGGGCCACCCAGTCCAACCCCATGCCAAGAAGCAGGAAAATCGCAACTGGTGTTCCTTCACTCACAAAAGAAAGCAAACAAGAAAAAAATATTCAGTGCACCAACTTCTGGTATGCCTTTCATTCCATCCTAATTTGCTCCAGAGAGCTGGAGAATCTCCACCGACTTTGGGGGAGGGGTGTTGGAAATTACAACCTTGATCAGCCCTTCTCTATGATCTTGCTGCTTACTGTTTCCTGTATGTATGTTCTGGTGTGCAGTTTTACTCTATGGCTTCTGATAAGTTATAAAAAGGGCTGCAGACCACATGCTCTCTCTCATTTTGACTATGTGACCTTTGATAGCTGTTTTGTTATAAGAGAGATGCCCTGCCAGCTGGCATAGGAAACCATCTCAAAGATAACTGAAATTGGACTAATAAGTTTTTGTACCTGTGTATGCTGAACACATCAAAGTTGTGAGTAAACCAAATGTTATTTCCAGCAAAGCTTACTTCATTTTTGTCTCTTGAGTGCCTGACATGAAACAAGATGTTTTATGGGAGAGTACCTTTTTGGGCACTGAAATAAAATTAAAAAAAAAACACTTCTAAAGCTCTGCTGTTTTTATGCACTGGCAAATATCTGTTTTTCCTGACAGATAAGAGAATGCTGGTTATTCAGTCTAACAACTGAAACCATTGCCTAGCATAATTATATTTGGTTGTATACTACAAGAAGAGATTCTGCTCTGTAGGGTTTTTTTGGCTCTTTTCTAAAAGGTTATGTTGTGCAATAGGAGGATCTTCCTTGCATTATGGTTCACCTAATTTAGTATGGTTACCTCAATTTATCTGAAAAAATGTTTGGATGGAGCACAGTCATAGGAAGGAGGAGAGGGCAAATTTACTTCTAACAGCCAGCATGATGTAGTGGTTCGAGCACTGAGCTACAACTCTGAAGACCAGGGTTTGAATCCCTGCTCAACCCTGGAAATCCATTGCGTGACCTTGGTCAAGTCAACTTTGTCAACATCCCAGGGGAAGACAAAATTCACCCCCCTCTGAACAAATTTGCTAAGAAAAACCCATGATAGGCCCATCTTAGAATTGCCATTATGTTGGAAATGACTTGGAAGTCACACATACCGAGACCTTAAGTCATATTACCCTACATTAATTTTCAAAAAACATGTGTGTTTTATTAATGGGTTTATACCCATCATCCTTTTGCATAGTTTGAAGGAACTCACAGGCGCTTAAGATATAATTAAAATATCACATCAAAAATATAATCTGCTCATGTCCTTTTCACTCACCTCCTTCCTTATCTTTTCTTTCCTTTGCTCGATCTGTTTTTGAAGTTCTTTTTGTCTTGGGGACAGGCAATATGTAGAGCTTCTTACACCAAGGCCCACATTTGCTGACTGCACCCTGCGTGGACTTTTCCTCCTATCGATGTTTCTTGAAATGTTGATAGCCGAGCTTGGCCGAATGGGTGGTGGTTGGGGAACATAAACAAACCCTTCTCTGGAAGATGTCACAGGTGTTTGCACCAAGGACTCGTCTTTTGTTAGGCAGATAGTGCCAAAAGAAGTTTTAGGAGAAATGTGCTGAGTTTCAATGTCACTGAAAGAAACACTTAGTGGAGGAAAGAAACCTTGGCTCTCAATGTCACGGATACTCAGAAGTTCAAATTTTCCATCTCTTTCTACTAGTATTTTGCCATCCTTGTGCTCATCATCAGTGCCACCATTAAGAGAAAGAGAAATATCTTGTTCCATATCAGTAGAAATGCGCAATTGGGACAGTCGACCAGAAATATTCTTATCCCTATGAAGATCACCTCTATCAGTTTCCAACACTTCCAGAGATGGGACTTCAAGATCTACTAGATCATCCTTAAATTTTAGTTTCCGTTCTTTTGTTTCATCCAGAGGTTCCTGAGACAAAAGAAGCTTGTTGGCTTCTTCAATTTTGCCTAAAATGTATCGCTTTATATCTTCATCATCCTCCAAGTCCTCCTGGTCAACCTTTGATTCCTGGCAAGAACTTTCACTCTCACTATCAGATGCCTGCTCCAAATGCTTTTTTTCCAAATCATATACAGTACGTATTTCATTTCTTGACCCTTTATCCTTCAGAATGTCCTGAGGGGGTTCTCGTGAAACACTTCCATCTTCACCTGTTACAAACCTCTCGAGTTCAAAAACCTCTTGGGAAGAATTTAGTGCATATTCTTTACCTTCTACTAAGTCTTTGCCAAAGATACTTTCCACGTCAACATCATCTTCATTTTCATCATGATTCTATGCAGAAATTAGAAGCATTTATTTATACTGAATGTAATATGAAACATACATATAAAAGTATTTAAGAATCTCATATAACATACAGATACAAAATAATTTTCACTTCCATAGTAACCAAATAATAAAATATGATTCTAAAAAATCTAGCAAGGTTTAATCACTGGAATTACAGATCTGGGTGTAAGGAATCTAGGTTTTAGTATGCATCTATAATGTTTTGAGATATTCTTGGAAACTTGCTACAAACCTCTAAGTTTTTGCCTGAAATCATATGTAAACCAAAACCAGAGAGGAACACTCTCTACTCCCAATATCCTCACATTGTCTGCTGCTTAGAGACACGTTCAGCTGGATGCAGTTCCAGCCCACTCTGGTCCCATCTACACTGACCATTTCACGCAATCTGAAACTACTTTCTAACTCTTATGGACAGAAAACAAACTCTCACCAAAAGCCTTAATGCACACCACTGTTCTGTGGTTTTGTGTAATCAGCATCTGGGCCTCAAACTGCTTCCAGGATTTCCTATGTAATCAAGTGCACAGCAAAACCACATTCATCAATACCAGTTTGAAACTGCATTAAATGGTCAGTGTAGATGGCCCCTCTGTTTGTAAAGCCTTTCAGTTCTACATAATTACACTGTTTAGCCGGTATTGCACCACCTGACATCTGTCGGGAAGTAGCAACCAATAGTGAAAGAACCAAGGCAGTGACATCTCCAGCTCATCCCCTGTTTGGATATCAGCCAGCACGTCAGCGACGTAAATCAAGAAATAGTTTTCTAAGATCTACAGAGACACTCGCTGGAACACCTCAGCAAGCAAGAGTCCAAAAGTGGCAGGCTCAAACCCAGAACCTCAATCAATGGCTGATACCAAATGAGAGACTCCCCCCTGGACACACAGAAAACTGGACGACTTGTAAGGCGCTGAACAAACTGCGCTCTGGCACTGCGAGATGCAGAGCTAACCTCAAGAAATGGGGCCACAAAGTGGAATCCACGACATGCGAGTGTGGAGAAGAGCAAACTACAGACCACCTGCTGCAATGCAACTTGAGCCCTGCCCCATGCACAATGGAGGACCTTCTTGCGGTAACACCAGAGGCACTCCAAGTGGCCAGCTACTGGTCAAAGGACATTTAATCAACTACCAAGCTTGCAAACTTTGTGGTTTGTTTGTTTGTTTGTTTGTTTGTTTGTTTGTTTGTTTAAAAATGCAATGCAACAGTTTGGTCTGCCCCTGACATGATAAATCCTTGCATAAGGCTAATTTCTCTACCTAATGTACTTTGTATGGTTGTTGGGAGGTCGACCACAGATATATTTAAAGGAAGCATGAAATACAAATGTAGTAAATAATGCCCACACCTGGTATGCTTTGTGTACATGCATGAAATCTCACATTTTTGTTCAGAAAAAAATTAAAGAAATTTAATTAAAGTGTAGGGTTCAGCCTGCTTACAGTTTTAGCAGAATTTCACCAATAACCCATGAGGCAAATCAATAAAAGCTGAGGTTCAAACAGGAGAGAAAGGAATAGATGGCACAAAAAAGATTGGAAACTAGCCAGAGATAAAAAATATTGGCCTTAAAGGTTCATCAGTGAGCTGACTTACATTTTGGGATGAAGTTTTCCCCATCTCCTCCTCCATGTCCTCATGTGATCTAAAACATACTGACCTACAACCAACTGGCATTAAGCTTGTGCAATTCCTGTTGCTCAAGCAGTTCTATGTTTTCTGCGTTCGTGGAAGAAAATGGCCAATAAAACACTTTACAAGTGGTTTCCCACATAAGCTAAACACAAGACAGTTACACTGAACTCTTCTGGCCATGCAGAAAAATACTGTCTAAATTAGCCACTCTGAGTCCCCCTCAGGTGAGACAGAGCGGGATAGAAATAAAGTAAATAAGTTATAGGTTTAGGGTAGATAGTTGGTGCTAGGCTGGCTGCAGAACATAAAGAAGGAAAAATAAGAAGTGTCTTGGAACTCTGCCTCAGCCTTCTGCACCTTGTGAATGTGCAGCTCCACATTTTGGCACAGCAAACCTATGACGAGCCTTTCCTGTATGCTCCTCCCTGATGGCTGGGGACCAAGTCGGCTCTATACAGAGTTGCCTGCTTCCAAATACCTTGTTATTTGGGGGCTCTCCATTTCAAAAATAGCTGACACTCTGAAGTGCTACACAACGCACACAGTGATCCCATGTAGCTATACTTACAAGAATTTTTATTGCCACAGCATTAGTTTGGACAACAGCAACCTTTTGTTTTGCTGCTATAGACAAAGTTTTAATTATCTGGCTCAAAAACTGAACACTTATCTAAGGAAAGGGTTATCCTAATAGATACAGAAGGTGCAATCCTATGCATTTTGAGAAATTAGCCCCATTTAAGCTGGTTTGACTCATTAATTAATGCATTTAGGATTGTAGAGTTTGATCAGCAACACAAAGAGCCTCTCCTCAAACACCCAGACTTCTCGATGCACGTAATAATTTTCTTCATCCCATTCCAGTATCATAGCATTGCACTCCAGAAGCCTCCCAGGTCCAGAAACCCCTCTGAATGTAGTGTCTGAGCAATGACATATCACTAAAGTACTTCCTACCAAATTGCCGTGCAATATTTTGCTAATACCTGTATATCACCAGAAATTCTTTTTTCTTCTTCATTAATTAACCACTCAAGGTCTTTTTCAAAGTCATCTTCATATTCCCCACCATCTGTATCGCCATTCTCTGAAGATTTACTAGTGTTGTTCTTGTCACCCATTGTGGAAGTTCCTTAAAGTAAAACTACAAAACACGAAAACAAAAAAATTAGTATTTCCTGATAAGAAGAAACTGTGCATTTTGGAATATGGACAATCTGATGACGACAGCAACCACAAGCTTGCATGCAGTATTGCAAACGGCTAAGCAGGCATGTAGCCGGGGGGGGGGGGGGGGGCCCTCCCCCCCCCCCAAATTCTCATGGTGGTCCGCGAGAAGGCCTTACTGGTACATTATTTAAACTGTTATGCTTATTCATATCATGATCTGATCACCATGCTCAATATATCCCATATGCATGGGGGTATTGGGGTAATGATACAAAAGGTTTGCTAGGGTAGACCCTCTTTCACTCAGACTCAGCCCCCCCCCCCACCCCACCCCCGAATCAAAATCCTGGCTACGGGCCTGCTGCTAAGCAATTACCAAAGTAATGCAATTTCCTAGTCATAAGATAAACTGAGGCTAGCAGTTCTGGTAGGAACCCAAGAGTCTCTCCAGCTGACTATTCATGATGCATCCTATGACTAGGAAATAACCCAACCACCCAATCAATCTCCAGTGCCTCAAAAACACTTCAGGCTGGTTCACTTTTTTATTTCATGAAAAAAGCATTGCATAAATAAGTATAAAACTGATAACTATCTGGCTAAAAACTGATAAAAACTGATAAAACAGGCCAGAGCGAAGACAGAGGGGAGCAGAAGACATTTCCATCTTGTCTTTACTAATAATATAATAATATAGTATATTGTATATACATATAATATTTATAATATTATAATGTAATACAATATAATACTAGTAATAATTATTCAATATTATAATTATAATTATATATTTACATTACATGTAATATTGCTAATAATATTACAATATAATGGTATAGTGCAATATAGTAATATATACTGATATTGTACTTTGCTAATAATATAATATATATTGTATGAAAATATATATTGTAAGCCGCTCTGACTCCCCTTCAGGGTGAGAAGGGTGGCATATAAATGCCATAAATAAATAAATAAATAAATAAATAAATAAAAATAGAAGGAGAACAAGTGGCTAAATAGGAGGTGGAAGAGACTACGGGATAAAGCCATTAGTTTTCCCTGTTCTATCAGGCATGGGCAAACTTCATCCCTCCAGGTGTTTTGGACTTCAACTCCCACAATTCCTAACAGCCGGTTAGGTTAAGATAGCTGGGATTTATGGGAGTTGAAGTCCACAATTTCCCTTATTGAAGGCCTAGCTTCACGAGTTCCTCCCCCACAAATATACCTTTTTCATTGCTTAAGCGGCTGAGGGGGGAAAGGAAAGGGCCTGAGGCTGTTAGGGATTGTGAGAGTTGAAGTCCAAAACACCAGGAGGGCCCAAATGTGCTCATGCCTGAGTTAGGCATTAAGACTCCGCAAAAAAACCAGGCTATGATGATTATGAATGAGTTTCTTGGGAGTCCCCTCTGGCCGAGGCTCAGAAACCATCACCTTCTCGGCAGTGTCAGCTCGCCTGAGACCTGGAGGCAAGCGATGGAGGCTCTGGTCCCGTTTTGGTGAACCAGCCAAGCCTCCCGAGGGGCCCGACCTCCCTCCGCCTGCCTGTCACCTGCGGCCAGGGATTACAACCGCCCCGCCCCGAGACGTCTATTTTTACGTCGAGGCCGGCGACGTCCCTACCGGCGGGACAGCCCTAAACACCCGTCGCCATGGCAACAGCGGCCGCCCCTTTCCCTCGCGCCCCGCAGGCACACTGGCCAATTGCAAGCCTCGAGCGGGGACAGCCGGGTGTGAATGTTATGACTGGCCTGCTCTGAGTTTTCCGAGCTGTACGGCTATGTTCCAGAAGCATTCTCTCCTGACGTTTCGCTCAGGCATCATCACAGGTTGTGAGGTTTGTGGGAAACTAGACATGTGGGGTTTATATATCTCTGGATTGGCCAGGGTGGGAGAAAGAACTCTTGTCCGCTTGAGGCAAGTGTGAATGTTGCAAATGGCCACCTTGCTTAGCATTTAACGGCATTGCAGCTTCTAAGCCTAGCTGGTTGCTGCCTGGGAGAATCCTTTCTTGGGAGATGTTAGCTGGCCCTGCTTGATTCTTGTCTGGAATTCCCCTGTTTTTTGTTTTTTTAATGTTGCTCTTTATTTACTGTCCTTATTGATTGATTTATTTATTTACTTTGCTTGTATACCGCAGTTTCTCAGCCCCTAGGCGACTCAACGCAGTTCACAACAAGAGCAAAAAGACAATCATAACAACATACAATTTAAAAACCATTAACAGCATAGTATACAAAGTGATGACACATCAATAACAACACATTAACGTCTCGTAACTAGAATCGTGATCCAATTCGTCGTCCATAATTCCGTTCCTATATTCATCGTATTCATCGTAGCCAGGATTTTGTTTCGGGGGGGGGGGGGGGCTGGGTTGGGGGGGCTGAGTCTGAGTGAAAGAGGGTCTAGCCTAGCAAACCTTTTGTATCATTACCCCAATACCCCCATGCAGATGGGATATATTGAGTATGGTGATCAGATCATGATATGAATAAACATAGCAGTTTAAATAATGCACCAGTAAGGCCTTCTCGCAGACCACCATCATAATTTCGGGGGGGGGGGGGGCTGAAGCCCCCTCTAATCTCATAAGGGAGGGAGATCCACAGCCAAGGGGCTACCAAAGAGAAGGTCCTGTCTCTCATCCCCACCAAATGTGACTGCAGTGGCGGTGGGACGAGAGCAGGGCCTCGCCGGATGATCTTAAGGTCCTTGTTGGTACGTATAGGGAGATACGTTCAGACAGGTAAACTGGGCAGAAACCGTTTAGGGCTTTATGGGTTAAGACCAGCACTTTGAATTATGTCTGGAAGCTAATAGGCAGCCAGTGGGGATGGCGTAACAGGGGAGTTATGTGTCCAGGTTGGTACATCAGGTGCTCTGCTAGGGCTGACTTCTGTGGTCGAATTAGTCTGCAGTGGCTTTCATGTTCTTTAATTCATGTTGCTGAATTTGGTGATCCCTATGTAGACTTGTCCACCATGTCAGACTACACAGAGAAGCCATTGAAATCCATAAGCATGTGGACAATTTCAACAGAAAGGGGTAAACCATGAAAATGAACAAAATCTGGCTACCAGTATTTTTTTTTTAAACCTCTAAAATCAAGACAGTAAAGAGCAACACTCAAAAAACAGGGAAATTTCTGACATGAAGCAGTCAGGGCCAGCTAACACCTCCCAACAAAGGATTCTTCCAGGCAGCAAGCAGCCAGGCTTTGAAGCTGTAAGGGCATTCAATGCTAATCTAGGTGGCCAATTGCAATATTCATACTTGCCTCAAGCAGACAAGAGTTCTTTCTCCCACCCTGGACATTCCACAGATATGCCTAGTTTCCAGCAGACCCCTCAACCTCTATGGATCCATATGGGCAAAACATCAGGAGAGAATAAATCTGGAACATCGTCATACAGCCCAGAAAACTCACAGCAACTCAGTGATTCCGGCCATGAAAGTCTTTGACAACACAATATTATTACTGTTATTGGAGTGGTGACTCCAAAAAGGATTAGCGCCAAGCTTTACTTACTGAATAACAAAAACAACGACAGCAATGGAACTATCTTCAGGAGGAACCTGAAAACCTTCAATGATTGGATGTAAGATACTTCCTGACCAAATTTCACACAAATGTCCTCAGAAGCACTTTATTTTATGGTTCGGGCAATTAATTCCTTCCTCAACCCGGATCTCCCTCCGCAATAATTCCCACTGCCCAATCTCCCCGTGTTTTAAAAAATTTATCCTTAAATTTGGCCCTGCCCCGTGTAATCCTGTGTGTTTAATGTCCGATTTTATACTGCTGTGTCGCTTATTATATTGGTTCTGCATTTTATGTTTTTATTTTTTTAGTTCTGTTATGCTTTGGTGTTATATTGTGTTACGCTTTTGTGTACTATTGTGTTTTCTGTACTGATGGGCATGGCCTCATGTAAGCTGCCCCGAGTCCCCCTGGGGGAGATGGAGCGGGGTATAAATAAAGTATTATTATTATTATAACTACTAGCTGTATCCGCCACGCGTTGCTGTGGCCAACCTTCCCTCTTTCTCTCCTTCTTTCCCTCCATCCGTCACCCTTCCGTCCTTCCTTCCTTCCTTCCTTCCTTCCTTCCTTCCTTCCTTCCTTCCTTCCTTCCTCTCCTTCTCCTCTTCCTTTTGCTTCCTACTCCTTCCTCTATTCCTCCTCCTTTTCCTTTCTTCTCTCTTTCCTTCTTCCTCCTCCTCTTTCTCTATATCTTCTCCCCTTCCTCCTTCTTTCCCTCCTTCTTTCCCTTTTTTCTTTCCTTCTCTCCTTCCTTCCTTCTCTAACCTTCCTTCCCCCTTTTTCTTTTCCTCCCACTTTCTCCCCTTTCTTCCTTCTCTACCTCTATTTTTCCTTCGTTCTCTCTTTGCTTCCATGCTTTTTTCTCCCTTCTTCTTCCCTCCCTCCCTCTTTTCTTTTCTTTCTTTCTTTCTTTCTCCCCTTACCTCCCTCTTTTTTTCTGTATTGTCATTTAGCTTTTCGTCATTTAGCTTTTGGGGGCTTTTAAAGTCCCTTCTGCTGTGTTTTTCAGTGTTTTTATGAGTGAAGGACATACATTGGGTTGTTAGGTGTCTTGTGTCCAAATTTGGTGTCAATTCCCCCAGTGGTTTTTGAGTTCTGTTAATCCCACAAATGAACATTACATTTTTATTTATATAGATAATCCCCATGCGAGTGGGTTCAAGCTTTACTTGCTTGAGAATCATAGCAACAACAGCTATAATAATGGAAGTTATTATTTGTAGAATTCGCACTATTGGAGCTGTAATCCACAAAAGGAGTGGGCCCAATTTTCCTTGTTTGAGTACATTATTATGATAGGTTGCTGAGTTTTCCGGGCTTTGATGATGATGATGATGATTAGAGCCGAACAGGTAGTCCACAAAAGGGGTGGGCCCAAGCTTGACTTTCTTGGGTATAATACATTATTATTATGCCTGTTGTTCCTATTGCAAAAGGGCTGGGCCCAAGCTTGACCTGTCAGACTGCAAACTGGAGAGGGTTCCTGCGCCTTTAATTCCATTGGTTGTATGGACTCCAGCAGGTGCGGTTGTGCAGCCAGGCAACAAGCTTTCTCCCTCTTTGTCCCCACCCCCACCCCACGCGTCTTCACCTGTGGACGGCGCCGGGAAATGACTCGCCCACCTTGCCGTTGTCATGGTAACCGCGCCCCCCACAGCAGGCTTCCCCCCACCACTCGCTGCCCCACTCACCAAGCAGAGAAGGATGGCGGCTCTGAAGGGCCAAACCGGGCCGCTCTCGACGCTCACCGTCGCCATAGCAACGGAGGGGGCAGGACGTGCCTTGCGCAAGAATACACCACCGCCTTCTTCCGGTCCTCTGCCGTTTCCATGGAGATGCAGAAACAGGAGGAGGGAATCTGTGCTGCTGTTTCCTGTGTTTCTCAGAAAGATGGAAGATTAAGAACATGGCAGTTCTTTTAGGCTGCTGGTCCCCAACTCTGGGGCCTGCATAGAATCATAGAATCAAAGAGTTGGAAGAGACCTCATGGGCCATCCAGTCCAACCCCCTGCCAAGAAGCAGGAATATTGTATTCAAATCACCCCTGACAGATGGCCATCCAGCCTCTGCTTAAAAGCTTCCAAAGAAGGAGCCTCCACTACACTCTGGGGCAGAGAGTTCCACTGCTGAACGGCTCTCACAGTCAGGAAGTTCTTCCTCATGTTCAGATGGAATCTCCTCTCTTGTAGTTTGAAGCCATTGTTCCGCGTCCTAGTCTCCAAGGGAAGCAGAAAACAAGCTTGCTCCCTCCTCCCTGTGGCTTCCTCTCACATATTTATACATGGCTATCATATCTCCTCTCAGCCTTCTCTTCTTCAGGCTAAACATGCCCAGCTCCTTAAGCCGCTCCTCATAGGGCTTGTTCTCCAAACCCTTGATCATTTTAGTCACCCTCCTCTGGACACATTCCAGCTTGTCAATATCTCTCTTGAATTGTGGTGCCCAGAATTGGACACAATATTCCAGGTGTGGTCTAACCAAAGCAGAATAGAGCATGGGTAGCCTGACTTCCCTGGATCTAGACACTATACTCTTATCGATGCAGGCCAAAATCCCATTGGTTTTTTTGCAACCGCATCATATTGTTGGCTCATGTTTAACTTGTTGTCCACGAGGACTTCAAGATCTTTTCCACACGTCCTGCTCTCGAGCCAGGCATCGTCCCCCATTCTGTATCTTTGCATTTCATTTTTTCTGCCTAATGCATTAGGGCAGGGGTCCTCAAACTGTTTAAACAGAGGGCAGGTCACAGTCCCTCAAACTGTTGGAGGGCCAGATTATAATTTGAAAAAAAATGAATGAATTCCTATGCACACTGCACATATCTTATTTGTAGTGGAAAAGACACATAAAAACAATGTAATAATTAAAATGAAGAACAATTTTAAAAATATAAACTTATTAGTATTTCAATGGAAAGTGTGGGCCTACTTTTGGCTGATGAGATAGGGTTGTTGTTGTTGTGTGCTTTCAAGTAGTTTCAGACTTTGGTTGACACTGAGCGAGGGCCGGGTAAATGTTATCGGCCCTCGGGCTCTTAGTTTTGAGGACCCACAGCCTGGTTAATAGGGTCAAGTTATATTGATGACATAGCGATCCTTAGGTATGCTTTAATGGGACACCTTTTGAAGCCCCATATAATGCAACAGTAAGCAAGATGACCCAGACACTTCGGTCAACGAAGATACGCATATGTTAAAGCCAGTGGAGGAGGAATATTCTCCATATTGGAACCCTTGTTCTATCTTGGTGCTGCTTCATTACCAGGGACGTGGTGAAAGCGGACCATAAGGAAGGGGGTCTTGGGTAACCTCGTCCATATTCTATCCAAAGCGTTTTTTTTAAAAATGTATTGGGCTGGGGATCGTTACAGTAGAAAAAAGCTACTACCTTGAATTCTTGATCTTAAAAACCTAAGCCGCACAGAGTAACCTCATCTTGGTACTACATACTGGGTGGTGCTGAAGGTAATTGCAAATAATCACTAGGTTGTAAAGGTTCCTTATTCCTTCCCTGACAGTAAGTCCCAGTATGGTTCTGGACGTATGTCATGGGTGGTGGGTGCTCATCTCCAGTTCTAAGGCGAAGAGCTGGTGTTGTCCGAGAAAACTCCTAGGTCACATGTGGCCAGCATGAATGCCATGGCAGCGCGAAGTCTTAACCTTTCAAACGAGGTACATATTGCATCAATAAGGACGCATCTAGTGGAGTAGATATGGGAAGTAATGATACCCATATAGTCTACGATGTGGGGGTTAGAACAACACCTGGAATATTGTGTCCGAAAACTGGGAACAACAATTCAAGAGAGATATTGACAAGCTGGAATGTTTCCAGAGGAGGGCGACTAAAATGATCAAGGGTCTGGAGAACAAGCCCTATGAGGAGCGGCTTAAGGAGCTGGGCATGTTTAGCCTGAAGAAGAGAGGCTGAGAGGAGATATGATAGCCATGTATAAATATGTGAGAGGAAGCCACAGGGAGGAGGGAGCAAGCTTGTTTTCTGCTTCCCTGGAGACTAGGACGGAACAATGGCTTCAAACTACAAGAGAGGAGATGCCATCTGAACATGAGGAAGAACTTCCTGACTGTGAGAGCCGTTCAGCAGTGGAACTCTCTGCCCCAGAGTGTGGGGGAGGCTCCTTCTTTGGAAGCTTTTAAACAGAGGCTGGATGGCCATCTGTCAGGGGTGATTTGAATGCAATATTCCTGCTTCTTGGCAGGGGGTTGGACTGGATGGCCCATGAGGTCTCTTCCAACTCTTTGATTCTATGATTCTATTGATCTACTCACATTTGCATGTTTTCGAACTGTTAGGTTGGCAGAAGCTGGGGCTGACAGCAGAAGCTCACGCCGCTTCCTGGATTCAAACCTGTGACCTTTTTGTCAACAACCTCAGCAGCTCAGCGCTTTAACCCACTGCGCCACTGGGGGCTTCTTGTAAATACTATACATGAATGCAAATCAACACTTGTTTATTGAAAATCATGTATGTGCACCCTTACCTTAAACAGTTTAATCAACATGGTGGGTGCTTCCGAGTACAGGAGAAAGATCCTTTCTTCACTCAAAACATGACCTAGAGCGTGTGGGAATTACCATCTTTGTCTCCTGCCTATTGCCTTATGCTTTGCACTTATAACGGTATGTTGTTCTTTGTAAACTTTCAATTCCCTCTTGCAAAACGTTTGAACCACAATAGCTTTGTGTTGTACACCCTGTTCTCAGGCATACATTTCCTTTTTTCAACATTCTATTTTGAAGATAATTTAAAACTGCAATTGGTCATTAGTTACAACCAATAAATAAGCAACAGAAGTTTGAGCTGCTCTTGAATTTTACAGAGAAGCTTGAATTCAGACCAGCCGTACATCTAGGTCACCCTAATCTGATATGGAGCTTCTGAAATTTGCTTTAGTACAGAATTGGTCTTTTACAAAATTGTATTCCTGGGAGATACAACATTTGACAGTTGCTATATGCCAGAATCACAGTTTGGACAAGACAGGACACTACAGACTTTCACTTGTTGGCACAGGGAAATGACGGATGTGTCGAAGGCTTCTAATATAAATTCTATGTATAAGTTTTCAAAGCCACAGTTCTTCAGGTAACACTGGTTTTTAGAAAGCATGGAGGTGAAAAAAAAAACCCTGTCTAATAAAAATGATCATATTATGGTGATTTAACATATAAGCAAATCATGAGAATTTTGAACCATAATCATAACATTACACTCAAATAAAAAACAAACTTGTAAGAATATGATAAAATATTTTTATTTGATAAAAACAATTTTACAACTTGGACAGAATAAAATTTTCTCACAATTGTCTCATTTACACATTTTATTTTTAGTGCTGTATTAGAGTCCTTGACATACTCTTTCTCATTAATACATGAGCTTGATACAACAATGCAGAGGATCCTGGAACCACTTCCAGGCTTACATTCAATAAACTGGATATGTATGGCATAGCCAGTTACGTGTAGTATAAGGCAGTTCTTGTGCAAGGAATACCTTATTTCAGTTTTCCCCAGAGATGAGACACATAATGCCAAACAATTTTAACTTGATAAAGGACTTAATGTGCATCTTTTCTTGTTATAGCAACTGAGAAGAAACATGAGCAACAGGGCACCAGGGAAAGAAGGCACACCAGTGAAAGTAATCTCTCTAATGGTGCTATTTGCAGCTTGATGGAGACAATTTTATTGAATTTATAGCAAGGAGAGAAGCTATAAGCTTCTCTTCCTTACCTTCCTTGGTCCAAAAGTTGCCCAGGCTTCCAAACAGCTTTTGCTTTGATAAAACACATAAACTGCACTCACACAATTAATACTATGCCTAGTTTCTCTGAGAGACAAGACATTTTTTAAAACCATATCAAAAGTCCAGCTTTCTCTCTTGATTATCTTATCCTTTCCTTCACAAATCTGCCAGGCTCTAGGTTTCACTCTTCCCTGTTAATAGTGGGTTTTTTAAAAAAAAATTCTATTTAGAAGGCATCTGGAATATGGCTACTTGTTTTTCAATTTGAGGCAACTATAAATGTGGGATGGAAGGCAGGTTTTAAACCAAGAAATGTTTGCTTCCCATGACATTACACTTGACAACACACCCTCCATTGGACCTCTAAACAGACCTTGTTACAAATGTAGCTAAAATCCTAATGTATGAATAAACCTGTCTGAATTTATCTCAGATTTAGTATTATTTCTGAACTGTAGATTTAAAGAGGTCAACATTTAAATTCAAATCCAATTTCAAGCTCCCTATACATTTGGAACCAATAGCATGCCATTTGTGTGTATCAGAATCTGGATCTCAAACATGACTGTTAGGAACAGTACTGTAAATTCAGTAATACAATTGGATTTCACATTCACACATGAAAATTCTTACTTAATGAAGAACCACATTAAATGATCAGTTTTCACACAACACTAGGAAGAGGCCTTAAAATAAAGCACTTCTTCACATAATAAGCCCAAAATCCAATTGCTAATCTCAATTGAAGCAGGTTCATTTAATTAGTGGAACTTAAAAAGGAATAGCTGATGTACCAAGTTTTCACAGAGGTATGGAGTCACTCTAACTGGGCTATGAACTAGATTTAGGTAGGCCTATGGCTTTTCCCCCCTCCCCTTCTACATGGAAAATACTGCCTTATTCGAAGCCACACAGCAGCCCTTGTAGATTTTGCATTTACCTGAGCACATATGACCATGGTTTGCTAATATCACAGCTCAGCATAATACAGTGTCATACACATATAATTTGCATCAACAAACCTTTAAGAAACAAACGGGCTCAGAGAAATCAGGGGGAATAACCATGAAGACAAACTTCCACTTGGTGTTGTCAATGTCTTTGTCTATAATTTGAAAAACTAATAGTTGGGCAGAAATTCCAATCCAAGAAGATTTCTTTTATTTGAGCAGATTTTGCCAGACCATATTGTTGTTCGTTCATTCTTCTAGTCACTGTCTACTGTCAAGAGTTTAAATATAAAATCTTAACAGACTGTTAACACATCTTTATACAGGAGCTGAATAAAGTCTTCAAAGGAACATGCATTTGGTGTATCTGCTCACAGTGACCCACCATATCTATAAATCAAAAGCTACAACTGGTATTTTCATGAGGTCAGAAGTCAACACTCATTTTATTGACTTCAATCTAATGGACAAGAACAATCAAAGAAAACTAAACATTGCAGTGGTTCTCAACCTGTGGGTCCCCAGGTGTTTTGGCCTACAACTCCCAGAAATCCCAGTCAGTTTACTAGCTGTTAGGATTTCTGAGAGTTGAAGGCCAAAACATCTGGGGACCTATAGGGTGAGAACCACTACTCTAGTACTTTGGTTAGCAATGTATAGTTCTCTAGGTGCTGTTGTACTGAAGCTCCCATTAACCTTTATCACCATAACCAGTGGTGAAAGATGCTGGGATGTATAGTCAAACAACTTCTGGAGGGCCACATTACCCACTCCTGCTTTAGAGATGCCAAAAGGCAGACAAGACAAGACATACAACAGTGTGGAAAATATTTGTGCGTGAAAATGAGAGCTCTTCAACATTCATGAGTGCAACATCTCCATGACAGTGTTCTTTCACTGCCAACTTGAAGGTCACCATTGATTCCAGCTCTTGGCTATGCTCAAATTCCAGTCTCTTAGAGACAGTTTTCCAAAAGCATTACCAACATGAACTGGGATAATTAAAAAAATCCCATATACTATGGATTGCTTTATGGCTTGTTTGTCACAAAAGAAGGAGGGAAATCCGCAAGTCAGATCTCCCCTACCGAGAACAAAATTGTCTGTATGAGACCATGTTTTTATAAATACTATTCTTACTTATGTAAGATAAAGTTCAATACATTCTGTTACTAACCTATGCTACTAATATAGTACAAATATTGGTCAAGTACAGTTCAGGTAACAGTCTGGAAATAACCACATGTCAATACATTAATAAATAAGAAACTGCATATATAAAATAGATCCCCACTTGCTTGGGGACAGATGTTGAACAAATTGAAAGGCTGTGTTCTTAAGCACCATTTTCTGTAGCGTTGTTTCTCCTCCTCCTCTCCTTCCTCCGGTAATTTGCGATAATACTGCATGTGCCACTGATGAAGAATATAACGGATATGACAGCAAAGTAAGCAGCATAGATCGTGAACTGGGAGGAAGGGATAGTGAAAGAGTAAAAAAAGAAAGGAAAAAAAAACATGAACAGTTCAGCATGATGACAACAATACCTAATGCTGTACAGGGGGGGGGGGCATTATGGTGTGGCAAATGGTTTATTGCTTGGCTTTTGCCAGGGAAGGAGAGGAAAAGATAGTAACCATTTAGATGTTTTGCCTCCACCCGTCTAAATTACCTAAAACTGAACTTTATTTTGATGTGCTGTATATCACATTTGTGCTCTATTTAACTTGCTGTCCTTTTCCCTAGAACCATTCTTTAGATGTATTCAAACAGGAAACTACCATATACACTCGAGTATAAGCTGACCCATATATAAGCCAAGGCACCTAATTTTACCGCAAAAAACTAAAAAATGTATTGACTTGAGTATAAGCCAAAGGTGAGAAATGCAGCAGCTACTGTAAATTTCAAAATAAAAACAGATACCAGATACAGTAATTGAGACAACCGCAGGTTAAATATTTTTGAATGTTTACATAAAACTGTAATTTAATATAAGTCTGTCCAACTCTGATTAAACCATGATTCTATCCTTCTTCAATGTAAATGTGTTTACGTATCCTTCTAATAAAAATAAAGAGAGTAAAATAATAAATGTAATAAAAATAATAATAAAGTAAAGTAATGGAACTGCAATAAAAGTAATAATAGAGTAAAATAATAAATGTAATAATAACAATAATAAATAATAAATGTAATAAAATAATATTAGGGCAAAATAATATAATAAATAAAATAATAAATGTAATAATAATAATAACAATAACAATAGAGTAAAATAATAAATAATCTTGACTCAAGTATAAGCTGAGGGGGGGGGGGGGGTTCAACCTAAAAAAAGGGCTGAAAAACTCAGCTTATATCCAAGTATGTACGGTAATTCAGAACAGAGTTTTCCATTTAAAAATTATGCAAATAGCACTGTTAAATTCTTGCACCTTCTGTGACCTCAATAAGTCATGGTAGGTATTTCCACCATCCATGGCCAAAGAAACCCTCTAAACATAAGAAATTATACAAATCCTATTCCACCCCAAAACTCAACACAAGAGAAGATGACAGTCCATCTCACACTCTGAAGACAGACAAAAAAGCTTTACCATTAAAGATACGCCTCTCCTTTTTTCCTAGGCAGCTGAAATACAAGGTTAGACCTACCTGGGTAAATATATCCAGCCCAAGTCCTCTGGCATCAACAACTATCAAAGTTAGTAGTGTCTGCAATGCCAAGGCGATGAATGTATTGACACCAAAAACCAGGGCATAACGCTCTACGCTGAGATTTGTAGCAATCTGAAACCTGCACAGAAAACAACAATGGAAAGATTAAAAACAATGATTTCTATCAGAGAAGACAACAAGCAGAATTCTTCCAAGTTCATTTTTAAAGGAATTGGGTGACAAACTGGATACACCATTGGTAATTTCACATACAGAACTGTTTCAGTCACAGAAAAGGCTAGGAGAAATAACCTGTTTTGGGACTACAACTCCCTACAATTTCCTATCCATCATGGTGATTGATGCTTGGGGAGGGTGGCACTTTCCCTAGCCCTTATCACAGCTTTTAAAAGCAATCTGTATATAGCAGCAGCAAAAGGACCAAATATTCCAAATCTTCCTGCAACACTTCCCATGTATATCACCAAAAGCTTTGGAATGAAATCAGGGTCCTTTTTGATACTTAAAAGCTTGAGCTGAAAAAGCTATCTGGTTAGGACTTCAAAGCAGTTACTATACTCCAAACCCAAGAACGGGAAACATAATGTTGGTGGACAGGAAAAGAGATTTAAAGATGGGCTTAAAGCCAACCTTAAAAACTGTGGCAGAGACACCAAGAACTGAGAAGTCCTGGCCATTGAATGCTCTAACTTGAGGTCAGCTGTGACCAGCAGTGCTGCAGAATTGGAATAGGGTGAATTCGAACACGATTTGAGGGTGAAAGGGAGAAACGTGCCAAGAGAAAGGTGTGTCCCGGAACCACCTTCCAACTGGAAACCAATGTCTTTATTGTGGAAGAACATGCGGGTCAAGAATAAGGCTCCACAGTCACCTACATATCCACCATCAAAACACTACACTTGGAGGGCCATCATACTCAGACAACCAGGGATCGCCTAAGTAAGTCAGTCTATGGTTGGAGAACCTCTTACATCCCAATAGAGAAATCAATGTGAAAGAGGGAGTTTTCAGGGGGGTATATTACAGTAGTAGGTAGAGCAAAGAATCAAAGAGACCAGAGGTGCTGGCATATTTCCTTTTAAAACTTTCACGCTAAGGGGAGTTTCAGGGAGGCATTTCAACCTTTCGGAACAGGGAAAAACAATATCAATGCTTAAAGATTGTCAGATAATGGAGTCCTGGAAAAGGGCCCATGGTATCTGCAAAGTAGCTGAAGTCCAGATTGAGGCCCCTAAAGATTTCTCCTGGAAGTCTAGACTTGGTCCCAAAATCTGAGATTTCACCTTTCAACACACATATCCAATTTCCTCCTTAAATACGTATTTCCATATGAAGTAACAGTAATTCGTTGACCCATAACCTAAGATACACTGTTGATGTTTCCCAGCCAACACAAAGTCAAAGACGTCTGACTAGTTGAACCATTTCAAGATGACAATCACAGGAAACCAAGATCTGCATGCCCATTTGTAAAATGGGAATGACAATAACCTAATTTGTAGTGCTGGAAGGAAAGATGAATTGCAGGAATACTAACCACCATGATCTTCATCACATAAAATGAGTTATCATTGATATCATATTTGAAACACAAGATGCAAAACTATAAGAACGGAAGAGAAAAACTAGCTAACTTGAAAGAAACCCAGTTGAAAAGAATTCAGTTGGTAACGTTCAAAATAAAATGCAACTACAATGTAATCTAAGCAATGTACTAAATACCTTTCTGGGTTACAGTAAACAAATTACTATGTGGGAGTATAATCCAATCCTACTCTATTTGATTTATGAAAGATAATGAGTGAATGCTCTGGAAACAATTCAGTCAATTCAAGTATGATTACAGATCTGGAACTTGGAAGCTAGAAACTGCTAAAGAAACGACCGTAGGTACATTTTAGCTCATATTTGACTATGAACAGGATACAAAGCAGTCATTGTAACAACACTTTAAGACCATTCTGAACTGCGGTTTACCAGATATTAGAATACCATAAAAGACTGAAACTACAAAACCAAAAATGCAGTACAGTTCTATGCATATTTAGTTGTTTCCTGGAAATAACTCAAAATTCAACAAAATGGCTTAAAGAGCCATGAATTGGAAACACATCCCCTGATCTTTTTAATGTTAGGAAGTCCTGCTTTTAATTTGAATTCACTAGGTTCAACCAAAAAAGGAGATCCCCAAAAAAAGGAATGTCATGCCCCCTTTAAGACAAATTGGTGTTAATTTTTGGGGGGCCCTGGTGGCACAGAGGGTTAAACTGCTGAGCTGCTGAAATTGCTGACTGAAAGGCTGGTGGTTCAAATCCAGGGAGCGGGGTAAGATCTCACTGTTAGGCCCAGCTCCTGCCAACCTAGCAGTTCGAAAACATGCAAATGTGAGATCAATAGGTACCGCTTTTGTGGGAAGGTAACAGCACTCCATGCAGTCATACTGGTCACATGATCTTGGAGGTGTCTATGGACAATGCTGGCTCTTCGGTTTAGAAACCACCCCCAAGTCGGACACAACTAGACTTAATGTCAGGGGAAACCTTTACCTTTACTTTGGTTTTGATTTTAGCATAAGTTTACATGGATATGAATCCACTTCTTCAGCAGCAGTACTGAGTGACCTCAGATATAAAGAATATTTATACAATTGTGGGAGTGGGATAGAATGTAATATTACATGCAGAACTGCTACATTATATCCCACTACCACAACTGTATAAATATGTCCTAGGCTGAAACAGTGGGTTTATCTCCATGAAACTCATGGTAAAGTAAAAACCAGTTTGTCTTAAAGGTTCTGCCACATTCCCTTCTTTCTCCACTTCCTGTCTTAGTTTTTCTATAGAAAAAACTAGCACGGGCGCTTCTTTGAAAATTAGGTTCAACCAAGGTATCCAACTTTCCCATGCTTATAACTTGACCTAACCTTTCTTCTGTTTGGGTTAAATCCAGAGGTTGGGTATTATTTATTTATTTACCATATTTATACCCTGTCCTTCTCAACCCCGAAGGGGACTTAAAGCAGCTTTACACATAGACAACTATTTCATGCCTTAAAAACAACATACAATTAAAACAAACACTTAAATTAAGATTAAAATCAATACACATTAAAACAGCTAAAATATTACATCCATTATTACAATATTATGTGGTTTTCTGAAGTTTTCAAAAATTTACAACAGAAGCTGGATTCAGTTCGGTTGTCTATATACTGACCAAATTTGCAGGGAAATACTTACGTTGCTACTGTGATGAGCAGCATATAGACAATTCGGAAAACTACATAGGAAGTGTAGCACACCCAGATGTTACGAATGGTGTCCATGATATACACAGCCGCAGCAATTAAGAGGGAGAACATGGCTAAGACGATCTCACCCCAAGTAGCCCAAGATATTTTTACATGGCCTGCACCAAACACAGCCACGGCTCCTACAAGTGCAAAAATCAAACAAGTAAGTCTCCTAAAACACTTCTATCCAAAATGAATATATATGTATATATTTTGAAGACATTTCTTGAAAAAGGTTATTAGACATCAACAATAAGAATAAACAGGAAACCCAGTTTCAGTAAATATTCCTCTAAGTCCCTAAGATTTCACAGAGTTCAGAGAAAATAGACTTTGAATCAGCACATTTACAAAACTTACACTAGCATTTTATAAGGCAAGAAACAGCATGTTCATATCTTGAATTAAGACTAAACGAAAAGCTTAAGCATCCTGTTCACTGTTTATCCAATCCTCATATTAATTTATATATTATTAAAAATTAGAACTAGACTATTAATAAGTATACATTTATTATGATATTACATTATTATTAAATTGCATTATTTCAAATTACTACTTCTTATGGTGCTCAAACAACCCATTACATTGTAAAAGCTTGTCAAAACAACCAAGTTTTTGCTTGCTGGAAAAACAAATAGAGATTGCCTAATTGTTTCATCCTGAAGGAATTTCAGGAGAAGGAAGCCAAATTGCAAGCCTTTATTAACTAAAGCTTTAAGGGCAGGAGTCAAGGCACGGCCTTTCCAAAAGGGCACACTTATACACAGTTGCCCGCTCCTATGCCATGAACATTATTCAGTTTGTGGTTGTTGTACAGTAAAGCCTGTGAACCAAAGTCATGTTTGTTCCAACATGTATGGTGTTAAGACATACGGCCTTCTGAGCATGCTTGTTTTGGATTACTTCTCCAGGAGACTGCCATAAACACCCTTATCTCCAGACAGAATTCCAAAACATTACTAAGTGGTTAGCACAAGCGACTGAGTCAACTCAGTCACATGAAACTTACCAAACAAAAAGGTGATTCAACACTTTTTAGATAATGTGGCATTTCCCTGCACTACAAAGTACCAGGTTTAGCAACATACCAATACCATAAGTAAGGTAAACTGAATGTTTAGCATCACCATGGCATACACTTCTCCTAATGGGAGTTTAAAAAGAGGAAACATACCCAACAATGTGGAAGCAGCTTCAACGCCACCATTGTAGATCTCTGAGCTCTGAGAAGGTTGTACCTTTTCCCACAGGCCTTGAATGTAGTTTACCACCTGGAAGTAACCACACGTAGAGAGTGCCCACCAGACAGACCAACACAGCAGAGTTCGAGAAGAGTAACACTGGAGGAAATCCTGCCAGAGTTCCTTTATTACCTTCCCAATGTCCACCTTCTGCTCCTATAAAGATCAGAAACACATACATTCAAATAATCTTTCTACCCAAGAGAGGATTACATCCATAGCATTGTTGACAATGACACAACCGAACAGGGCAAAATAAAAGCCTGCATGTATTCAAGAGGAAGCAACCACAAATAGTAATGACTGGCTCTTAAACCACAAAAACAAACCCATAACAAACTGGTTTTTAGAAGCTTAGATATGTGCATGGCCCTCATCTCATGCTGTCTGTATAGCACATGGTTTGCCCAGTTCGTGGATCACAAGTATCAAAGATAAATATGCATGTTACCACAGGCCTTTTGATTCTGTGTCTTAGGTAACTGTACAACACCCCCCAAAGTAGTCAGATGTTCTCCCGGGTAGAAGATGTAGATTAGTCATTAAAATCTGAATACAAATGTAAAAAAAAAAAAAACCCTATGAACCACAAAGCAATTCCGACAAATCTGATTAAAATTTGTTTTAATACCTATCCTAAATTTGAGACTAAGTTCTGGTCAAGAAAATAATGGGAGGGATAGGCACATAACTGTTTATCACTTATAGCAATATGTAGTTTTGAGGTGAAGACAGAAAGCAGTAGTTCCTGCTTTCCATCCATGTCCTCACCCAACAAGTAGAAACTGAATCACTCAGCACTACATCATTTACGTGACCCAAAGACGGGCAAGGAGTGGCCTTAGACATAGTTGGACTACGACACCAAGCATTCATCACTACTGACTTCTAATTAGGCCCAATGTGAGTTGTGCTCCAACAAAGTCTGGAAAGCTGCACTTTGTCTACCTTGATATAATCAATGAATGTAAGACAATATGGGCAATTCTAAACCTAGAGCAGTGCTGGAAAACCTTTGTACTTCTGGTTGTTTTAGGTCAGTGGTTCCCAACCTGTGGTCCGTGGACCACCAGTGGTCCTCAAGAATGACAATAAGGTCCACAGCCTCACCATTAATACACCATTGCCTTGAAACCACACAGCAAGGAGAGTGACTGGTCTCGCAAAACCCTGCCGAGGCAATGGGGATGTCGGGAGGGGAGAGGCTGACTACCCACGAAAGATTACTACTATCACATCAGCTCTAGATTATTAAATATGGTTTTCTGTGGGTGAGAAGGTGGCAACTACTGGATGATATATGTTCCATATCAGAAACCAGAGCTGATGTGGTCTATCCAATGCAGTTTTCTGAATCAGCATCCCAAATAACCAAACTGAATCTAAAGTTGACCAAAAACTGATTTGTAACCCTTTTGGTACTAATGTTGGAAAGTGGTCCCTGGTCAAAAAAGGGTTGGGAACCACTGTTTTTGATCACAACTCCCAAATCCCTCTCTATTGTCTATGCTTTGGGGAGTTTGTAGGTGTTAACATCTGAAGGAACAAAGTTGCTCTATCACTGTTTGCAAATTAAAAACGGTTTTAATAAATGTTATTGGCTGCATAACAGACCTCGGAACTGATACAGCAAATGAGAAAGGAAATCATACGGTTTCCCTGTAATTACCTAGCATATTAACAGGTTGACAAAATAATGGCACAGATCATCAGTGAAACTGTGATGGTGGTATGTGTCAAAGTTCACATAAACACAAGTAAATAGGTACTCAAATACCATGTTACCAAGTGAAATTATTTCCAAAAATCTTACTCCTATCAAGCTGCTTTTCTATTCTAACTACCAAATTAACAAAATGAAAACTAGCATTCACAGCACAGAAACAAGAATAGCAAACACACTGCAGTGTTGTTTTTTCTAGTAAGTAAATCAGTTGGTTCTCTATAAACTATAATAGGGAAGATTTAGATCTTCAAATATTTTTTCTCCCGATATAAAGAAAGGAGAGCATTGCTTGTTCTCATCTTAGGTGATTCTGCTGCTTTCCTATCTTTGCAAAATGACCCTCAACTTATCCGTGGTTCATATGAAAACCCATAGTTTCAACTCCCAAACCTGCTCTTGACTTATACAGGAGTACACAGGGTAGTCTACTTTCATCATATTAAGGAGCTGTGGTGGCACAATGGGTGCCGGCTGAACTGCTGACCTGAAGGTCAGCAGTTCAAATCCCCAAGAAGGGTGAGCTCCTGTCTGTCAGCTCAAGCTTCCCATGTGGGGACATGAGAGAAGCCTCCCTCAGGCGTCCCCTGGGCAACATCTCTGCAGAGAGCCAATTCTCTAACAGTAGAAATGACTTGCAGTTTCTCAAGTCGCTTCTGACATGATAAAAAAAATCATTGTATTAAAAGTTAGAGCAAATACCACACCTCCAATCTGGAGATGAATTTTGTCAATCACATTCTTAAACGCACACCATATTCAACACACTGGCTAGTCCATGCTTAGGAACACTGCAGAGACCAAGTGAAAAAGTACTACTAGAGGCTGCAACAATTACATCTTGCTGTGCGAAAAAAGAATTGTTACGTACCCAATCTCTGTATATGCAAATATTTACAGTACAGCTGAGATTAAACAAATGGTTCCATCTGCACATGCTAAAAGCACGCATTGTTGTTTTTGATGCCGCATTTTAAAATAGTTGCTGGCTTTGTCAAATTTTCTGACATTTTAGCTGTCATTTTGTGGTCTTCTCTGACACAGAAGGAAGTTTGGGAGGTGGCACCCAGAATTACTCACTGTGTGACACCAACTCTAGTAAAAAAAAAAAAGGTAAACATTTCTCCCTGACATTAAGTCTAGTCGTGTCCGACTCTGGGGGGTGGTGCTCATCTCCATTTCTAAAACAAATAGCCGGCATTGTCTAAAGACACCTTCAAGGTCATGTGGTCAGCAAGACTGCATGGTGCGCTGTTACCTTCCCGCCACAGCGGTACTTATTTATCTACTCACATTTGCATGCTTTCAAACCACTAGGTTGGTCGAAGCTGGGGCTAACAGCGGGAGCTCACCCTGCTCCCTGAATTCGAACCTTCAACTGTTCAGCAGCTCAGTGGTTAAACCCACTGCGTCACCATGTAATCAGAGGTCACCCCCCCCCCCACAAAGACTATCTAAAAGATAGCTCATAATCAGGGAATTCATAGTTTTGCCAAGGACACCAGGCTGAAATGATCCCATAATCCCCTATCTCTCCCCCAAGCGGGAACCTAAAGCTCTTTCCATGGCCCGATATGGTAATGCCCCTGTAACCCAAATCAACATCTGACCAATTTGGCTATTATTTATGAATTGTATTCCTTTTTAAAGAAAGAAACTCCTGTTTCATGAATGGCTCAGTAATTCAATGAGCTTTGCATCATCTTATATGAACTCTGGGTGACCAAGATGAATCTTCCCTTGACCCTGCATGCCTCCCCCTTCCCATATAAAACTCTGTATATGCCCCATGTCCCCATCCATTATATATATATGTATGTCTGTATAAAATATGAAGCAAGGTAACCCTTTCATGAAATTTGCCAGCAACTCAGGGCTCAGGAATTTCCAAACTTCCTGAGCCGATAATCCCCTTAACAAAGGTTTTGACAAAAACCCATTTGCATGGACAGTAAGTGAATGGCCCCTTTTCCTGGACTTCGGAGGGCCTTGTTGGCTTGACCATCCAGGACAATGGAATCTATGGACATATAGAATCACCCAACACAAAGGAACCAGGGATTGTCGCTGCCTCCCCATTGTGCCATTTCCCATCTTCGAAAAGAATTTCAATTCCCATCAAGTAAATATTACAGAACTATAAGACAATGGAATTGGCTCTTCGGAGCTAAACAGATGTTATTTCAAGATTCAAGGCAATAGCCCGGGATGAAGCCTGAGGGCTTAAGCTATCGCTTTGCCCTCCTTATCAATACAGGCACAGAAAGGGGCATTCATAACCCATCATCATGACATTTTTTTTCCATTGTTTCCTTGTTGCCCACCTCCGTCCATCTCATTGTCTGAGTGGCCAAAAGCAGGGCTCAGGCTCTCATTGGATCTCCTGCTGGCTTGCTGATGTCACAGCCAACCACAACAAAGCCTGCTTAGGGGGGTGGCCATGGGAACTTTTGAATCTGACAGCCCTATATTGTTTTTCTCTGCCCAGCCAGCATGTCGGCTGCTTGGGCAGATAACTCCGGTCATCATCCCTTCCAGTTGGAATTAAATAAAACCTCGGTGGCTTTTGCTTCAACTTGGTGATACTTTATTTGGGAAAATTAATGGAAAAAACTTTCTTGGTGCTTGCTATCTCACCAGGTGTCCCGGATCCTCTTTTTGGGTCTGGCTGGTCTCTGCCTAGACAGTGCCTCCCAAATTTGTTTTCGGCAGCAACCGGGGGCTCATAACTCTAGTAATGTTGACAATTTCTCAATACAACATGCAGCCTTCATAGTTATGATGGCTTGGAATTCTGTAAATAGTAAACAAAGAGAAGCTTTTCCAAGTTTTGCCAATAGGAATGAAGATGCTTCCATCACCATGGCGCTGGGGATTTCAGCAGGGCATCAGTCATGGAGAAATGAGAGTGTAGAAGCTCAGAGGAAGAATGTGGAAGCAATATTTCTTATGGAAGGATAGTAGGCTATAACATCTCGGCAAAAATAGTGAAGAACAAACTACATTTGTCATTTGTTCAGAACCACAAATGTTTTCTTAGCTTCACAGTAATCCTCTTCCAGGAAAGCAGCATTCAACTAGGTAACATTAATTCCATGGAATGCTAATAGCTGTGATTATCAATAGAAGCCTAGTAAACAAAACTAAACCACACAGAACCTCTCCCCTGGTGAAAGAACAGAATGCTAAGCCATTTCAAGCCTGGTTTACACCATTACAAAAATACATTTCCTACTCCATGTCTCAAACTTTTCCAAAAGAATTTACAGCAAGTTTACCTGAATGCACTCCCCTTTTTCCTGATTGAACTCTCCCCACCTTGATTTCAGTGAGTCATATCTCAGCTGAAATTCCCCTAACAGCTTTACTACTCAACTGTTTGTTTTTCCATTTAAAAAACAAATAGCTGAGCAGAGCTTGGAAAGGTTCCTCTTTGTGATTACAAAAAAGATTGATTCTAGAGCAACCTTCCTAATGCCACAACCCCTTAATACAGTCTTCATGTTGTGGTGACCCACAACCATAACATTATTTTTGTTGCTACTGCATAACTGCAACTTTGCTACTGTTATGAATTGTAATGTAAACATCTGATATGCAGGATGTATTTCCATTCACTGGAACAAAGTTGGCACAAATACTCAATATGCCCAAATTTGAATAATAGTGGGGTTGGGGGGATTGATTTTGTCATTTGGGAGTTGCAGTTGTTGGGATTTATAATTCACCTACAATCAAAGAGCATTCTGAACTCTACCAACAATGGAATTAAACCAAACTTGGCACACAGAACTCCCATGGCCAACAGAAAATACTGGAAGGGTTTAAGGGCACTGACCTTGAGTTTTGGAGTTGTAGTTCACCTATATCCAGAGAGCACTGTGGACTCAAACAATGATGGATCTGGACCAAACTCTACACAAATACTCAATATGCCCCAATGTGAACACTGGTGGAGTTTGGGGAAAATAGACCTTGACATTTGRGAGTTGTAGTTGGTGGTATTTATAGTTCACCTACAATCAAAGAGCATTCTGAACCCCAGCAATGATAGAAYTGTTCCCACACAGAACCCCCATGACCAACAACAAATACTGGAGAGATTTGGGAGGAATTGACAGTGATTTAGAGGTGAGCATGCCTGCTCGCCCCTTCCCACTTGAAGTCTCAGAAACAGYTCTCCCTTTGCCTGAGAGGCTGGACAATCACAGCAGAGGAGGGCTTTTGTTGGRAGGATTTGCCGCCTGTTTTCAAAAAGGAAGAGAAGGATAGGCAGAAAGATCTTCAGCCTTCTCTGCCAAAAGGGTTTCTAAGACTATCAGAAATATGAGTTTTCTGATGGTCTTCAGTGACCTGTCTGAACCCCCCCCCCCAACCCCCACAGGGATCCTGACCCCCAGGTTGAGAAACACTGTCCTAGAGACTGCAGGCCAAAAAAGTTTTTTTCCCAAGTTCTGTCCTGGAATTTAATGCACATATTATCTTGATCATAATTAACAATCTGCCTTCAAAAGCACTCAAGCAGCACCTATTTTTAGAGCTATCCTGCCCAATAAAAAGAGGTGGCATATTTGGTTTGCTTGGATTTGTATGCTATAAAAAACATGTTTGGACAAGAAATAGGATTCCATCAACACAATCATGCTTAGGAATATAGGCCCAGAATTTGAAAAGATCAGATACTTGAAAACTAATGATTCACAAGGAAAACAAGCACAGCAAACTGTATGTCTATGTGTATAAGTGTCCTCAAGTCACTTGTCAATTGAAGGCAACTTTGTAAATTTCACAGGATTTTCTTAGACACAGAAAACTCAGAGATGGTTTGCCATTGTCTTCCTCTAAAATGTAGCCAGCAATGCCTGATATTCTTTAGCAGTCTCCCATCCAAGTGCTGACCCTGCTTAGCTTCCAAGATCAAATGGGACCTGGTGCATTCAGGGTATTCTGGCTCTTAGTACATCACAGTTGATTAATCTAGCACAAATGTGCTGCCACCACCCTGATTCCCCTGCTTACCTGCTGCTCTTCAGGATGTTCTTCTATATTTAAAGGGACATTCGATTCAACATCGTCCCACCCAGGCACCCTCTTTAAGGCAGGATCGTCTTGGAGGACTGTTCCATTTCTACATTCTACAACTTTCGTCTCCTTACTGACCTGGGCACTCGAGCGACGGTGATGGAAAAAAAGACTTTTTTGTGGCATGGGCAGAAACCAGGCCACGGCAAAGGCCACCGATACGGAGGTGAGAGACACCACGTTCAAAACGAACAAAGACCAGCCAACGACAGACACCAGGATCTGTCCACAGACAGAACCTACAGTATAACCCACAAGGGCTGCACTTCGGCAATAGCTTGTGACTTTTTGGTATAAGTTTAGGTCCACAACACTATAGATGTAGGAATAATAGGCTATTTCTGTGGCAGTTACCAGTCCATAGAAAAATTCTAGGAACTGAGTAGCCAAGAGTCCTTTGGCATAAAGCAGCATAAACCATGTCACAATAAGGCTTAGTCCTTGCAGGAGGATGACCGGCTTGTATCTGAGGAAGTCCGTTGCCAGGAAGACAGGGAACAGCAGCACCAGGTAAGAGTAAGTCCATACTGGATAGATTTCATTGAAGACCTACAAGACGAAGAAATCACAAACCTTAAGGTATATGAAAATTCACATTCCAAGAACAGATATTTGACAAGCAGTACTTGGGAGGTGATGTCAGCAGAGTTTATAAATTGACAGATTTTATTTACATAAATACTTTCTCCAGAATAATGGGCTGCTAACAAGTATATAAGGAACACTTCATGTTAAAATACGTTATAAAAATAGCTTAAGCTGAAATAGCACCATACATTAATAGACAAATAAATCAACCATCAAATGCTAGTAGTATGCACCAACAAGCCAAGTCAACTATAGAGATCTGCCCTTGCACTTTGCTACTCTGCGGCTGAATACGCATGCCCAGTATGGAACACAACTCACAATGTTAAAACAGTTGATGATGTACTCAATGAGACATGCTGCATTATCTCAGGATGTGATGTATTGTCATTGAGTTTTTTGGGGTTTTTCAGTTGTTTCCACTGCTTTTTTTGTGTGGTTTTATGAGTGATAGTAACTTGTTCTTTTGGGGGTGTAGTGTCCAAATTTGGCGTCAATTTCTCCACTAGTTTTTGCGTTATGTTCCCACGAACGAACATTACATTTTCATTTATATAGATTAGGTCCACTTTTAGCACTCCTGGCCATTGCTATTGTTTAACCTCACGTGATGGAGCTCCGATGTATTCGGATTTATATTTTATTTTTAGTGTGTTTTATCAGGGTTTTTGTATTTTATTATGTTTTTACTTTATTTTTTATTTTATTTTTTATTTCTTGCTATTTTGATTATTAAGTTATAGTTATGTTGTTTTATATTGTCTAATGGTCTTGGGTGGATGTACGTAAACTGTTCGTATGGTTTTCTTTTGGCTTTGAATGTTTGCCATATTTGTTGGAAACCACCCTGAGTCCCTTCAGGGAGATTGGCGGTCTACAAATAAAGCTTATTTATTATTATATGCTGCTGGACCTCAGTTTCCAGCATGGTCAAAGGTCAGAGACTTACAAAGCTGTAGGCCAACATCACCTATGGATCTAAGGTTATGAACTACAGGATTAGGATACATTTTCAAATAGGCAGGTGTGTTACTCTATTTCAACATTTAAAAAGGAGGGAGAAATCCCTCTGTTTCTGAACAACTTATTTATTTATTTAAAGTATTTATATTCTGCCCTTCTCACCCTGCAGGGGACTCAGGGCAGATCACAATGCACATATGCATGGCAAACATTCAATTCCATAGACACACAACATATATAGACAGACACATACACAGAGGCTATTTAACTTTCCAGCTTCATGAGGGTATGCTCGAATTGCAGCCACCGGGGAAGCTGTTGCTTAACCCTCCACTTGTGACACTGATGGAGTACTTCCTCATTCTTTTGCACATTGCTGGAGATGTTTATGGCATCATAAATTAGTTAAATTAGCCTTCCAGCATACGCAGTACCTAAATTTCCTACCTGACAGATGCAACTGTCTTTCAGGCTGCAAAGGTCAACAGCAAGCTAGACAAATGGTCAGGAGCTTAGTTTGACCTGAGCTGGCTTTGAACTCATGACCTTTTGGTCAGTAGTGATTTTAATGCAGCTGACTCCCAACCAGCTGCGCCACAACCCAGTCTTTCTAGACGATAGTCCACTGAAGTTTATGCTGAAATAAACTGGTCAGTTTTAAAGGTATCACAAAATTACTCTTTCTTCTCTTTTTTTATACTGGTTTAGAAGTGCCAGTGAAGTTCCCAATGACCGAGAAACACAGTATTACTCAGACCAGCTGACATAACATTGAATACTTCTGGTTTGGAAACAACTGCGAGGAAACAAGCACAAGCAGGGGGTCATATGACTACATCCAGTTTTTAAAAAAACTGACCGCGCTCAAGGGCATTCATTTAAAAAAGCAGTGACCAAACTGAATGAAAACTTGGAGGACTTGATGCGTCATACAGCCTTATGATAACATCTGCAGCAAATTTTCCCATGATCTGCAACAACTGAAAAAGATCACGAGCAAATGATGCACAGTCAGCCCTCTGCATCCAGAGTCTGTATCCACTGATTCAACCATCCATGGTTTGAAAATATCCCCCCTCCCCCAAAAACAAAAAAGAATTCCAAAAAACAAACCCGGAATTTGCCATTTTACACAGGGGGCACCATTTTACAATGCCATTCTATATATTGATACTTGGGCATCCACAGATTTTGGTATCCACTGAAGGTCCTGGAAACAAACTCCAGCAGATATCGGGGCCCTCTGTACTTCATCTATACAGCAGACAACTATAACAGCAGCCCACATGCTTCATTATGAATATTTATACAAGGTAATACTCCAAAAGACAGGAGCAGAATTCAAAATGATCTTAACAGATTAGAGAGATGGGCCAAAATTAACAAATGAAGTTCAACAGTGATAAATGCAAGATACTCCACTTAGGCAGCAAAAATGGAATGCGAAGAGACAAAATGGGGGACTCCTGGCTTAACAGCAGTACGTGTGAAAAAGATCTTGGAGTTCTCATGGACAGCAAGTTAAACATGAGCCAACAATCTGATGCTGCTGCTAAAAATGCCAATGGGATCTAGATCCTGGGAAGTCATGCTATCCCTCTATTCTACCTTGGTCAGACTACATCTGGGCAATGCAATTTAAGAAAGATGTTGACAAGCTGGAAAGTGTTCAGAGGAGGGTGACTAAAATGATCAGGGGTCTGGAGAACAAGCCCTATGAGGAGCAGCTTGAAGAGCTGAGCATGTTTAGCCTGCAGAAGAGAAGACTGAGAGGAGACATGATGCCAATGTATAAATATGTAAGGGAAAGTGATAGGGAGGAGGGAGCAAGATTGTTTTCTGCTGCCCTGGAGACTAGGTCATGGAACAATGGCTTCAAACTACAGCAAAGGAGATTCCACCTGAACATGAGGAAGAACTTCCTGACCGTGAAAGCTGTTCAGCAGTGAAACTCTCTGCCCTGGAGTGTGGTGGAGGCTCCTTCTTTGGAGGCTTTTAAACAGTGGCTGGACGGCCATCTGTCAGGGGTGCTTTGAATGCTTTTTTTCCTGCTTCTTGGACTGGATGGCCCATGAGGTCTCTTCCAACTCTATGATTCCAAGGAGTACCAAATTCAATTTCTGTTAGTGGAGAAACTGCACATGGAACCCAAGTTCACGTTTCTTCATTTCTACTTAACAAGCACTTGTATGTGGTAAATGAATGGTACCCAAAGGATTTCAACTAGTTTAGCCTCAGAAAAAACCATTATGCTCAAAATGCTTACCAGACAGCTGCTAATTTAACATTCATTTGAAATTGTTCAAGGTAGAGCAAGATACTTCTGCCAACCTAGCAGTTCGAAAACATGCAAATGTGAGTAGATCAATAGGTACCACTCCGGCGGGAAGGTAACGGCGCTCCATGCAGTCATGCCAGCCACATGACCTTGGAGGTGTCTATGGACAACGCCGGCTCTTCGGCTTAGAAATGGAGATGAGCACCACACCCCAGAGTCAGACATGACTGGACTTAATGTCAGGGGACTACCTTTACCTAGAGCAAGATATACTTGCACTGAGCAGCTGGTTCCATATGCCAACTGTACTAGAGAATATTGGCAAGCTTGCTTATGATTTTACTTTTCAAGGCAGCAAAAGTCTCCTTGTTTACTAAAGCTTAGTGACACTTGGAAGAGCTGAAATTGTTTCCCTGGACTAGATTCCTGCTGACCATCATCATTCATATCTTTAATTACTGGTTTCCTAAGTCCAAATCCCATAATTTTCTTTTTGTTTACATTTTCATTATCTCACCTTCCTAAAAATAAATGAAGACCAAGGTCCAAGTACATCCATCCTCACCCTCCAGCACAGAAACATTGCCATATTCAGAAACCTAGGTAGTGGGGCAGGGGGTTAAACCGCTGAGCTACTGAACTTGCTGACCAAAAGGTCGCAGGCATGAGCTCCCGTTGTTAGCCCAGTTTCTGCCAACCTAGCAGTTGGAAAACATGCAAATGTGAGGGTACCACCTTGGCAGGAAGGTAACGGCGCTCCATACAGTCATGCTGGCCACATGACCTTGGAGGTGTCTACAGACAATGCCGGCTCTTTGACTTAGAAATGGAGATGAGCACCAACCCCCAGATGTGGACATGACTGGACTTAATGTCAGGGGAAAACCTTTACCTACAAGGTAGGTGAAGCCTAGATAGATAGGCACAAAAGTGTTCATGGATTTGCAAGAAACTGACAACTAGTAACACACTAGTTGTATTTTCTTTTTGCAGCAACTTTGAATCAGAAGAGAAGAGTTGTTACGTCATTGGTGCTGCTCGTATGTAGACTGACAAGTGAAGTTCTGGACAATCCTTACAATAATTAAACACAGTAGTTCATGCTGTGGATCCGGAGGACCATATTACACTGACAGTATGGTGACAATGACAAAAGGAAGTCACAGACCCATCTGTCGCTATCCATACAGTGCTTTGCTTCCTCATTAGTGTATATTCTTCCCCTTTTCCTCAATGAACATAAAGCTGCCGAAGATCTCACACTGACTCATAACCGACAATCCTGAGTTCAAGGTGAGGTCATTATTCCGGCTTCAGGAGACAAGATCCAGTGATCAAACAAGAACAGGATCAGATTTAAGCTTCCAAAGCMAATCTATATAAATAAAAATGTAATGTTCGTTTGTGGGATTAATATAACTCAAAAACCACTGGACGAATTGACACCAAATTTGGACATTACACCCTAAACAGACCAACRAGTGACCATCACTCATAACCCACCCCCAAAGCAGCAGAAAGGACTTGAAAAGCTAAATGATAATACAGATGCCCGGCTTACTAACCACGGAGCTCTGCAGAGAGCAGGGATGCACCTCTCTCAAGCACCGCCTTTGAGCCCAACTCTTTTCCAGCCTATGTCTAGAGAAAAGGAATGAAGGAGGGATAGGGGGAAGGAAGGAAAGAAGGAGGGAGGGAAAGAGGGAATGAAGGAAAAAAGCAGGGAAGGAAGGAAGGAAGGAAGGAAGGAAGGAAGGAAGGAAGGAAGGAAGGAAGGAAGGAAGGAAGGAAGGAAGGAAGGAGAGAATGTGGGTGGGAAAGAAAAGGGGGTACGCAGGAAAGAGATAGAGAAAAGAGGAAGGAGAGAAGGAAAGAAAAAAGAAGGAAGGAAGGAAAGAGAGGGAAGGAAGGAGGAGAGAAAGAGGGAGAGAGGTTGGGAGGGAAGGAAGGAAGGAAGGAAAGAGGTAGAGAAGGAAGGAAGGAGAGAAAGGAAAGAAGTAGGGAAAGGAAAAGGAGAGAAGGAGAGAAGAAAGGAAGGAGAGAAAGAAAGAAAAGGAGAGAAAGAGAGAGGGAAGGTTGGCTACAGCAACTTGTGGCGACTATAGTTAGTAAATAAATAAAACCATAGGTTCCTGAGTGCCAATCCCATCTGGGTATATGTGTTTGCCTTCAGGTCACCTGCTGACTTATGGCGGCATCATAAACTTCATTGGGTTTTATAAGGCAATGAATCATCAGAGGTAGCTTTGTCCATTCCTTCCTCTGAAATATAGACGACAACAACTGGTATTTGTTAGTGGTTTCCCACCCAAGGACTAACCAGAACTGATTGTGCTTTGAGTGTTTTTAGGGTATTGAGGCACTTGACCCCTTACCTTCTGAGCTCCAAAGATGTAAGGAAGGAGGAGGGGGCTGGAGCCACACTGTAGAATTGGTGAAGTTCGATTTCCACTTGAACTGCCAGGGCTCAATGCTGTGAAATCCTAGGAGCTGCAGTTTGGCGAGGCACCAGCAGCTCTTTGGCAGAAAAGGCTCAAGACCTTATAAAACTACAACTCCTATAATTCCACAGAATTGAGCCAGAGCAGTTAAAAGTCATTGCTACAGAGTTGCCAGTGACTCAGCAAAGTACAACTCCCAGAATCCCGTAGAAGTGAGCCATGTCACTAGAGTCCTTGTTAAAGAGTTGCTGGTGCCTCAGCAAACTACAACTCCCGAAATCCCATAGCACTAAGTCATGCCTGCTAGAGTCATTGTTACAGAGTTGCTGGTGCCTTGGCAAACACAACTCCTGGGATCCGCAAGCACTGAACCATAGCAATTAGTCACTGCTATAGAGTTGCTGGTGCCTCAGCAAACTACAACTCCTGGAATCCCATAGCACTAAGTCATGCCTGCTAGAGTCATTGTTACAGAGTTGCTGGTGCCTTGGCAAGCACAACACCTGGGATCTGCAAGCACTGAACCATGGCAATTAGTCACTGCTATAGACTTGCTGGTGCCTCAGCAAACTACAACTTCCAGGATCCAAGAGCACTGAGCCATTACAACAAAGTCATTACTCTAGAAATACCAGTGGCAAACTACAACTCCCAGGATCCCATAAGCGTTGAGCCATGACAATTAAAGTCACAGCTATAGAGTTACGAGTGGCAAACTACAACTCCTAGGATCCCATAAACACTGACCCATGACAATTAAAGAGTCACACCTACAGAGTTACTAGTGGCAAACTACAGCTCCCAGGGTCCCAAAAGCACCGAGCCATGGCAGCTAAAGTAATTACTATAGTTACTAGCAGCAAACTACAACTCTCAGGGTCTCATAAGCACCGAGCAATGGCAACTAAGAGTCACAGCTTTAGAGATACTAGTGGCAAACTACATCTCCCAGGATCCCATAAGCATTGAGCCATGACAATTAAAGTGTTACAGTTATAGAGTTACGTGGGAAACTGCAACTCCCAGGGTCCCAGAAGCACCAAGCCATGGCAACTAAGAGTCACAGCTATAGAGTTACTAGTGGCAAACTACAACTTCCAGGATCCCATAAGCACTGAGACATGACAATTAAAGACTCACAACTACAGTTACGAGTGGCAAACTACAACTCCCAGGATCCCACAAGCACTGAGCCATGTCAGCTAGAATCATTGTTATAGAGTTGCCAGTGCCTTAGCAAACTATAACTGCCGGGATCCCATAAGCACTGAGCAATGGCAGCTAAAGTAATTGCTCTAGAGTTATTAGTGGCAAACTACAACTCCCAATCCCATAAACACAGAGCCATGACAATGAAGAGTCAAAGCTTTAAAGCTACTAGCAAACTAGAATTCCTGGGGTGTCATAAGCAGGGAGCCATGGCACCTAAAGTAATTACTATAGTTACTAATGCCAAACTAGAACTCCCAGGGTTCCAGAAGCACGGAGCCATGGCAATTAAGAGTCATTGCAATAGAGTTACGAGTGGCAAACTACAACTCCCAGGATCCCATAAGCATTGAGCCATGACAGTTAAAGAGTCACAGCTATAGAGTTACAAGTGACAAACTACAATTCCCAGGTTCCCAGAAGCACTGAGCCATGTCAGCTAGTCATTGTTATTGAGTTACTAGTCGCAAACTACAACTCCCAGGATCCCATAAGCACTGAGCCATCACAACTATTGAATTACGAGTGGCAAACTACAACTCCCAGGATCCCATAGGGCAAGCACTGAGCCATGTCAGCTAGAGTCATTGCTCTAGTTATTAGTGGCAAACTACAACTCCCAATCCCACAAACACAGAGCCATGACAATGAAGAGTCACATCTTTAGAGCTACTAGTGGCAAACTGGAATTCCCGTGGTCTCATAAGCAGGGAGCCATGGCAATTAAAAGTCATTGCTATAGAGAGTTAGGGAGTGGCAAACTCCAACTCCCAGGGTCCCCGAAGCCCCGAGCCACGTGAAGGAGGGTCCCGTACCTGGGTCTCGGTGAGGTTCTTGTCGGGCCCGAGCAGGTAAGGCGTGAGGAAGGGCTCGGAGGGGCGGAGGTTGGCGAAGAAGCCGTAGGCGCAGAGGGCGGCGGTGGGCAGGGGCCAGCCCCAGGCCAGGGGCGCGCGGAGGGCGCGCGGGGAACCCGGACGGAGCCCCACCCGGCCCGCCGATGCTGCTGCTGCTGCCGCCGGCGCTTCCATCCGAGGGGCTGCCCAGCCCGGCTGAGCCCCTCTCAAGGCCGCCCCGCCGCCATGGGACACCGAGAAGAGGGAGGTGAGGCTCGGTTCGTCTCCCAGACCGGTGGCGGCTGCCCACGCTGCCTCGCAAAGGCACCTTGTGTCCCTCCCCGGCCACGCCCCGCCACTTCCGGCTCTGCGCAGGGACTCCTCCTTCTTTTTGGCGGGGAAAGACAGGCAGCCAAGTGGACGGGAAAAGAGTTACTGTTTCTTTAAATCAGGCATGGGCACACTTAGTGCCCTCCCATAGCACTGAGTTCTGCCTGCTAGAGTCACTGCTATAGAGTTGCTGGTGCCTCAGCAAACTGCAACTCTCAGCATCCCATAATAAGCCAAGGCAGCTAGAGTTATATAGAGCTGTCGGTGACTCAGCAAACTTCAACTCCCAGGCTCCAAGAGTACTGAGCCATTACAGCTAAATCATTACTGTAGAATTACTAGTAGCAAACTACGACTCCCAAGATCCCATAAGCACTGAGCCATTACAGCCAAGTCATTACTGTACAATTACCAGTGGCAAACTACAACTCCCAGGATCCCATAAGCACTGAGCCATGGCAGTCATTGCTATAGAGTTACTAGTGGCAAACTCTCAGGCTCCACGAGCACTGAACCATTACAGCTAAGTCATTATGAAAGGGTCTTTGAGTGAAATTTGCAAATGCTAAGCAAGGGGCTTTGAATGAAATTAACAGCAAAAGAGAAATATACCTTTTTTCTGTCAAAAAAGAGCAACACGGAAGAAAATGTTTTTAAGAAACAAGATGTGACATATAGAGGTCGGAAGTTGTGTTGTGGTTATGTTCAAAGGTTGTGGTTAAGCACAGAGTCTGCAGGTACAAGAAGGTACTTTCCATCAAAAGTTCAAGGGAGGGGGCTGGAAAGAGAGTACTTTCCATGACAAAAAAATGTTCTTGTTTACTTGAGGTTATATATTGGTGGTCAAAAGCCAAGGGGGCGCGGCAGTCACTTGAAGGGTAGCATCTGCGTATGCTGCCAGGCTAACCGTCTTCTTCATGAAGAAACTAAAATAAACCTTGTTTTTTTTATCTTTTTTGGGACTGTCTCCTTCCTTACGTTTTCCTGTGATTTGAACCTAAGAAGACCCAATTAGGGTCTCTAACAATTACTGTAGAATTACCAGTGGCAAACTACAACTCCCAAGATCCCATAAGCACTGAGCCATGGCAGTTAAAGAGTCATTGCTATAGAGTTACTAGTGGCAAACTCCCAGGCTCCAAGAGCACTGAGCCATTACAGCTAAGTCATTACTGTAGAATTACCAGTGGCAAACTACAACTCCCAGGGTCCCATAAGCACCGAGCCATGGCAATTAAGAGTCACAGCTTTAGAGTTACTAGTGGCACACTAGAACTCCCGGGATCCCATAAGCATTGAGCCATGACAATTAAAGACTCACAGCTATAGAGTTACGAGTGGCAAACTGCAACTCCCGGGGTCCCATAAGCATTGAGCCATGGCAATTAAAGAGTCACTGCTATAGAGTTACTAGTGGCATACTACAACTCCCGGGGTCCCGTAAGCACCGAGCCATGGCAGTTAAAGAGTCACAGCTATAGACTTACTAGTGACAAACTACAACTCCCGGGGTCCCATAAGCACCGAGCCATGGCAATTTAGAGTCACAACTTTAGAGTTATGAGTGGCAAACTACAACTCCCAAGGTCCTATAAGCATGGAGCCATGTCAGCTAGAGAAAATGCTGTGTTTTGTGGTCCCAATGTAGACTTGTCCACAGCTGCATGGTATACAGTAGACTCCTGCAGAGGTGAGAGGATCCCTCTTGTCCTTTGCTGAACGTAGCATTTGTTGGAGAGCACTTGATGAACCAACCTGGACACAGCATATTATTTGAGAACACAGAAATGCTCGACCACTCTAACAACTACCATGTCAGGCTACACAGAAAAGCTGTTGAAATCCACAAGCATGTGGACTTTCGGCTGCACAGCATGGCAGAGAGACGGGCACCATAGAAGCTCTCAAGAAGGTGTCAGCATTGCCAAGCAGCCGGGTAGAGCAAAAGCTCCCCATCTGCGGATCGAGGCGAGGGAACGGTGAAACCAGGGGGTCAGTATTTAAGAAAAAACCTCTAAAATCAGGACAGTAATAAAGAGCATCACTCAAAAAGCTGGGTAATTCCAGAGAAGAATCAGTCAGGGCCAAGAATCCCAACAAAGGCAGGAAGCATCCAAGCTTTGAAGCTGCAAGGCCATTTAATGCTAATCAAGGTGGCCATTTGCAACATTCACACTTATCTCAAGCAGACAAGAGTTTCTGTCTCCCACCCTGGGAATTCCACAGATATATAAACCCCACTTGCCTAGTTTCCAACAGACCTCACAACCTCTGAGGATGCCTGCCATAGATGTGGGTGAAACGTCAGGAGAGAACGCTTCTGGAACATAGCCATGCAGCCCAGAAACCTCAAAGCAACCAAACTTTTACTTTAAAAACAAACATACTCAGAGACCTCCATATAAAACAAAAATGCACAAAAGAGCAATGCAGTACATTTCTTGGCTAACCAAAATGTGCAAAAATGCAATAGGCAAACGATTGAAGCTTCACTGGTTCCGTCATATAATCATGTTGTGACAAGACATGACTCACTAGAAAACACAACCATGCTTGGCATGGTAGAAGCCAAGGCAGTAGGGAAAGAGGAAGACCGCATTCCAGGTTGACAGGCAGAATCAAGGAGGCCACAGCCCTGAGGCTGCAAGACCTCATCATGGCTATGTGTTGATGATTGGGTGACGCGCAAGTTTCTCATTCATGAGGTTGGCTTGATGACTGTTAACTTGATGACAACCGCAACAAAAACATGTCAACAATGGCGGAAATCAAAACAATGGCCCAGACTGGAATCGCTAGAGCAAGGTGATACTGGAAGTGGCATCTTGGCTGGGACCTCAATTTGTTTGATTCGATCTCGCTAAGTTTTATTGCTTTATAACCTGTAATTATATTTTGTAGACTTCCGCAAACGGTTTTATAGTTTCAACTATATTGCCTATTTCCTACTTTCTATTATGCAGAGTAATTGCTTAGTAGCCGACAGCTTGATTTGCAGAGATAACAGCCAGGAAGCAGTTGCTTGTAAGGTGTGTTGCGCTGATCAGCGTTAAGGCTCTCCTCTCTCTGTGAATAGCAGAGAATCTAGGGTGCAAGTGTTTGATCCTCTCTTTGCTCGATCATTATCATTACAAAAAGGAGGAAAGGGGCCAACTTGTCCATAAAACATGAGTAGTTGGTTCAGCTTTCAACACAGCAAATTGTCTGACTTTATTGCATTACAGAATTTCCTTGCATTGAAAATTTCAACGATTAACAGGTTCAGACTTTTAGTAAAAGGGACAGCGCCTGAAACAAGTGATGTTGGCATTTCGACACAAAGACAAACAGGTTCTGTTACTGTGGGAAATCCTTTACCTAATGCATCTTATACTAAACTGTTAATTCCATGAGCACTACATCTATATTGGTTCCCAATTAGATGTTGAGATCTTTAACAAATTCGATCTATCTCTGATGTCACAGAAGAATCCTAGAATCATAGAGTTGGAAGAGACCTCATGAGCCATCCAGTCCAACCCCCTGCCAAGAAGCAGGAAAATTGCATTCAAAGCACCCCTGACAGATGGCCATCCAGCCTCTGTTTAAAAGCTTCCAAAGAAGGAGTCTCTACCACACTCGGGGGCAGAGAGTTCCATTGCTGAACAGCTCTCACAGTCGGGAAGTTCCTCCCAATGGTCAGATGGAACCTCCTTTCTTGTAGTTTGAAGCCATTGTTCCGCGTCTTAGTCTCCAGGGCAGCAGAAAACAAGTTTGCTCCCTCCTCCCTATGACTTTCTCTCACATATTTATACATGGCTATCATGTCTCCTCAGCCTTCTCTTCTTCAGGCTAAATGTGCCCAGCTTTTTAAACCGCTCCTCATAGGGCTTGTTCTCCAGACCCTTGATCATTTTAGTTGCCTTCCTCTGGACACATTCCAGCTTGTCGATATCTCTCTTCAGTTATGGTTCCCAGTATTGGACACAATTCAAATTCAAGTAAATTAGACTGTAAATATTTGGTCTTTTGATGAGATATAATATTATTGCAAGAGACTTGAGCTATTGATGCTATAGCCCTGAATGATTTTACCGTTTACACTTTGAAAGCTCAAAGTCTTAATAAAAACCATGTTTTACATAATACTGGAATTAGGCCATTGTCAGGGCCAGTTATGCCTCTAAGAGGAACCAATTTCACAACCAGTTTGTGACAACAGAGAAGGTTCTTTCCCACATCCTCAGACAATGTGTTGCTACTACTGGTGATGGGACACAAATGATACTTCCTGTAGACTCCTGTTTTCAAGCAGACATACATAATGAAAGACATTATTTTAAGTATATAAGTCCCACATTGGCCTTTAGATGCCATCACAAGCACCTTGTGTTCAGACTAGCAACATATTGGTAGTCAGTGCAGTTCCTTTAAAACTGGTGGTGCATGATTTCTTTAAGCAATTCTGACTAACTGTATTTTGCAGTAGCTATCCCTTCTGAATCATCTTTATTGGCAATCCCAGAGAGAGTACATTGCAATTGTCTGATCAGGAGGTTAACAGTTCAGGATCAGACAATTCCAAGATATTTCCAGGAGTTTCCCCCCTAAGCCCAATAGTTTTACTGGAATTTTTTCCAGAAGACCTGAGAATTAAACTTAAATATAAAAAATTAGTGGAGGTGGAAACTGCTCTTTCCTGGAAGGAATGGATAAAAAATCCGATGGGCAAGTTTAATAAGTTAGAAGAACAAGGTGTCCTGAATTGGTTTGAGAGGCAACAGCTGTATAATTGGAAAAAGGACTGGCGAAATAAATATCCCAGATGTAGAGCATTGAATAAATATGAGGCCTGGCTAAATAAACTTAAAAACCAAGAAATAATGGGGAAAGGATTAACTGAGAAAATATATAATGGATTAATTGGTGAAGAAATAGGGCTGAAACTGTTAGAAAAGGTATGGGAAGGAGACCTAGGGCTTCTGACAGGTTTTAATTGGGAAAAGATTCTAAAGTGGAGAGTGGTTAAGAATCTATAAATAAGATTAAAAGAAAATGTGTACAAAGTTATATACCATACCGGTTAAACAACATCAGAAGGATAGCAAGCAAAGCAACCTCTGCTGGAGATGTAGCAAGCACAAAGGGACATATTTTCATTTATGGTGGTAATGCCCCCAAGTGAAGAGTTTTTGGAATGATATATTTATTGAAATAGGTAATATTATAGGACTAAATATTACTCCAGATGCTAGGTTAGCATTGCTAATGGAAGCCACAAAGTTGAATTTAGAAATGGAAAAGAAAGAATTGGTGATTATTTTACTCACAGTGGCAAGAATTGTAATCACAAGGAATTGGAAAATAGTAACTTATCTTACACCAGAAGCATGGTATAGGGAGGTATGGAACGTAGCCTTAAATGATAAACTATCAATGGAAATGAGGGTATTCAGGGGGGAAACTAACAGATCAGATTTTGATGTATACTGGTCAGTCTTTATTAAATATGCTTTAGAGAGTGAAAATGGAAAACAATATCACTTTGTTGGTCAGGAATTTTGGATATGACATTTGATTAATGGTTGATTTATAAATATACGACAAAGGAAAGGATACTTGTTCAGGCCTTGGTGGTGGGGGCTTTGTGTTTGTAAAATGTTCAGTGTTTTGTGTTTTGTTTACACTGTAAGTTGTTAATTTATGTAAATAAAATCTTTTTAAGAAAACAGTTCAGGAACTACTTAAGTAAGGTTTTCTGTACTGTTTCAAAGAGTCCTCTCTAGCTGTGTTCTAGCAAGTGGATTTAATTCTTTGCAAGCCCACTAAAGTCAGCTAAATTTTGCAAGAAAGATGAAAGCAGAGTGAGTCAACCTCAGAACTTGATTGATATCTTTCTCTTCAGAACAGACTGGTTTCAGTGTCTGCTGTAGGCACTCTCAACATGTCATCGCTAGTCATGCATGAGTCTGCTTTTGTCCCATTTGTGCTACAGTGATTAAGCTCCTGTTCTGAAATTTCAGGTGTAGTCACCCCAGCAATAATTTGATACAGCATAAGAATTAGGATTGCTAGATCAAAAGCATCCCAGGCCCCGAGATTCCAGGACCAAAGCCTGAGATCTAGCGATTGCACCTGTTGATGTCACAAAGTCTGGTGATCTCATCATAAAGGATACATCAAGCACCAACAACAATTACTCAGAGCATGTCATTTGCATAAAAAACAAACCTGACAAATACAAAATAATCCTCTGTTTGGACAGTGTTTTTCAAAGTTAGCATTGAAAGTGTGTGTGTGTGGGGGGGGGGGGGGGCTCTGTTTTTAAGGCTACAGTGAACATTACTTTTAATTACATCTAAGTTGTAATCCTACTGAAAGAAAACATTTTTTCAGGCTCCGGTTTGAAAAGATAAACATCTTGCCCCCCCCCCCCCCTCCAAACAATGCTGTCAATGACACAAGAAACTTGTAGTCCATTTAAAGAAATTTTCATAATCCATGGATTGCTTACATTAACCAATGCTGCTCTATAGTCATTTTTTTTTCTTTATTTCCCTTTCAGTCACATTACAGAATTTTTCCTTAAGCCAAAATAATAATGATAATGTATCCACAATTAACCAAAAATTTAGGAGAGAAATTATGATAATGATAGCAGTAGTAATAGTGGTAGATTATGAGCCCCATCACAGTACACTTAATAACATCATTATTCCACCTTAATTGTCATGACTACCTTATACAGAATGCTAGGATTTACAGTTTAGGAAACAGCATTTAGAATTTAAAACTCCTGGGATTCACTAAATTACAAACCACATATTTTATTTATTTATTTACAGTAGTTATATCCCCCCCTTCTCATCTCAAAGGGGACTCAGGGTAGATCATAGAACATACATGTGCGGCAAACATTCAGTGCCATTTTATACACAACTAGACAGATAAGGGGTATATACATTAACTGTCCCCATATTTCTGGCATCTTGGAAGGTGTTGTGTTTTATTCCTGACATTGGGGGGAGGGGGGGGGGCTGCCGCTCCATCTTCCTGCTGAAGAGCTAATTTGTAACTTCCTCCTTTGGATTGAATTGCCGGCATTCCTTCTGGGTGCCTCATATTATCCCCCCCCCCCCCACACACACACATACACTTTTTAATGAACAGTACCTATTTATTTAATCACATTTTTGCTTTCAAACCACTAGGTGGAAGGAAGCTATGCTAAGGCCAGGAGCTCACCCAAACCCAGCTTCGAACTGGCAGTCTTTCAACAGACAAGATTGGCTACAGCTGGTGTTTAACCTGCTGTGCTAAAGCTGCCCCTATTCCAGAGAATGTTCCCATGGCAGTTAACGTGGAATAACAGGACTGTAATAGTGTACTGTGATAGGTCCAATATGTTTTCGAGCCATCGTACCTTCCTCCCAAATTAATTTAGACATTTTAATGACTTCAAGCAAAGTATGTGATTTTACTCTTATTTTTAAAAAAACTTTCTGCTCTTTTGAAGGCCCCAGAATATCTGGGAGGACCCAGCAGCAACTGTACCCCCAAACACTATCAAATGGCACCCTTTAATAAATGTACTGAATTATTTTTGTGTAACTTGTGTTAATTGTGTGTCATATTAATTCTTAAGTGTATAAAGTTAAAAAAAATTAAATTTACTGTGAAGGCATCTGTTCCCTCAGTGCCCTCTGACATTCTGAATACATTTATTAATTGAGGAAATTAAACCTGTTCTTCTACTTTCTAGTAGGCATATTTGCTGTTAGTGACTAAAAACTCCAAACAGGTCACCACTGAAGCCCTCTGTCCTGGCCAAACAGAGGGAAAGCCACTAATTTAATGTCAGAAAGAGGCACCCAGCCAAGGATCAACCACCTAGTTCTTGATCTCATTGCCAGGCACCTCATTCTGAGCAAGTAACTTCACAGTGGGGCTCTGCTGAGAAGCTGTTTAGCCAGGAAGGCAACAGTGGCCTGTGGAGAGAAGACATCAATTAGCATAAAAGATAATAAATGTTTATCATTACCAGCATTAAAATTGGCTGTTGATCAGATTTGAACAGTGGAAAGTACAAGGAACTTGCCTTGACCACTCATTCAGGACAATAGTGTAGACTGCTTGTTATTTTACACTGAGGTCATTTTCCCCAAATTTTACCTTCTGCAAATCTGGAGCCAGCGCCAATAATAAATTGAGATGCAAGCATATTCATTAAGTTTGGGAATTAAAAATTATGAAGATGATGGATTTTTGCGTTTTGTTGACACCTTGGGGACTTCTGTTGTTGATTTATTATTTATTCACTATGTAAATCAATAAATGCATAAATTAAAAGTTTTGGGTCAGCGAGTGAGTGAGGATTCCAGCTGAATTGAACCAAATATCTCTTATTTTTCAATGTAAGCACAACGATACGACGATGATTCTGCTCAAAACAACACAGGGCATAGTCCTACTTTAGCAATAATCATTATTACATAAGAGCTGTATTAATAATCAAAGAAAAAATGGACTGGTTACATTAATGTTGTGGGATTGGTTTGTTGGTAAATGCATGAAGCATAGCTCCAATTTCCTGTTTCTTCAAAGAGATCATAATTTGACACAATCCAATCTGAAAATGAGTAGATCACATGTTTCAAAAGAAGTGTATTTATTTATTTACCACATTTATATCCCACCCTTCTCACCCCAAAGGGGACTCGCACCATGTAACCTTAATGTAAAAGACGACATAATCTAATGGATATTGAAAGTCACTCCTTGACTAAGATAATGTGTTCACATAAAAAGGCACCATAATTTTCCAGATTCATGCCTCTTTCATTAAATATAGGTTACTACCCTTCCTTTACCCTTCCTTTACCCATATTTGCTTTCTGGTGGTTCAGTGTACAAAAATTTTGTTTCATGCACAAACTTATTTTAAAATACTGCATAAAATGACCGTTAGGCTAAGTGAAGGTGAATTTTGTGTTTAGATTTGGATCATACTTACATATGCAGGTAAAGGTAAAGGTTTCCCCCTGATGTTAAGTCCAGTCGTGTTTGACTCTGGGAGTTGGTGCTCATCTCCATTTCTAAACCAAAGAGCCGGCATTGTCTGTAGACACCTCCAAGGTCATGTGGCTGGCATGACTGCATGGAACATCATTACCTTCCCGCTAGAGCGGTACCTATTGATCTACTCACATTTGCATGTTTTCGAACTGCTAAGTTGGCAGAAACTGGAGCTAACAGCGGGAGCTCACACCGCTCCCTAGATTCAAACCTGCAACCTGAGTTCAGCAGCTCAGTGGTTTAACTGCACCACCAAGGGCTCCAATACAAATGCAAATGTATGCAAAATCCAGAGAAGTCCTAATCACTTCTGTCCCCAAGCATTTAGATCAGGAATAAACGTGTATTTTTTGACATTATTTCAAAAACAAGATAAGTACAAAATATAACCAGTGATTTCCTACAGAATGGTAGGAATGCAGAAACCGACAAAGCAGCCAACATTTTAAAATACATATTTTCTGGGTTAAAATGATAAATACAATCATTTATTGTATTTTTAATCATATTAAATTTCTTCCACTTGTCTTTCAATTATATTTTCAAAGCTGCTGAAGAGTCTTGAATGTGCAAAATATAGTCATGGTAGATCCACTTTATTTTGTTTTGGTTCCCCTTCCTTTTAAAACATAGGTGGTGTAAACACATTTTAAAGTTTGGGGCTTCTTGATTTGGCAGTCTTTACGCCCAAACCTTAGAAGTCATCACAACCGAAGAGCTCTATTCGAAGTGCAATACTCTGATTCCATGTCTTGGGAACAACACGAATAAATCGGGAAAATATGGGTGGTTCAAAATAGTTCTTAACCTGTCCAGTACTGTCAACGTTTCCAGAAAACACCTGACAATAAATCCAAAAACAAGTAGTTACTTAAAGTGTTGAATTAACGGATTCATGTCAAATGTAAGTAACTAAAAATCCTGCCAGGAAGGGAAGGAATGAGCAGTTGTTGTAGGTTTTTTTGGCTATATGGCTCCAAAGGACTACTTTCCACATCTATTTCATACAATACTATCTTTTAAATCCATATAAACATATGAGCAGTGGTTCTCAACCTATGGGTCCCCAGGTGTTTTGGCCTACAACTCCCAAAAATCCTAGCCAGTTTACCAGCTGTTAGGATTTCTGGGAGTTGAAGACCAAAACATTTGGGGACCCACAGGTTGAGAACCACTGTATATGAGTGCCTTATAATGTTAGTACTTAAAAGATAGGTCAATAGCCTATCTGCTTTGACTCACAATTGCTCTCCCAAGGCATTGGTAGATGTTTCCCAGGCTCTGTTCCACAAATTGCCCTACTAATATGTCCCAATGCTATTACAACACACCCTCTACTTCTCCAGCTCTCTCCTCCCTTTGGATTGACAATGGCAGATACCCAACAAAGACATAGGATTTAGGTTCACCGTGAAGTACAGTTTGTGGGGTGCTTCCAGACAGCGCCAAAGCATGGGTTTAAGAAGAGGGACAAATAAACCCGGGACCTCAGAGCAAACCCACCAGACCCAGGCTTTCTTCGCCCTGACAATAAAGTACTGCACACAGATTTAATTACATGGCTTAATTCCATATAACAGGAGCCATTTCTAGTGTTTAATAGTCCCCATATTGCTATAATAACCCATGCTAAATCACAATATTTAAGCTATTCCCTAATCTGAGCTACTGATTCCTACTTGGAACATCAAAACAACCTGAAGGAAGACACCAATGGGAAAAAATAATGGACAGAAATCTTAAGGATAATAGTGGATGGAAACTGGTCTTTCATATACTCCCCCCCCCCCCCCCAGAACCTTCGAATACCTTTGCTGCAGAAGTTGAACCATCCACGTAAGACTTCCATATTGAATCATCATCACGATAAAGGATGGAAAATGTTTTCACGTACATTTCAGTAGTCATTGATTTTGCCCCTTGGGTTATAATGCCTGTTATCTTTTTAAGCCGAAGGAGATCAATCTGTAGCCACTGCTGGTTGTTATTTGACTGTGGAATTAATACAATAAAATAATCATTGTACCACTACTGAAATACAGCTCTCATAAATATCATAAATGTACAGATCCTATATTGAGTACAAAGAAAAACTGAACTCGGGATAAAAACTTGAAAATGTTCAGGTTGTTTTTCAGCTTTAAGATAGTTATAAATAGAAAAGAAACATGAAAAAATAAACAAGGGAGAAAGAAAACAAAATGAATGTATTCCAGGCTCCATGTTGATATGTGCAGGGTTTTTTTTATGTTGAGAGCAACTTGAGAAACTGCAAGTGGCTTCTGGTGTGAGAGAATTGGCTGTCTGGAAGGACGTTGCCCATGGGACACCCGGATGTGTTATCATCATGTGGGAGTCTTCTCTCATGTCCCTGCATGAGAAGCTGGAGTGACAAATGGGAGCTCACCTTGCTCTCTGGATTTGAACCACCGACCTTTCAATCAGCAGTCTTGCCGACACAAGGGTTTAACCCATTGTACCATCAGGGGCTTCGATATATTCGGTAAGGTATAATATGTGTTGCCTTTTGTCCTGTGAGATATATGCAGTCATCTCATACGACAAAAGACAACACGTTTTATACCTTATTTAATCCACAGTAAGATTATATAGCATTCTTTTTGACCTTATTTCATGTGGCTATTCTACATACTAAGAACTGGACTGCAAGTCCCAGCAACCACAACTGGCACAGCTAATACTGAAGACTGCCAGGATTGCCAGTTCAACAACTAGAAGATCATATGCTTTCCATCTCTGCTGTAAACTGCACTAATTTATCTATGGTATGCCATTTTTAAACACTTAACTACTACCCCCCATCATGATTGTCCCAATCACTGTTTCATTCAATTTCCGCTTATTAAATTCCTGGTAAACTCGTCAACAGTGTTGTTACATATTCATTCGCTGCTGTTTGTAGCAAACAATTTTACATAGTGTAAACTCATTGAAAGCAGAAGTTGCCATAGGCAGGAAACGAATAGCCACACAACCTTCCCTTTCGGAGACCTGTCTTTACCTTTGCTTGCCAGGCATTTGTCCGCCCTTTGAGATTGAGACGGGCAAGATTTGGCTCCCATGAACTCCACCATGTCTTCCTATAAGATGAGGCTGTGATCTGTGATGCCTCAATAGCCCCATTTTCCATTCCCAAGGGCAAAGAGCAGTCTGTCAAGTCAAAATCAGAACATTCTTGTTAGAACTCCTAAAAGGGATTTGGGAAGAATCGCCCTCAAGGTATTGTTAAACACCAGCCCCAATCACTTCTGGCCATGCTGGTAGAAGCAAAAGGAAGCTGAAGTCTGATGACCCCTAGAAGGCTATAGATTCTGCATACAGAAATTAGACACTAGGTGGAATCCAAGAAACATTGAATTTGATGGAAATCTATACAGAATGGGAATGTTTGGGGCAATTTATTGGGAAAAGAAACAATATAAGAGTGAATTGGGTTCAGATTTAGCAATGGTTATACTGTGTACACATGTACATTTAAAATTACCTGACGGCTTATGGTGACCCCAAGAATTGTTACAGTAAGTTGTAGCAGGACTATGTGTGTGTGCGTTGAAGAAAAACCTTATGATAGTAATTGTTATGTGCAGCTTGTAATGTAGGTCATCCAGCAATCTTGGACCACACCCGATAGGGTATAACTGTATGGGGTTTTAGAATACAGTTTCTGGAGAGCTTTTTCTCTGAGGAGATCTGTGCTCAAAGGCTCTGCTCAGAGGAGCAGGTTGGAGAGAAGCCGTTATGCTGCGCTAAAGGAGGCTAGGGTTTTCCTAGGTAAGGAATGCTATATATCAAGGGCAGAGGCAGCCTACCTTTGATATATAGCCTATACTACCTGGTATCATTAGCCGATTCCCATTAAAGTACTAACCACTGAACTGATCCTGCTTAACTTCCAAGAAACAGACAGGATCTGGTGAATTCAGAGTAGAGTTACAGTAAACCCAGTGAAACAAAAAGGACAAGCTGACCATACAATAGATTATTAAAACTAATGGGACATGCATTAATTAAGCAGCCCCATTTCAATCAGTTTACTCTAAGCATCACAAAACATGGATTCAACCCTCTGGGAGACTGAGAGCCCTTCCAGATTGGACTAAAAAAAGCATGACTCTTTAAGATTTACTGCCAATTACATTTTCTTGTGAAGTTATAAATATACAAAATGAGGCAGGTGAAATTGAGTCATCAAGTCTCAGTATTTATCCATACTAGCTTGTTTCAAACATTTTGATGAGAGTTTCCCCCCAGTTAATGGCATTTTTCATGTCTCACCTGCTGTTTCACAACCAAGGAGTTCCATACGAAGGGTTGGCCTGTTGTAGAACTTGTTTGGATATAGCCTCACATACCTTGCAACAATAGGAGGATCAAGGCGATTCTCCTTTATTCCATGTGCATCTGAATTGCCTTCAAAAAGCTAAAGGAAAAGAAATGGATCATTTGTTTTATCATAAGAGGTAAACACCCAAATTAGTCTCTCACATAATCTGATAATTCTATGCTGTTTCCTATTGGTCACAATGTCAGTATGTCTCCACTGACCCAGAAGTGACATCATATTATTTCCACTTTCATTTTTGGTCAAAATTTGGCCAGTGATTTCAGAGGTTATTTGGAGTTTGGTGGTGAAATCAAAGCAAACTACAACACTTCTGCCATTATGTAGTGGTTTAAACTATTTTGGTGTCGTTTTCCCCCACCCCAACCCCAAAATTTGGTAGGATTTTGGGGATAGAATCATAGAGTTGGAAGAGACCTAATGGGCCATCCAGTCCAACCCCCTGCCAAGAAGACTGCACAATGAACAATACATGCATTCCACAATTTGGATAGTATATTTTTAAGCAGAATACAAGAACAAATGTTTATTTAATACAGATTGACTATACAGACCTTCTGTGTCCCTCTGTGGTCCCCTTTAAAAACATTCCACTTTCTCCCATACTTGCTATAGGTAATAAAATATTCTGTTGTATACAAGTGTTTCAGAATCTGCATGGCTCCTTGTGTCTGAATGCCTGTGAGTATGACTTGTCTTTTTAGATCCACCTGCAGAGCAAAAAATAGTGGATTCAATTACAAGCTATTGCATTATTTAATGGAGGCATGTGCTCTATCTTATTTTCTAGAAAGATAGCTGTCATTAGAACTTAAAAACATTCATAGAGCCTGCTGGCCTGTCTAGTCCAACATTTTGCTTCCACAGTGGCCAAATAAATGCAAATAGCCAACAGGCATTGAACTCGTATATTGGTTATATTTGGATGTTTGTGACTTCAATATCTTTAAAATGCAATTGCAAAAGAAATAAACTGAAAGAGAAGATAGACAATAATTGGGAAAAACAAAAGACTGAGGAATTCAGAACAGTAGCACTATATAAAATATAAAATGAAACAGATATGTTTCCAAAACTGAGGTTTTCATAATTTGAACATGTCATGAGATGACCCAATATATTGAGAAAATAAAAAGAAGAAAGTATTAGGAAAAAAGGAAGATGGTACTGCAGGTGGATTGATTGATTGAATCAAGGAAGTCGGTTCTGAGTTTGCAAGATCTGAGCAGGGCAACAGATGGCCAAGGCCACATCTGCCATTATAATGCAGATTGAATTGCATTATATGGTCAGTATAGACTCATATAATGCAGTTTAACTGCTTTGATCTAGTTTATATGAATCTACACCAGGCATGGACAAACTTTGGCCCTCCAGGTATTTTGGACTTCAACTCCCACAATTTCTAACAGTCTAGGGCCTCTTCCTTCTCCCTCTCAACCTCTTAAGTAGCTGAGAGGGAAAAGGAAAGAGCATCAGGCTGTTGGAAATTGTGGGAGTTGAAGTCCAAAACCTGGAGGGCTAAAGTTTGCCCATGCCTGGTCTGCACTGACCACATAATGTCCAAGATGGGACTCAAGAATCTGCATTACAATTGCAGTGTAGATGGTGCCCAAGATTCTTGGAGTTCTCACAATCACATGGGATTGCCATTTGTCAAATCTGACTTGACAGCAATGACTGACGGTATTAAACAAAATGCAAGCAGAAACCCAATTACACTTTTCTCACTGGCATTTACAGGAAGTTAAAGCAGAATATGTCCGGTCAAGAACACTTTCAATGTTCATCTACAGTGTCAACTACAATTTTAGAATAGTTATTATATGGTTTGGGCAAGAATGGAAGAACACTGAAAAGAGACTACTAAAGGTCTTTGCACAATTGACTCAACCCTAAACATGGCAATCACTTATCATCAGCAGTAGAAAATAGAGCAACTCTGTATTGATGGGAATAGACACTGATATTGCTTTGCATTGCCTAGGTTAGGCAGTTACTTTGTAGTATGTGTTTTCTTCGACAGCCAGCCAATGGGTCCCTAATGTGAATCTAGAAGCCATGCTAAATTAAAAGACATATTAAAAAGAGTTTAATTGAGTGACCCAGACATACTGTCATTGCCTGTGCTTTTGATCTAGAGCTTACCATACCAATATTCAAAAATAATTTATTTTCCTTTAAATAAGCAAGTGATTTTAAATCTATGTTTGTAAGATACACTTCCTGGTTTCTGTGCTAACATTATACCTGAATCCAGGGGTGTTCATTTTCCTTCTTCTCAGTGCTCCAGGCATTGTATTTTCCAGTATTGTTTAATCTTGCCAGTTGAGGCTCCCAGTAGCCTGAAGGGAACAAAGAGAAGATTTCTCATAAAAAAAGAGGTAAGAGTTATGGAGGGTTTTTTTTTTTTTTTTTGCTACTGTTGTTGTTCTTGTCATTCTCTTGCCTACCTACATTTCAAATGGAACATGAGCTAGTAATACAGATTCATTCATGGCAGGAAATGCTGATGAAATATTAAGTACTATTGGCTGCCAATTATTAATTATGAATGAGTGATAATTGAACGACGGGCAGGGAAAATGCTCTAAGTGCATGCTAGATTATATGCCTAGGAGGCCTAAAACATTTGCATTGTTCTCCGCCAATTCTGGCAGGATGAATTACTGTATTCCAAATGAAAACAACAGAAGTGAAAATACTGGGACATATTAATTACTCTACAAAAGGGGAGTCTTTATTAAAGCTTCTATGTGCAGTAAATGCAATTCCAGAGGTAAGAATTAACATTATCACTTGCCATACAATGAGATGCATTCAGCCTCAAGCTTCACATTCCTTAGGTCTGTGAAATTACTCACTTGTGTGACCAGAAGCACTGATTTGCGAATCTTGGATAATACCACTTGCCAGACCCATAGGCAGCTTGCAGCCTGTAGAGAGAGATCAAGCTTTCATTTTAGCCAGTCATAAATTATGTGAACCGATACAACAATCTTATAGTGTAATCTCAGCAGATTTGGAACAAGGAGAGATGTCACTGAAAAGGCACTGTATCTTAGGCATATTAAGCTTGGGAGGCGAAAGGTTAAAGACACAGACAGAAAACACGAATACGATACAAAAACAACAGCCATGACCCCAGTCTCCCTAGAAATCCCACCAACCAGTGTCTATGCTGACTGTTACATCCACCTACAACTTCCACATTGAGAGAACCAGTGAACTAACAGGGAATGCCTCCCAACACAACACACCTTGGCCTGCTAGCCATACACTGAAGTTTGCACACCTGTAAGATTAAGGTCAATTACCTTCATCTATAACTGTAAAAAAGGCCTGCATTCCTGCTTCTTGATATTCACCAACTTCCGTTTCCAAAAGCCATGTGCCAGCTACTGATGGTATAATTTCAACAGTAGTGAATGTACCTAGAAAGGAAATATACATGGACATCTATTGTGTAGGTTCTTGTGGGTTTTTTCGGGCTATAGGGCCATGTTCTAGATACACATCTATTATGTGTTACATTGCAGAAGATTGATTGTTGTGGTCATGTAATGAGGAGGTAGACATATTAAAACAACATTTCTGCTATGTTTTCTCATCCAGCCTTAAAAGGAATGAAATATCCGGCACAAGGTTACTCCTGGAGCAAAGCGATGGCAAACAACATGAGAAGTCATTACGCAAAAGGGACAATATTATTACTATCAAGAGAGCATTGTGAAATACAAGGTGACAGACTTTGTTTTTCCAGGTGCAAAGATTACTGCAGACGCAGACTGCAGCCAGGAAATCAGAAGATGTTTATTTCTTGGAAGGAGAGCAATGACCAATCTCGATAAAATAGTGAAGAGTAGAAACATCACACTGGCAACGAAGATCTGCATAGTTAAAGCAATGGTATTCCCCATAGTAACCTATGGATGTGAAAGCTGGACCATAAGGCAGACTGAGCAAAGGAAGATAGATGCTTTTGAACTGTGGTGTTGGAGGAAAATTCTGAGAGTGCCTTGAACCTTAAGAAAATCCAACCAGTCCATACTTCAGGAAATAAAGCCCAACTGCTCATTGGAGGGAAGGATAGTACAGGCAAAGATGAAGTACTTTGGCCACATCATGAGAAGAAAGGAAAGCTTAGAGAAGGCAATTATGCTGGGAAAAATGGAAGGAAAAAGGAAGAGGGGCCGACCAAGGGCAAGATGGATGGATGGTATTCTTGAAGTGACTGGCTTGACTCTGAAGGAGCTGTGGGTGGTGACGGCCGACAGGGAGCTCTGGCATGGGCTGGTCCATGAGGTCACGAAGAGTCAGAAGCGACTGGACAAATAAACAACAAAATTGTGAAAATGTCCTGAAATGTCTCCATGTGAACTTTTCCTAGCATTTGGCAGTTTATCCCCTCATCATAAATATTTCTTTTTTTTAATTATAGTTGCTGTTGTTTTCAGAGATGACAGTAAGTGGGTCCAATTTGAGTGGAATGGGAACCAGCACCAAGTTTTAGAATTAATGTTAAATGTGTTTACTCTTCCTGGCTAAATAGTTCAGCACCCTGAGTAATTTCTTGAAAATCTGGACTAAATCCTGGAGGATATTCACCACTATCCTAACATCGGAATCACCAATCTCTACTATTCACTTTTTAAGGACTTTTTAGAATGTGATTAGGAAAAAAACAGATAATCCCCACTTTATATGATTTCTCAAGCAAGAAAAACAGGGGGAAACCTCAAGGCTTTCCCCTGGAAAAGGGCAGTCAATTAAAGAGAAGGATTAACATGACCTGGATTGTGTGATTTTAATTGATGTTTTAATGTTATGTTTTAATTGCTCTAGATTTTAATGCTTTTGTTTATTTATCGATGTAAGTATATATGCAGCATTGAATTGTTGCCTTTGTAAGGCCGCCCTGAGTTCCCTTCGGGGTGAGAAGGGTGGGATACAACTGTGGAAAATTAATTAATTAATTAATTAATGTGGGGAGAAATCGGTGATTATTATAAATAAAGGCCAGGAGGTTAAGTCAAAAATCTTGTATGTAACAAGGTTATGACAAGAGTGAGAAGTAGCACCATGTACAGGAAGGGAATTCTGTGTATGGCTTCTCAGGATCCATCTATATAATCAGGTAGAATGAGTCACTTGCTTTCAACATCATATTTTAGATTACAGTAAAAAATAAATGACAATTTTTAAATGTATTATTAATATGGACCTTATTTGTGCTTATTTACCATAAGAGAATTTGCAGTACTTTATGTAAAAAGAAAAATGTTTGAGTGGAAGGCAAAAACCCAGAACCTCCAGGGTGTTTAACTGCCTGTTTTATATTTACCATTATGTGTGCACTTTTGTATATACAAATGATATACAAATAGAATAGTTTTGAATCCTGAACAACAGAACAACAAATTAGCGGCCTGTTTCAGTCCTTTTGCTCTTTATTCATTCTTCACAGTCAGAGAACTGAGAGCTGAAGTCCAAAACACCTGGAGGAGCCCAGTTTGAGAAACACTGTGACTCTAACAGAAATAATTATGCATAAAATTCCTTAGAAAATTTTGATATCACTTCTTCCAAATCATTTATAAGCAAGACACCTGAAGAGCAAGTGTACAGTGTACATGTCAGCAAAATGGGGGTAGAAAAATAGTTATATGCAGTTAAATAACAAATCATAAGTGAAGAAATTATAAGATGCTATTCATAGTTTCCAGATGTTTTGAACTTCCACACTTTCCAGGCAACAATTAAATCCAGGATACTAAAGCCCACCTAGATTAAAAAATCCAGATTGGGCGAAGGCATATTAGAAAATTAGTACTTTTCAATTTTTAAAAATGCACCCTTAGGGTCAAAGATAATTACTTTTGTGTTATTCTCTGTACATCCCACAGTCTGTGCTCAAAATTAACATTTGATATCAGAAATATTACCTAACATCTAACATTCTTAAATTAATTTTAAAACCTACTTTCCAACACGCATGAAGACATTCTAGGCTTCAAGAAAATGGTGTTTAATTTTCTGAGACCAGTGAATCAATCCGGTTATATTTACCAGGAAGAAGAGGGTAGACACCAAGTTGGTGATCTCCTATTCCTTGTTCCATGAATGTCTGACCATGAAAATGAATGACGTGAATGTCTTTGGGGCCCCCTATGTTCAGCAAATGCCATTGGACCTCTTCACCCCTATACATCCGCAACCCCTGCAGATGGTAAGGGATCCCATTTATGCCTAAAAGAGAAGGTGACCAGAGATCACATAAACTTCAAATATATCCACTGTTCAGCTCAGTGTATTAAATAAACAGTATCTTCAGAGAATAAATCAGATTAAAAATGAATATATAGTATTAGTAACCTAGAACACCAAAAACTTTATGGAAATTAGTGGTAACTTACATCTTTGGTTCAGTGAGCATGGTCTAGCTGTAATTAACTGTTTGTCTGTTTTTGAATTTCAACTAATCAGTGACTAGATAATCAGACTAATTTTTATGATAAATGGTTTTTACATTCATGTGCATCTTCTGTACATTGGCACTGAACAAAATCATCATCATCATCATCATCATCATCCATAAATCCTGGAGTCATCCCAACTACTACTGCAGTCCCCATTATTATATAATATCACAAATATAATTCCATATTAATTAGAAGATTAAGTTTACATTTTAAAGAGTTTCCAGTTCTAGTTTTTATAACTAAACATATATAAGCAAATTATAAAACAGATGTTCTAAAACAGCGTTTCTCAACTTGGGGTTTGGGACCCCTGGGGGTCGTGAGGGGGTTCAAAGGGGTCACCAAAGGCCATCAGAAAACACAATATTTTCTGTGTTGGAAGTTTGGCCCAATTCTATAATTGATGGGGTTCAGAATGCTGTTTCATTGTAGGTGAACTATAAATCCCAGCAACTACAACTCCCAAATGTCAAGGTCTATCTTCCTCAAACTCCACCAGTGTTCACATTTGGGCATATTGAGTATTCCAAGTTTGGTTCAGATCCATCATTGTTTGAGTCCACAGTGCTCTCTGGATATAAGTGAACTATAACTCCAAAACTCAAGGTCAATGCCCACTAAACCCTTACAGTATTATCTGTTGGTCATGGGAGTTCTGTGTGCCAAGTTTGGTTCGATTCCATCATTGGTGGAGTTCACAATGCTTTTTGATTGTAGATTAACTATAAGTCCCAGCAACTACAACTCCAAAATGGCATAATCAAAATGGCCCAAACCCCCAGTATTCAAATTTGGGCATATTGGGTATTTGTGCCAAATTTCGTCCAGTGAATGAAAATACATCCTGCATATCAGATATTAACATTACGGTTCATAACAGTAGCAAGATTACAGTTATGAAGTAGCAACAAACATAATTTTATGGTTGGGGGTCACCACAACATGAGGAACTGTATCAAGAAGTAGCATCATTAGGAAGGTTGAGAAATACTGTTCTAAAAGATGAAAACTTTATCTGTACATGATGTCAGCATAACACACAGAATTGTCAAACACACAAAAGAGGAACCCTTACTTAAAATGCACTGCCAAGTTATAATATGTGTGATGTCCCTGAATACATTTATCTACAGAAGGTCAGCTTTAGCAAATATCCATTTCTGTCATTCTTGACTATTTGTCATCAGTAGGAAGGAAATCATCTATACCGGGAAAAGTGTGGCTCTGCAGGGCTCTTGAGCGTCTCTCAGCCTGAGACTTTTTTCTATTTTGATCGAAGTACCAGCTTTTCTCCTCATCAAAGACCATAAAAAGGAGGACAAACTCTCGCATGTCTTGTGGCCTGTTGTACTTATCAAGTATTCCTTTCTGACAGATCAAGATTGGCCCAATCAAGCCAGAGTGAATATCTTTCTCCTGCAAAATAATTTAGAACAGGAAAATAAATTTCTGGATAAGCAAACTGCTAATATTAAAACTAATTTCTTTGAAAGCTTCTGTACAGTTCACTCTGGTGTAGACACATTAAGTTATGCTATATTTTTAAGTCCTGTTTCATATGCAGCTTATTTCAAATCTGGGATATATATGTACTTGAGCATCAGAATACGTATAACGCCGGAATACAAATGAGACAAAATATTAATCACTAGATTACAAAAAGTGCATTTTATTTGTCTCTAAGATGAAAAAATATAATGTATTTTTAGTATAACATTTGTCTTACCGGGTTTACAGCAGAGTAATAGGCCCAGGATTTACATGCTCTCTGACCTTCAGCAGGGCCTGAACGTTTGTTTGCATACCAGACATATGTATAGGTATTATTTGGCATGATGGCATCATCTGTTTTGAACCATTCTGGAGACTCATCATCATAGCTCCTGCCTTCTGATGATTTCTCATAATAAAGTCCATGTGCATGGAGCGAGTATGGTCTGGAGGCCAAATTTTTAAACTGAACCTGCGAAGTAAAAGTGACAGTGATCAGCAGAGACAACTCCAATGGCGAATCCCCCCTCTCAAACTTTAAAACTTTATGGAGTTGTGCTGGGTTCTGATTTTCTAGGGTAAATCCTGATCAGTTAGGAGATAGATGTTTCAAAGGACATTCTAGCAGAATCACAATTTGTCTGAAGCTGTTTGCTGGGCCTGAAGTTAATTTGTGGGATTCTGTTTCAGAATAGATTCCTCCTTGCCTATCTGGCTAGCTGTACCGATCAACACATTAGCCAACAATAATTTCCCCTTTCTCTAGCTACATCAGTTGCTAAAGAAACCTGGTTTAGTAGTAATGGTGTCTGTAGGCTTCCCTAACAGTGGGACTTTAGGGCTTTTAGTCTGAACGAATGGTTCTGATCCTGTTTGGGGATGGAATTCAGTACTTTAGATATTTCATTTAAAGTTTGGAGGAAAACCCAGAATGAATGGACTGCGCCCCAGAAATGGAAGCCATCAACCTGCAGGACTTAAAGAGTTCCCGTGCATTTCTCAATTGTGTTTATTGCTTATTGTGATTATTTATTTATTTATTATTCAAACTTATATGCCGCCACTCCCCTAGGGCTCAGAGCGGCTTACAAGAAACAAACTCAAATATAACACAATTCAAAACAACATATCAAAGATCAAAAGCCTGTCAAAACAAATATGTCTTACAATTATTCTAATTGTTTTATTGAATAACACTATAGTAACTATTTTTCTATATAAACTATTAGTGGGCCGACTTTAGACTTGTGAGATGTACTTTTTAAAAATAGAATGGACAGATTCTGAGTTTTCAGATGAGGAGGAAGGGGATACTGGGAGAAATTCAGAGGGCCCAGAAGAGATTGGAAGCGGTCCAGAAAGGTGTTTGGGAAGTGCAGACTGAGGGAAGTGCAGAAGTGCATCAGAAGTGCAGACTGAGGGAAATGTGGGTGACGAATGTTTGTCGAGGTCAAAGAGATTGGAGTTGAGGAAATAGGGCCTGCAATTAAGACAGACTCACTTTTCCAAGTGACTTAGAGATAAGCAATGGGAAGGCAGGTGTAGGAGAAATGATCTCATGGGAGGGATTCTGGCTTTTAAAAAGTGGTTGATGCTAGTATAATCCTTGTGAGACTAATGCTGCACACAAGTGAAGAGCTCTGTTTCATGGGCCTGGAATTCATGTATTCAAGTTTCCAAGCCTGTTCCTGCATCCTGGTCTTGTGAGGCATATAGCAACAGACTAACAGTGACACAAGAGGAAAATTTAATTCATAGATAACATTGGATTATTTGGAAGAATGTCTGAAATGTGTCAAAATTATCTGTACAAAAATTTGTCAGGCAAGAGTCTCTTGGTTGCATTCTTCCAATAACTATACAAAGTATGGATGCCCATTTTATATGCTTATGCCTACTTGTCAAGGTAAACAAAAGCAAAGAGAAAAACTGTGGTTTTGTGAAGCTATATGAAATTGTCTGGGTTACATCTGAACTGGTTAATGAGTTTGCTGACATAACTATTGTGATCATTGATGCCTCTTCTTATATCAAATCTTTTTCTGAGATGTCAAAACAGAAGACTTCTGTTTTAATTATTGAGTTTTATGATGAAAATTGTCACATTTTATGGAATTTCAAAAACTTGTAAACTTAATTTTTTTATCATGTCAGAAACTGAATGCAAGACTAATGCCCACTTTTGTTTTTTGGAAGAATTGTGAAGCATGCTCATTGTATTACTTATGTATAGACTGATATAATACCCAGAAATAACAACCTTAATTCAATTACTAGTCCCAGCTAAAGCAAACTCGAATCAATGGGATCAATATACCATGTAGCAGTTGATTCAGTGGATATAATCTAGTTGGGACAGGAAAACAAATTTAGGTTAAATAATGATTTACATTTTCCCCCAATTGTATCCTTTATTCTCTGAGCTCCTGGTACAAATTTGAGCTCAGATTAGACCATGAGATTAAGATTCTAAATATGGGTACCGTATTTATTTATTTACAGTATTTATACCCTACCCTTCTCACCCTGAAGGGGACTCAGAGCAGCTTACAGAACTACAGAAATGCATACAGCAAACATTCAATGCCAATTATACACTTAACAAGGACAAACAACACAAACAGAGGTAAAGGCAGTTTTTCCCATTTTATTTCTGGCATCTTGGAGGCTGTGCTTGACTCCGGCCATGGGGATGCTGTTACTCCATCTTTCATGCTGAGGAGCTTTCCTCCAATCAATATCCTTAAGGACATGTGCCTTTATTACCTCCCTGCTAAAAGCTGTACCGATTTTTATCAACTTGCATTTCTGCTTTCGACCTGCTAGTGGGCAGTTGAGCTGGGGTTAACTGCAGGTGCTCACCCTGACCTGGGCTTGAACTGCTGCCCTTTTGATCGGCAGGATTTTTCTGCAGCACAGCCGTTTAGCCTGCTGTGCTAAGACCGGCCCTCTACACATTCGCACTACAATATTTTAAAACAAATCCCATCCTTGTCAATAATTTCCACTGTAGAATTTGACTGTAAAATGCAAAATATTATATTGATCATTATATTTTCAGTATTCAAACCAAATGAAATCCATTCTTCAAAATTTACACATCTCTTGATTTTAAAGTTGTTTATTTAATAATCTATAGACCTCAGTTCTTAACATGTCAAGGATATGGGCTGACCTTTATCACATCATCAACCTCTGCTCTAATGACAGGTCCAAGGATGCCAAGGTGCTCGTCATATTCCCCTTCAACACGAGGTATCCTAAAGGCGTTATCCTGATAACTTCGGAAAATCACTTTTTTGTACACTGTCTTGCTTTGGCCACTTCTCACTGTACTGAGAACATGGAAGCATTATGAGAGATAAAAACAGTGAGTAAAAAAAAACCCTACCAACCTTTTCATAGACATAATTTTGATATCAAGAAGCACTTGGTAATTTCACCTGGGGAAACAATGGGAGAATTGATATACTAATATGTATATTGTATGCACTCAATGCCATAAAAACTCACATTATGTTGCACTTATGTAAGTACCCTTCCTTCCCTGGCCCCTTCTACACAGTTGTATAAAATTCACATTGAACTGGATCATATGGCAGTGTAGACTCAGATAACCCAGATCAAAGAAGATATTGTGGATTATCTGCCTTGATATTCTGGGTTATATGGCTGTGTGGAAGGGTCCTGTGACTCAGAAGAGCTGTTCCCATGCCCATTTTTTTCCTAGGAGGGAGTGATTAAGGAAGCATCTAAACATAACAGAAACCGATCCATAAAGGCTGGAGAAAGTATGATCAGATTATTTGAAGTCATGCTGCAATGCAACCTGAGCCCTGCTACATGCACAATGGAGGACCTCCTTGCGGCAACACCAGAAGCACTCCAAGTGGCCAGATACTAGTCAAAGGACATTTAATCAACTACCAAGCTTGCAAACTCTGTGTCTTTTGTATGTTTGTTTGTTCTGTCAAAAATGTAATACAACTGTTTGGTTGCCTGACACGATAAATAAATAAATTTGAAGTCATACTCAGAAGTGGGGAAAAGGGTGGCCCAGAGAGTCTGTTAGTCAAAAAAGTGTACTATTTATGGACAAACTTTTTTTAATGACATGTATTTGCTCTGAGGATAATCCTAACAGTAGCAATAAATTATTTGGGGGAGCAGTGCATTGTCTCATTTACATCAAGTGTTTACTTTCACATACAGGTGTGTCAACAACAGGAGAAGATAGTTTCCTTCCAGTTCCACAGCTGTATCTTGTCTTTCTGGGAGCAATAATAAGATATTGAATAGAAAAGGATAACTAGGTAATTATGAAAGCAAAATAACCCCATCAAACCTTTTCCGTGTTGCGTAGTCCCAGAAAACTTCTTCAGCTGCAATATAATATTGCCTCAAGTTTCCTAATTTGTTGTGAGACCGTAGGTAGCTTTCAGCTATATCATCAGGATTACGGGCTGCACTAGTATCCAGTCTGGCATCCATGGTATATGGATTGTCATAGTGCACCATTTGGTATTCAAAAGAATCACTGGTACTGTCTTCATCATCGGTGTCATCTATGATATATTCCTCATAATCTCCATCCTCAGCTGGAAGGCCTATTGTAACAATGGGTTTATCCTGTTTGGTGTCATTGAGGCCTCCAGGTGTTCCTAGGGGCTTGGATGTTCTTGGTGTTAAGCTATTTGTGTGTTTTTCCTTTCGGCGGATCTTTATGAAAGTTCCAGATGATCCGTTTTCATTTCTTTGTTCATTCAGCACTTTGTTTTTGTTGTTAATTTCTGCTTGGCCTAATTCAGGAAGAGAATTTGCTTTATATGCGTTCTTATTTTTCTTGTTCATGAATATTGTATTTTCCAGGAATGTGGTGCTATTTCTGGAGCTGTTCTGCAGTTTGTTGTTAATATCCTTAAGGAGAGCTGCTTGTGTATCATAACTTTTCTTCTCAGAGATTACATTCCATGTGTACTCTATTTTTTTAGGGGTACACTTTTGTCCCTGGCAATCGGATGGATCTTTCCAACTCTTGACAGTATTTGGACTGAGAGTAGACACTAAGCTGTTTAACCCATCATTCATAGTCAAATTTCCATTGCTCTGAATATCTGAGATGCCTGTTTCAGAGGAAACATTGTGTGGTTTTGAAACATTTGTTTCTTCTGACTTTTCCACAGTTAAAACTGGATCTTCATAGTCATACTCATATGAAAAGAGATCAGTTTCTCCTGTATCTAAACTGGAGGTATTTACTGCAGTTGGGGTGGCAATAAATACTTCAGAAGAAGCATTCTGTGGTTTGGAACTATTATTTTCCACTGTCTCTTCCACTGAAAATGTTGAATTAGTTGAGACCATAGATGGCTCAGTATTTATTTCTTCAGCCTCATTATAATCATATGAAAGGTGATCAGTTTCTAACACATCTAAACTGGAGGTATTTATTGTAGTTGGAATGGCAATAAATACTTCAGAAGAAGCATGTTGTGGTTTGGAACTATTATTTTCCATTGATCCTTCCACAGCAAAAGCTGAATTAGTTGAGACTTTGGGAGGCTCAGTAGTTGCATCTTCTTCAGCTTCATCATAATCATGTGAAAGATTATCAGTTTCGATCTGGAATGCTCTGGATGTGCTTAGTGTCGGAGAAGTGGCAAGAGATGCAATATTCAAAGTGGTGTTGTCTGAAGCAGAAATATTTCTCTTTTGTTTTACACGAAAGAGTAAGGCACACATCTCTTTAAGGGCAATCAAGGTGGCCTCTGTCAATATTGGCTTTCCTTCTGAAGGATTTCTCCCAGATGCATTTCCCTCTTCTTCATTTTCTGAAGTGGGCACTGAAATGGGAGCACTGGTGCTAACCAATAATTCTGCTCCATCTTTGCGCTGGACCCCTTCAGCTGTTCTTAAACATCCAGGCTCAGTCGTCTGGCTATAACTGCCTGAAATCTGAATGGCATTCTTTTCATGGTTGGTTTGGGCTTGTTCAAATGGTAAAGGGACACTCTCCATCTTGTTCTCTAAAAAAGTTGTGGGCTTTGGGTGGAAGGACTCAACTGAAGTTGAATAAGAAGTTGAACTTTGAGTTTCCTGCAAGGTATCACCATGCAAGCAATCACTGCTGTCTGTGACCATCAGATGTAAATTCCCAGATTTACCATCATCACCATCATTATCACCACCTCCAACACTCACAGTTGTGATGCTGCCTGTATCTTCTTGCATAGCAAGATCAGTGAGATTCAGCTCTTCTGTCTCAGCAATCTGCCTATTAAATGTTCGAAGACCCAGCATTGAGGCTAATAAGAGTTGCTCTTCATCCTCCTCTTCTACCACTTTCTCTTCCTCATCCTCTTCCTCCTCATAATAATATACTGCACCTCTGTTTTCTTTCTCCTTTTTGTCTTTGGTTTGCTCACTTTTCTCAGGGGCAAAACTGACCACATTTGCATCAACAACATCAACTTCTTCTTCATCAAAGTCATCTTCAGTTTCTTCTTCATAATCATCACATTTGGCATCTCTGAACCTTAGTCTCATGCCATTATTCATCTCCCTGGAGCCCCATGACGACAGAAGCCAAGTACCTGGCAATGTAAAATAATACAGATCACCTATTCTGTATCTATAATTCAGATTATCTGTAAAGATATGTATCTTTTGTTTCCTACCAGCAGAGAAAAACAGCAAGTTTTCTCTGTAATGGCACCATAGGAGTAGAATTCCCTCCTCCAGAAAGCCTGACTGTTGTTAACACTTATTAAAGCCTTCTGAGGAAAATCTTTATTCTACACAACATTTGGGGGGTATTTTTTCACTCTATCCAAATATTTTTACAATAGGAAGTTGTGGTGTGCAGTTCTATAGGATTTTGTGAGAAGAAGGGAGAAGGAGAGGAGGGAAGAACAGAAGAAGAAGACAGAGGCCACACGTGTCCCATGGAAGGCATTCTCCCTACCTCTGATCCATACACTTATCACAATATATTTCCTAAAGCATGGTAGAAACTTTTTCGGGTTGCTGCGAGTTTTCAGGGAAGCATTCTCTCCTGACGTTTCACCTACATCTATGGCAGGCAGCCTCAGAAATTGAGGGGTCTTTATGAAACTAGGCAATTTATGAAACTAGGGTTTATATATCTGTGGAATGTCCAGGATAGGAGAACAAACTCTTGCCTGCCTGAGGCAAGTGTGAATGTTTCAATTGGCCACCTTGATTACAACTGAATAGCCTTTCAGCTCCATGGTCTCGCTGCTTACTGCCTGGTGGAATCCTTTGTTGGGAAGTGTTAGCTGGCCCTGAGTGATTCATGTCTGGAATTCTTCTGTTTTCTGAGTGATGTTCTTAGTTTGCATTACCTTTTAGTTGCATGGGATAGTGTTCCTTTGAATTTCCCCAGGGTTGCTACAATCTCAGTTGCACTCTAAAAGTTAACAGCATTAGAGGCTAGAAAGCCAGCCTGCAGGCCCCTTTTGCAGCTATTGGTTCAGAAAGTATCTCTTTGGGTCTAGGGGCCGCCCTTTTTCCTGGGTTGAGATCTCCATTTTGGAAATCTCCCCTGCCTCTTTCAGTAGGAAAGAAAGCTTCAGATGTGCTGTTGGTCAGGCAGGTAATTCTGAAAAAACCATTATAAGAACGATTGAGATACTATAGACTGAGATTGAGATACTATAGATTGAGTTATTTAGATAGAGAAGCTATTGAGTTATATAGATTAAGAAGCTAATTGAGATAGATAGATAGAATAGCAATTGAGTAATTGAGCAATTGAGTTATAGATAGATATTGAGTCATTGAGTATTATTGAGCATTACTTAATCTCCAAAGCTAACCTTGAGCTATAGATAGGGAAAAACTGCTTTTTTCTAACCATAGCAGCTCAGGGTTAGGGTGAAAAGATCCCAGGATTTTCTTCTGCCTTTTGGGGAAATGTTACCTCAGTAACTGAAGGAAAGGAAAGAAAGATCATCTTTATTGTTTCAGCAATTGACTGTTTTGTTTGTAACTTTAACAAGCTGTGCCAAGCCTGCAAGGACTTTGAAAAAATAAATATTCTGTTTTGATGTTCAAAGCCTGTAGTAGCCTCAGTTGCTGGAAATCTCAAGCTTCTAAAGAAAGACCCCCGTAGTCCACCCAGACAAAGAGAGAAGCACATCTTAGTTTATTTTTATAGGCTCTGGGTGTGATGGCACAACTGGCAGCCAGATTTTGTTCACTTTCATGGTTTCCTTCTTTCTGTTGAAATTGTCCACATGCTTGTGCATTTCAGTGGCTTCTTTGTGTAGTCTGGCATGTTTTTTGTTAGAGTGGTCCAGCATATCTGTGTTCTCAAATAATATGCTGTGTCCATATGCTGTGCTGGACAGTAAATAAAGAGCAACACGCAAGAGACAGAGGAATTCCTGACATGAAACAATCAGGGCCACCTAACACCTCCCAACAAAGGATACCCCCAGGCAGCAATCAGCTAAGCTTTGAAGTTGCAAGGCCATTCAATGCTAATCAAGGTGGCCAATTGCAACATTCACACCTGCCTCAAACAGACAAGAGCTCTTTCTCCCACCCTGGACATTCCACAGATATATAAACCCCACTTGCTTAGTTTCCACCCGACCTCACAACCTCTGAGGATGCCTTCCAAGGATTCAGCAAATACTGCAAGTACATAAGAAAATAAATACTCAGGCATAGACCTCTAACTTACCAAGATTGTCCATTGTTACAGTAGCCGATTCACCACTCATGGGAAAAAGATTTAAAATATCTCGCTCCTTTCCTCTGCTCAGAAAAGTGTGACCAGCAAGATGCACAGGTACTATCTCATCTTGTGTGCCTACACTGGTGAGGTGCCATTCAACAGTTTCAGACTGACAGAATCCCAGGATATCTTGTCTGTCCGTTGCATAGCCATTGAGGGCTAAAATTAAACAAACAAAAGAACATGCAGTTGACAATTCATGCCCATCTACAGCAACTCTCATGAATTAAATGGGCTTTCACTTGACGATGAACGTGAATAACAAGAGTGTACCGAACTAAATATCTAAAAAGAAATTAAAAATATTAAGAGCACTTCAATTTCATCAACATTACAAGGACTGTGTTATAGTCCCTCATTTTTTTTTACCATTATATAAGCAAATACATGGAGAATGGGAGCCAACTTTTCACATAAAGATAAGTACGTTTGGCCCTTCAGATGTTGCAAAGCTAGAACTCTATCATTGTTCATAGTTGGTTATGCTAACTAGGGTTAATGGGAGTGACAGTCCAATGACATCTGGATGGACATATAATCCATGATATAGAACAATTTTACAAGTTACTCGGGGAAATATTTTTTGGATTCTGTCTTCTGAAAGGCCATATCTCCCCATATGAGCTTGCCCATATTTTGAGATTTTTGGAGAAGACTTCCTTTAGATACCACCATTTCCAATAGCACATGTGAGAAGCTGCTCCCAGGCTGTTGAACCCCTTTCATGAGAGATGGGTTCGCCGCTCTCTCGCCATCAGCCAGCAAAGACCTCTTTATTTAGATGGGATTTCACTGTTAATTTGGTGTGGCAAAAAGGACTTTAAATGGGACGTGCTGTTACAAGCAGCACCTGCTGAAACTTCTTCTTCTGAGCAACCATTAAAGATACTAGATGTACTCTGAGTCAGGAATAGGTAGTGTTCTGCCTCTGTGTTGCTATGAGGTTGACTTGGAAGGAATTATAACACAAAAACAGATCGGAGACTATATGTAAAGTAAAAGAATGTTTTATTGAAACAAACTGAATTTCCCTTTCCCTAGTTGCCACTGAGAAGTCTTTGTGAAAAGGAAATCCTATAAGCTTCTGTGGCCCTGTACTTAACTCAAAATATGACTGTTTTTGTTTTACTATATAGATATTAGATGTGACTACTATTACAGCGTTCCCTTGCTATTTTGCAGTTCGCTTTTCGCGTACTTGCTGTTTCACAGTTTTTCCTACCGCATCATCAATGAGACTCAGAGTTGAGGCCACCTCCCAGTTTATGAATGGTAGTCGTTGCCCAGAGAGGAGATACAAAGCAGTATGTAAATCACAGCCTTATCACCTCTTCCTTATAGCTAGCAAAACAAGTTGTGCGGTGCCTTTAAATCTCTCTTCGCTTCTGCCTCACCTTTGGAACGAGAGAGAGAGAGAGAGAGAGACCCCTACTTTGCAGATTTTCACTTATTGTGGCTGGTCCTGGAACGTAACACCCGTGATAAGTGAGGGAACACTGTACTCTATTATCTATGCCACAATGTCACCATCTATATCTTACCTTTATTTAAATAACTCTATATCTAGCTAATTATCTCTGACTGGACTATCTATTAATCTCCAACTGGACATGACTTTCTGTGCATTTTCTATCTCTGGAGGCAGGACAGGTAGACAGACTTACTTGTAGAATTATTTTGAAACTGATCTACAATAAATAGTTTGAAGCTTACAAATATGTATAAAAAATTAACACATTTTAATTGTTGACTCAACACTACTGATTCTGAACTTTCGCACCTTTAATGAAGTGGTTATTTGGGTCTTTTTACTCACTGTGCATGACATTGGACTTGTAGAATTTTGGGTCATCTCTTTTAACAGTGGATGGATTGCTACAATACGCCTTTACATTTTCCTCTATATACCAGCTCTTGTTTTCATCAAACACAGCAAATACCGCATGTTGCTCTACATCAGCTTTATTCTGCAAGACATCAAGACATGCCATTGTTCCTGGTAGCATACTGAAGAATCATAGAATCATAAGAGTTGGAGGGAACCACAAGGGCCATCCAGTCCAACTGCATTCTGCCATGCAGGAACACATAATCAAAGCATTCCTGGCAGATGGCCATCCACTTAATGTGAATGGCTACACCTTTTCTCCCAAGACTGACACCTCTCTTCAGTGTCCTTAGAAATAAGCCCTATTGAGTTCAACAAGACCTTTTCCCAGATAGTTGTGAACACGATTGAAACTATAAAGGCAAAATGTCTTGGAATCTGGAAGTAGAATCTCCATATCTTCCCTCTCAGTTTGTGCATTTTATACAGTACCTGGATCCCCTTCTGATCAAGAGCCTTGCGTTTGCAAATGAGAAGTGGTCCAATTAGTCCTGAGGCAATGTCTCTTGTCATATCTACAGCACTGTGATACAGTCTGGTGACACACTGGGCATCCTTTGCTGTGGGTTCATCCGTGTCAAGGACGATCCACTTATATGTGTAAGTTTCCCCTGGTTGGACTGCTCTACCCTGAGTAATATTTTCTGTAGCAAAACATAAATGCAACAGCAGCAACATTAACAAATGACATGAGATTGTTTAGAATAAATACCATCTGCAAAGCATGTTTAGACCCTTTCTGTACTCCTGGTTATATATAAAAATATATCTTTCCCTCTGGAACAATGCATAAACTTACGTAATTGTGGAATATTACTCTAATTTTATCATGTAGGATGTGAGAGGCTGAATAGAAGCTACTCAAAGTCGTTTTCCCTTCTGTGCACTCTCTGCCTGGACTATAGCCCCAATGTCACTTGCTTAATTAACCTATTATTTTCCTCTACTTTCTTTACCTATTTATGACTTTACTGCCAGCTCAAAAGCTGTTAAAAATATGTTATTTTAATGTTTTTAATTTATTGGATACAATGAAACCAATTGTCTGGGTGGAACTACTAAGGAGGCTGCTTCAATAAATATAACCATGCTGCAACGAGGTAGTAAGACATGAATATGGGTAAAAAATATATTAATGACCAACCTTTGGAATCTGAAGGATAAATAGCTCCTTCTGCTTCTTTGGAAAGGGTCACTCCATGCACATAAATACTGTAGGGGCGACTGGCCATATTTTTGAATACAATCTATTTAAAATACAGGTAGGGAAAATATATTTACCAAGTTGCAATCGCGCATACAGGCAAAGTAAACTTGGGGACTCAACTTGGTTAGTGTTATGTCCAGGCTGACCCTGGATGTGCTCTAAGAGGTCATAGACTGCACATGCAGGAAAAAAATAAATATTTTGTTAATTAGATAAACACGAGAAAGATACACAGAGGTTCATATCAGAAGAACAAAAAAAGTACAGGACATCTAACAGTCTGGAGCCATATACATTAGTTACAATCAGTGTTCACTGAAATAAATATGAATACTTACTTTGATGACTTTAAATTCCATAGACTCCAGTAAGTTTATATGTAAATATTTTAGGTAGGATCCAACACAATATAAATACAGATAAATAATAAACTTTTAGATAAAATATATAATATCTCTGCCCTACCACTGTGAATGAATTATGTACTTTCTACATGCTCTTCAGAATACTTACTCGTATTTTATCTCTAACCTGAGCTCTGATAACAGGGCCCAGAATTCCACGTTCTTTGGACCAAAACTTGTCTATGCGTTTGCTGAAGGTTTCATCTTTATATTGTGTGAAGACAGCTTTTTTATACTTCTTGCCGATGAGATTTGAATAATTTTCCAGATACTGAGCCTTGAATTTTCTTAGAAAGTGACACAAGAAAAGTACACTTTAGCAAGATCTATGCACTTTGCAAATATACATTAGATAATGGACCACACCAAAGAACAAACCAAAGTTTTGACTGTGCAGAGCATGAAAAACTATGGTTTGCTGTAATAATGTTATTACTACAGCATCTGATTGTACTGATGTATTCCTTATATTCTGGATAAGATGTCACTGTCAGGACATGATATGGAGAAAGACAATGATCTCCAATTAGCAAAGGGGTCAAATAGGGCTACATTTTATAATTCTATATTTTAAATTTATACACAGAAGACATCACCCAGAAGAAGAAATTAGCTAAGAGAAAGAAACATCATAGAATCATAGAGTTGGAAGAGACTTTGTGGGCCATCCAATCCAACCCCTTGCCAAGAAGCAGGAAAATCACATTCAAAGCACCCCCCTTCCACAGATGGCCATCCAGCCTCTGCTTAAAAGCCTCCAAAGAAGGTGCCTCCAACATATTGCAGGGCAGAGAGTTCCACTGCTGAACAGCCCTCACAGTTGGGAAGCTCTTCCTAATGTTCTGGTAGAATCTCCTTTCCTGTAGTTTGAAGCCATTAAAACCTGAATGGCAAATCATAAGAGTTCTAAGAACAAGGAATTTATTTTACTATTGTCTCGCAACCAACACTTCCCACCAAGTTACCTATCAATATTGTCAGGGATTTCTGGAGCATAATCCCAAACGATTTCTTCTGCAGCAATGAAATAGTCCCAGTCCTTAATCATCCTCAGTTCTTTATAAGACAACTTCTTTGTTAAAGTGTCTGGATTTCCACAGTCTTCTATGTTGAGATAGCCATGCATTCCAGCTAATTTGGAAAAAAAAAAAGATGGGAACAATATTTGTTAAGAAACTTTTCCCCATTGTATAGTAATTGTTAGGCAATGTCTCTGTATCTTGTTGACTTTGAGACTGGTCAGTCTGAAATAAAATTATACATTGTATTGTTCTGATGTTTACAATGGGAAAATTGGAAGACATTATTGTTTAACAAACAAGTGGATGGTCCCACTAACAGTTGGAAGACAAGACAACTCCTAAGACTTTCTTTCCCACTCTTTATGTAACAAAAACCAAAAATTGATGTTCCAAAGCTGTTAAAATGGGATGTTGTAGTAAAATTATGTAGTGCAGTGGCTCCCAACCTGTGGTCTGTGGACGATCAGTGGTCCCCAAGAACTAAAATATGGTCCACAGCCTCACTATTAGTATACCGTTGCAACGAGAGTGACTGGTCTCGCGAAATCCTTTTTTAGTGCTGGGGCAACAGGGATGTTGGGAGGGGAGAGGCTGACTACCCACGAAAAGTGTGACAACAAGCCTCCTGACTGCTTCTCCTCCTCCTCCCGCCCTCCCTCTGAGTGGAGCCATCCCATGTGGTACCTGGAAGCGGGGGCACCTTGGTGTCTTCATTTTGGGGCCTGTTCCTGGGGTTATTTGGGGTGATGATTCAGAAAATTGCACTGAATAGACCACATCAGCTCTAGATTATTAAATATGGTTTTCTGTGGGTGAGCACATTATGACTACTGGATGGCACATATTCTTTTCTGTATCAGAAACTGGAGCTGATGGGGTCTAGCCAATGTAATTTTCTGAATCAGCACCTCAAAAAATCCAAACCGAATCTAAATCTGACCAAAAACTGTTTCGTAACCCTTTTGGTATATTAAGAGAGTGGTCCCTGGTCAAAGTGGTCCCTGGTTAAAGTTTTCCCTGGTCAAAGAAAGGTTGGAACCACTGGTGTAGTGGAAAGGATCCTTAGAGAATTCAGAGCACTGTAATCCAAAAAATTAATTTCTCCAAGCAGTCCCTGACAATAATTCCCTTCATTTTGCCCATTGGCCATACTGGCAGGGTCTAGTTTGACTTTTAATTATTTATTTTATTTGATTTTTACTTTATTTTGCAACATCTAGATGGGAACTAGATGTTTGACCCCTTGAAATCACCATATCTATTGGAGTAGATGAGCCCACTTTGGACTGGGGTACCCTGCTACACCTGTATTTGTAGGACCTTCTTGAATGAATGCAACATCGTACTTGTATAATGTTTACTTTTCTTTCTTGTTTTGCATCCCCCCTCTGCCCATGAAAGTTTATATATCACATGGTGAGACTCACAATAAATAAGGCTCATAATGGAGTATAACAAAGGGGTTCTTGCCTTGCAGGTGCTTTGCAACAAGAGACGATATTAGCCACCTTCCTGTATTGCTCACATACATGTTTGCTGTTGCTGATGCACCTCCAACAAGATTTATCGTTGACTCTTTGTACTGATTTTGCTCCAAGGTTTGCCCATTGAAATGTATGGAAAAGATCTCAGGTCCAGAACTCATTCCTATCAAATGCCAGCTAATACGATCATAAGAGCAGGCCTGTACATCTGCAACAAAAAAAGAGTTCCTCAAAATGTTTTTCGTAAACTACAAAATGTATTTAACGGTAAATAGGGCAAGCTCAGGCTTTACCTGGTAGTGTTCCATTTGCATAGCCATTAATTGTGTACATTACAGACCCTGTCCTTTGCCAGCTTTTGCTTTCATCAAACACTGCAAACATCAGCACATATTCCTTGTTGAATTGTTTCTGTGTTCCATCTTCATTCAGGCTTCCTAGAAGGAAAAAAAAGAGAGGGAGACACCCAAACAATAAAAGACATTCTCATATGGGACAGTGAAAAAGTTTCATCAATAAGGGTATGAAAGGAATCCCATAAATAGTTAAGCAGTGCAATGTATTTTAGATTCCCTGCATCCAAACTTTGGAAAATGTTGTTTTTGGGATGAAAACTCACAGAATCCCAAAGCATGGCCATTCTGTCAGTGTCTCTCTTCTAAGCTAACATATTTAGAAGATTACTCATAAATGTGTGTGTTAATTGTTATATTTACATGCTGTCATCAATCAAGGAATTTAAATGGTATACATGCAAGAATCTGCTGTCTAGATTCTGATCAGCCCTAGATCTGTTTCCCTTTAAAATTGTGCTAGGTCAGACTGGATGGCCCTTGTGATCTCTTCCAACTGTGATTCTAGGTACATGTCTGGATTTCTTAGGCTGGATCTACACTGTCATGTCATCCAGATTATCAAAGCAGATAGTCCACATTATTTGCTTTGAACTGGATTATATGAGTCTACACTGCCATAGAATCCAGTCCAAAGCAGATGATCTGGATTTTATATGGCAGTGTAGATCCAGTCTTAGAGCGTGTTGAGTGGATCAACAATTAGAACAAACCTACATTGTTATTGATTTATATCTATTTGTACCTTGTTGTATTTTCATATTATTGCACTTTTGAGTGCTTTTGTGAGTTGCCGCGAGTCCCTTTGGGGAGATGGTGGCAGTATACAAATAAAATATTATTGTTATTTTAAAGGAGCAAGCTTTCCAATGGCTCAGAGAATGAAACTTTGGCCCCCTCTATACTGCCATATAATCCAGATTATCAAATCAGATAATCTGGTCAGACTGGATGGCCCTTGTGATCTCTTCCAACTGTGATTCTAGGCACATGTCTGGACTTCTTAGGCCAGATCTACACTGCCATGTTATCCAGATCATCAAAGCATTTATTCTAGTTCAAACCAGATAATCCAGATTTTATATGACAGTGTAGAAGGGGACACTATTCTAAGACAGGAAAGTTACTCATGGAGCTAATCTAAGATAGCTATATCTTTGAAGATGAAGAGAGGATTAATGGGAAGAAGAGATGTATATATGAGGTAGATGTTTAGAACTTTATAGACAAGTCAGAACAAGTACTAAGTTTAGTGTCTCCAAATTTAAAAGTTATGTTACCTTCTTTACATATCAACAAAGCACCAATGAGGCCAGAATTAAAGTCTTGCACCATGTTTACATGTGAGTAGTAGGCATATGTAAGGCAGGGAGGATCGGCCTGTTTAGGTCCAGTTTTTGCAGTGACCTCCCATGTGTATTTCTGCATCTGGCCAGGAGGGACAGCACCATCCACACTTTCTTTTGGAGATGTTCTGTCAAAATGTGATGAACCTTCAGGGGCAAAGGAGAGAGGAAACCATGAGGAGTTGCAATTTTGTTAATTAAGAAATTCCACATACAAACTAGGGGTGCTCTCATAACATAATCCCTCCATTAATATTTACTATAAGTAAATACTAAGCCTTAACCCTTTTTTTGAATTTTTCTGTTACTCTTACTGGAACCTCGGGGCGAATCACAGAACATATATACGGCAAACATTCAATGCTTATTATACAATGGCAAGACAGACAATAGATAGAGGTGTATATATATAGGCTTTCCTATCTTTCAGCATCTTTGGAGGCTGTGCTCGGTTCCGATCACAGGAGGTGCTGTCGCTTCATCTCCTTGTCGAAGAGCTTCTCTTTTTTCGTAAACTGCCTCCTTTTTCTGATCTAACGTGGTGTCTAAAATACCTTCCCGCTTTAATGTGGTTCCTATTTTAATGTGAGTTCCTGCTTCTTGGTAAGGAGTTGGTTTGGATGGCCCAAGAGGTCTCTTCCAACTCAATGATTATATGATTCTATTTATTTAGTCATATTTTTTTTTAAATGCTAGGTTGGCAGAAGCTGGGCTAAAAGGTCAAGCACTCACCCTGATCCGGGCTTCAAACTATCAACCTTCTGGTTGGCAAGATTTATTGCAGCTTGGTGATTAACCTGCTGTGCTAAAGCCCAGGCCAATACACTAATGTCCCTTATAGTAGAATGACAGTACAATCCATACAAAAAAGAACTTCATGGTGCCAAAGCAAAAATAAATGTATTTCTACTTTAAGGAAGTATTTGTACTTGATTTTACAGTGTATCGCCTTCTCTTTTCTTGAAAGAGCCTGTAATTAACTCAAACCCTAAGGTAGAGTTTTGGGTTATAATTCCACAAATAGGAGCATTAGCTAACCAAGCGCTTGATGGAGTCTATGGAATACATATTCAATAGTTTCAAAGATTCTAGAGGAAGGGAATTGGAGGATGGGAATGGCCCAACATTTTACATAAGAACAAGGGAAATATTTACATAATTGAAAACAAAGTCTTTAGGGAAGACTAATGGAATCATAGCATAAGAATTTTACACCAAGGATCACTGCAGAGTGCATATGCAGTGCACATTCGTGCAAGTGTTCCTATAGTTGTAATCTACAGTTGGTCCATCAGAGTTTGGATTTGGTTATTAATGGATTTGATGAATATGATCTTTCTGGGAGTCTCTAGGTCCCCCCATGCAACTCTATGATTAACTTCTACTATTATTTTTATCTCTCAGATAAAAACAATATTTTAAATTGATTTTCCCCACTTTTGCGAGGCATCCTATTCCCCTAACTCTAGCAAATATGGAGGATTGACTGTAGTGTAACATATTGCTGCTGCTACACCTGTATTTAGATCTTCTGCATTGCTTTCTGAAACTTGTTGTTGTTGTTCATTCGTTCAGTCGTCTCCGACTCTTCGTGACCTCATGGACCAGCCCACGC